TTATTAGCCCCCATAATCTGCACCAACTGATGATTAATCAAAAGGAAGATTCCTGTAGAGAAGATTCACAAGTGGATAGCCTGAAGATCCGCAAAAATAAGCTATAAAGGAACAATATGCAGAAGAATTAAAAAGATAAATGGAGGAAAAGAAAAGAAAGAAAAAAGAAGAGGAAGAGGAAAATAGAAGAAGAGATGAAATAGAATAATAACAATTTTAGTAGTAAATATTACTTGAGAAAAAAAGATAGGAAGAGCAAGTTAAATTAAAATAAGCTGAATTTGATTAACCTGTTTAACAAAAAGAGGTAGTAAGGAGAGGAAAATAAAATATATAAAACGACCAACCTTAGTAAGACATTATTAAGAAATCTGCCTTACAAATTTTATCTCCAGAAAGTGCTTTGTAAAGAGAATAATTATCATCCGTTTAAGATCAAAAGTATTAATAATAATAACAATAATAATAATAATAATAATAATAATAATAATAACAATAATTATAATATATGTAATAGTAATAACCTCAATATTAATAATATTCCTAAATTTAGTAACATGTTCAATAAACACCTTATTAACATATCCCTTACCATCCTCCTATGTCGCCGTTGATGAATGTTTATAATCAATTCCATTAATAGGATAATTTATAGCAATATCAATAAGTACTTTTCAATGATCAAAATACACATCATCCATAAGCTATTATGGTTCATTAATAATATTTGATGTAGCTTCAACAAAACAGATAGGAAATTGATCTAGTCAGACAAATATTAGAAGAAAAACTTAGACTATAATAGATAGAAATGTAGAATCAACTATTAATAGATTAGTACTCAAGAAAAGTAATGGATATTTAAAGGGAGTAAAAGTTATTTGAGCAAGAAATCATAAAATTGTAAGACTTTATTCAAGGAAAATAAAAGCGTCCTTTAGATCCAACTGTCTTTGCCTCTAGCGTTTATTTTAATGCTTTAGGAAAAAAAGATAATATAAATTAATCACCACATTAATAATAGATAGCTAACATTTAACCAATTAAAATCTCTCCCTTTTAATCGCCTACTGCTAATTCATAAGCTCAATAATTTTAAAAGTAATTTAAATAATCAGATATATCATCTTAATATTCGCATTAATATTAAGAAGTAAATTAGTTACTTCCTGAAAAGCATTTATAACCTTATCCTTAATAATAATAATAATAATAATAATAATAATAATAATAATAATAATTCTTACAATAAAATAATAAACAAAAAGGAATTACAGAATCTATGATTGATAATGATGTTGAATTACCTGCAGAATCTGAGTATGTAAATTATACTGAAGAATAATTAGGTAAGAGTTTTATGCCAGAATTAAAAGAATTAAAATTAAAGACACAAAATTCTTAAATCAAATAACCTGAAAACGCAAAAACATTATAATCATAATAATTCAAGACCCTTCAATCATAAAACTTTTCAAATAATGACTTTTAATAACATATTTAATAAAAATCATCTATTACAGATGAAAGTTGCGAATTACCAACAAATGCAATTTAGAAATCGATTCCTCCTTAATTAAGTCGAGTTTAAGCAAGCCAGAATGAGTAAGACAATTTTTAAGATGAAGAAATTGATGAATCAAATTAAAATTCAGATGAATAAGATTATGAATAAAAGGATTTTGAACCTGAAGAGGAAGATGTTAATGAATAAAATATTGATAATCCATTTGATTAGAAAGATTAATAGGATGATTAAAATGAGAATTCAGATAAAGAATAATATGATATTGAGATACCAAATCCATAAAATTATGATTTAAACATGTTAAAGACCCAAGAATATTATGCAATGTTTGTTGAAAATATCAAACCTTAATCAAGATAATAAGAATTAAAATTTCCGGCAAAATTACTTTAATAAAATACTTTAAAGTTGAATAATGATACTATATAATAATCAAGCATGTGTGAATAAAGTGAGATTATAGAAAGTTAGTTAAAGTGTAACAATGAAAATTAAGGGGATGTTGAGGAAGTGTAAATGAGTTAGGCTTAATTTTCTGTATATTAATAATCAATGGCAATACCAGAGGATGAAGAACCCTCATAGCCTGTTGCATCATAAAATGCACTAAGAAACTCAAGTAGAAAATATTAAAAACCTAAAACAGTAGATATTTTTAAAAATGAACAATAGAGAAATTCAAATCCATAATCTCAAAATTAAATTCCTCAACTTTAGGAGCAATCAAGATGTACCAATTAATAAATCCCAGATTAATCAAGATGTACAAATTAATAGATGCCTGATTAATCTCGTTGTACTAATCAAAATCCAATTGCTTCTCAAACTTTTCTATATCAACCAAGAGTTGAATTAGTTAAATCCAGATTAGAAAACCTTTTTTAACATACTAATGAATTAATGGCAGATCTACCAAAAGTAAAAGTTGAAAAGATAGTGGCTGTCGATGATGATGAAATCAAATCTTATAAAATTGAGGAGAATTCTTAGTGGCAGTAACAATTAGATTTGTTTGCCTACGAATAAAGCCATAGTTGAAATTAATTAAAAATATATATATATTCGTTAATGCACAAAATTCACTATTCTCATCAATAATCTCCTTCTGCTACTCCAGTTTAAAGTTCATCACCATTAAAGAAGACATAATTAGTACTCAAATAAACAAATAGAACTATAACTTCATAAGCAGAAAATGCAGTTTGTTACAAAAAAAAGAGCAAAACAACTATGAATGCAGAGATCGAATTGAAAAAACAATTATAAGTGCAGAATCAACAATATAAGGAGTTAGCTTTAAAATATGAGCTATCAATTTAGGAAATTTAAAAGTATTAAATGATGATTGAACGCAACAATTAAAAGCGAAATCATGAGAAATAGCAACTTCTATCTGAAATATCTATGTTAAAGAAACAATTAGAATAACGTAGTAAATCTCAAATAGATTTACATGAGAATGGAAGTATTTAAAACTGTAATTATTTTAATAGTTCTTGGACATTTAGTTAATGAGGTAAATTAAAAGGCTATTCTGATGGAATTATCTGAGTATAAGGATAAGTGTAAATAACTATTAAACGAATTGGATACAAAGAATCTGTAGTTAGATTAGTAAAATATGTTATTAAATTTAAGTGTTACAAAGAAACTAATAAATACTCCCTCTTGTTAAGAATTAATTAATTAAGTGCAAGATCTTACTAAAAAGTTGAATGAACAAGAAAGCAAGCTTATTTAATATGAAATGCAATTAGAGAAATAGCTGTATTGATATTGTTAAAAATTAGAGCAAATAACAAATCTAAGTTTTTATTTAGAGGTGCTGAGTATTTCAATAAAAAGATATTAGATGCTGATATTTTTAGTTCTTCAAGCAATATACAATCGACAGTAACTATAAATTTAAATTTAGATGTCAAATCAGAATGAAAACTCTTCCTAGGCATTGTCAAGTTATATCAAATTTTGAAAATAATCTGAATTCGTTTTATATTATTATTATTATTATCATGAATATATTAATGCTTTTGTTATTCGTGTTAGTGAATGTAAATAATTTTATTAAGTCAGAGCATTCTTTGAGTATTTCCTTAGAACAAAATGATCTAGAAGATACTATACATTTCCAATAAGAAGAAACTCTAACACTTTTAGATATAGCAAACGAACTTGAGCAATACCATTTATTTTAAGTTTTGGGTACTATGATAAAGATATTATAAAACTAGGAATTGAAGCTCAGGATAGATAAATGAAAAGGCTGGCAGTGGCATCAATAATATCGATATTAACAATTGCTGCATGCTGTGGATGCTCATAAATAATATAAGCATATTCAAAATCATGCAAGTAGAAACTCCCACCTCCAAAAAATTAATATAGAAGGATAGAACAAAATGCTGACTCTATATGAGAATAATTGCATTAATATTTTTATTTTATTAAATTGAACTCACTAATTTAAGCTGACTTTCTAGCTAAATTAGTAGAGCTCCAAGTATCTAATACCTATGTTTGGTGTTGATTCACTATTTAGTCGAGTTTTTTTAATAATAATTTATATGTATATATCATTTAGAATAAAGATAATATTTTATAATTGCCTTGTTTTAGTAAATTTAGTTAAATTCTTATTTTTTAAGAACAAGTTTCTCTCATTGACTAATGAGATTTTTGAATTCTATTTTGAATGGCCAATCATGAGTTTAATTGTTGCAATTCTAATTTTGCTGAGTTGTTTAATATAACCAAATGAAATTTTCATTATATTAGACTAAATTTCATCTAGAATTTAATTTTTTCTTAATTTTTATTTTTATCATCAAATGAAGCAGTGTGAGAAATAGATGATAATTAAATTTGTTATATTTTGTAGTTCATATAAAGCATTAAACTTCTAGATTATGAACTAACGAATAATTTCTATCGAAGTTCCATCCTTTCATTTTCAAATTGATCAACTTGACCTTTTTCAATATTCATATAATTGTTAGTAGTAGTGATTTACCAATTTTATCTCTTTCTCGGATTTGATTTCTTAATTTCTATCCACTTGCAACAGCATTATTTCGTTAAGACTTAATTTTAATGATTAGGCATAGTAGAATCAATAAACTTGGAATATTCATCTTTTGCTTGAATATACAAATCCATTTAATTTTTCATGTGTCATAGAAGGTTAGAGAATTCTATTGAAACATTTTTTTATTTTTCATAGTTTCTAAAAGTTGATGATGAACAAGCCTTTTATAATATTGTTCTAAACAGACTCCTACTAAGTCTAAATTCTTAAATTAAATTAAGCTTTTTTATTTAGATGGTTTAATTATTTCTTTATATTTTGGTAATAATTTTTGTTAAATTATTTTAAAATAAAAATTTTCTATAAAATAAGAAGACATGTCTACTGATACTTTTGCCTTTGCTTTTAATCCTTAAAATATTGATAATATGGTTAATAAGGCCAAGGAAACATTGGATATTCGTTTATTTGAGATAGCTTTTACAAAATTTTGAGAGTAAATGAAAAGAATAATTAAGAAGGCTTTATGGCTTTGGAGATAGATATGATTCATTTCTCTATTCAATTATTAATATAGATTATATTTAGATTTGGACAATAAGTATGTTATTAAAAAATGCAATATCACCCTTGCACCTTACCTTAATATAGGAACTTGGATTTAAGGTAATATTTCCTATAAACATTAGAGATAGTGAGTTTAAGGGTATTTAACCAACAAAGAATGTTCATGCACCTGATATCTATTTACTTTTGATGAGTCTGGTTATATTTGTGCTTAAATCTTGGTAATAATAACAAGGATTAATTTAGTCCATGTTCGTAATTAATTCTTTCTGGAAATGCTAAGCCATATCCCTCTTAGAGTTATAATCATCAAAATAATATTTTGTATTCTTTTTGGAATTAGAGTAAATGCTAACCTAAATTATAGGTTTTGCAGGTATTCCCAATTAAAATTAATAGTCTACGTGCTCTCATAATTTTCAATTATTTGATAAATAATCTGTTTTTATTAATTGGCACAATATATGTACTTATTTTTTAAGTAATGTTTGTTTAATAACCTTAAAAATATATAACCCTTAACATAATTAGAACTGCTCTTGAAATTAATTTAAATCATCTTTCAGAACTGAGTAGTTTTGTTTAAAATATAATAATATTTTTATCAATGCTACAATCATGTTGTGCTTGGATTCTATTGTTCTTTGGTTAATCAAATATATTATTTTAAATGTCATAAAAATTCGGTCCTCTTTAATTAAAAAAAAAAATTCAAAAAACTAATCCAACCGAAAAAAAACCATACATTCAATAAGAAACAGTTGAAAGTAATTGATTATCATATATACAAAAGAGTAAGAATAAGAAAATGAAAAAGTTAAAAAGTAATAATTCAATCCAGTTGAAATGGCTCAGTAAGGAGGAACAGGAAAGACATAAGCAGAAATCCAGTATGATTTAGTTAGGCTAAAGAGATTAGGTGAAAAAATAGAGAAGGTATATATACTTTTTTAAACCCTTTAGAAAATGGATTTAACATACAGATAAAAAATAGAAACATTTAATAAGAAAATATAAAAAATGCCAGAACATTATGATATACCAAAAGTTGGTCCAGGTTGAGATTTAAATGTTGTTTATTTAAGATAACTTAATACAAAATTCTTCAACTAATATCGAAATTAAAATATATTATATATGGATCAACTCCTTATTTTAATAGCATTTTGTAAAAATGATAATTATGTAATTGTTTTATTACTTTTACATATTGTCTACTTATCAATTTAAAATATTTAGACAATATATGAATGAAAAATATTCTTCTTTTTTGTTGTATATTATAAAATTTATTGCAATACACTTTGAAATAAAAAAAGTTAAACACTCAAATCTTAAAGGGACTTATATTATGAAATAGTATTCTGGAAATAAGAAATCAAATTTTATATTATATAATTTATTATGAATCCATCAAAATTGAGTAATTCAGAATTGGGAAATTTCGATAAATATATAGAAGATCTATATAATGGTTTATTATTAAGTGAAAATGATGTAAAACTAATGTGCTAAAAAGTGTTAATATTTGCATTATTAATCAGGCTAAAGAAATACTAGTTGATGAACCTAATATTGTAGCAGTAAGAGCACCATTAACAATATGCGGTGATATACATGGTTAATTTCATGATCTAATCGAATTGTTTCGTATTGGAGGCAGATTACCAGTATTTTAAGAAATAATATTAAGGAAACAAATTATCTCTTTCTAGGTGATTATGTAGATCGTGGTTCCTAAAGTGTTGAAACCTTTAGTCTTATACTTTGTCTAAAAATACGATACAAAGATAGGTTGACTGTATTAAGAGGTAATTAGTAATATTAGGATAGGTAATCATGAAAATAGAGAAATTAATAAGATTTATGGATTTTATGATGAATGTTAAAGAAAGTATGGAAATGAGATTGTATGGAAACATTTTACAGATGTATTTGGTTATTTACCATTGGTGGCAATAGTTGAAAATAGCGTAAATAAGCATTTCTATTATTAGATTTTTTGTACACATGGTGGTCTATCACCAGCAATAGAGACAGTTGATCAAATCAAATAATTAAATAGAATTTAAGATATACCTCATGATGGTGCAATTTGTGATTTATTATGGAGTGATCCAGAAGAAACTAAGATGGGATGGGGTGTTTCACCTAGAGGTGCAGGATGGACATGGGGTTAAGATATAACAGATAAATTTTTGCATCAAAATAAATTGAAATTGATTGCCAGAGCACATTAATTAGTAATGGAAGGATTTTAGCATGTTCATCAACGAAAAACTGTTACAATATTCTCAGCTCCAAATTATTGTTATAGATGTGGAAATTAAGCTTGCATTGTAGAAGTTGATGATTAGCTAAAAATGAGTTTGTAAATTAATTAACTATAAAAGCTCATAATATGAACCTGCTCCAAGAGATAATGAACCTTAAACCACCAGAAGAGTACCAGAGTACTTTTTATGATTTAACAATTAAATATATTTTATTCAATTATTCACTGATGGTAACATATCATAAGTGAATCCTCCAATCCCTAACACTATCAATAAAAACATTCCAGAATAAAACACACCAGGTATTAAAAGCATTATTGCCAATATAAAAATGGGATAAGTCTCGCCTAAACCTTTCTCTTGATATTGTAATATTCCTTATTCTGTAAATAATATTCCTGCACTTAAAAGGAAAAACGATAAAACTATTGTTTTATAAGGTCTATTGTATCTGATTCGAAGTGGAGGTGGAGATTAAGATCTCACAACTCTTTTTTTATTAAGAGGACGTGTTTCGCTGTAATCTTTCATTTAATATATACAATTTTTATTATTATATTGTTAATTTAATCTGTTTTTAGTTATTTTATTTTTTAAGAATCTATGATTATATATATTAGATTTGTAATTTATTCATTACTTATAAAATTTAAATTCATATTATGTTGTCTAATCGTTAATCTTAAATATGGGCTAGACTTCTTTTTCTAAACAACATTAATTATATTCGATTGTAATAGCAAAATTGAAAGTAAAGTCTTATTTCAAAGAGGATCGAATGATTATCTCTAATATATAACTTAACAAAAATCCTCTCATTATTATATCAATAATTGTTTTACTGTATAATTTTTGTCTATTAGTTGACCAATTAACAATGATATTTTTTTCAATCATCTTAATATTTCCACAAAAAGTTTCAATTGATGATATACTTCTATTCAATTCTTTGTTTACTTAAGCTTCAATCTCTTGATTTTATCCAATCAAACTATAGCAAGTCATTTTAAGCAATTCTATAAACTGAGGAGATGATGTACTCAACATAATTAATTCTGAATATGCTTATTCATCATTCATATTTCTTGCAAATCCTTATTGATAGAATAAAATTTAATTTCTCAAATTTTGTTTCTTATCTTCTGTAAACATCTTTTATCCAGGAATCACAACATCAAAAAGCATTTATTTTACAAAACAACAAACCAATTATTTATAATTTGTTACCAAAGGAGCTGTAGCTTTATTGATTGATAAATTGTCAATTGATACTCTGCTTTCACTTTCGTTTTTCATTAATCTTAATATAGTTCTTCATGTTTCTAAAATTTAATGTTGAATATTTAATAATTCCCTTTAATATTTTGAATTTGAAATGAATTAGTAACAATATAATGAAATGTTTACAGCATTCTAAACAAATAAGATTTTAGTAGAACAATTCGATATATACCTTAAGTAAAAAGTATTATTATTGATTTTTATGAAGTGTGGTCATTTTTATGATGAACATTTGTTTTAATAATTAATTGAATTATCTTTAAATAATGGAGTAATAGATTTAGAGTGTTTTATTAATTAATACAATGAAACAGTTGATACTTTATAATATCGTTCAGAAATATTAAATAATAAGATCAAGGAATTAAAAGTGTTAAATCAATAATTGAGTGATTAATTAAATTCAAATGCACTTTAATAGAACTCTTTAACAATTTAAATTATGGATTGTCAAAACATTGAAATAAGAGATCCAAGTGTTTATTTATAAATCTGTTGTGGAGCCAAAACACACAAAACTAGAATAATTAAAGGAGTGAGTCCATAATTTTAAGAGTAATTTGAATTCCCAATAGACTCTGGTTGTTAGGATATCATAATAACACTTTTTGATAGTGTAATATATTGAATTAATTTTAGATGAATGAAAATATGATTGGTTATACTTAATTTTTGATTTCTGAATTGAGAGAATAAAAATTAAAAGACATTAGTGTAAATTTATAAAGATAGGATAATATGAAAATTAAAACTAAATTGCATGTGATTTTAAAATTTAATCATTCAAAAGTAAGTTTCTTCTAATTTAGGAAAGCCTATACAAATAAGAACAATAAAAATTAAATCATGAAATAAATTAAAACAATATAGAGATGAAAGAAACATAATAAGCCTTGAATTGTCTTGCAAAGGTTTTTAGTGGAGGATGTATCAAAATAAGATAATTACCACCAATTTTGGAAATAAAAGAATTTGAATTAAAATGTTTGGATACTTTAAATGATGCATTATAAGAGAGAATATAAGATTGGGTACCTTTATTTTATAAATTAACTGGATTAGTAGTTGCATTATCTGTAATGATTAGTTTATATAGATGTTAATTTATGGAAGTATTAAACATTTTATTAATATTAGTTAACATTGTTAGCAATTATGATGTAACTATTAATCCTTAGAGATATTAACCAAAAATGGATGAGAATATTCACATATCTATTTGCTGTCTTATTCCTTTATGATTTACTCTGGCTTTATATATGTGGAGGAGTAATAATAATCAATTATTTTAGAGCTACGGTATAACTAAAGGAGAATAACATATTAACAAATTTGTGACAGCACTAAGTTATATTGAACTCTTAACTAAAATTCCATTTACTATAGTTTTGTGGAAACATTCAGTAGAGTTTGAATAGTTTTTATCATATTTTATATGATCATAAATTCTTTTAAGAAAATCCTTTAAAATCTTATTATCTTGGTATTTTTAAAATACTTTTCTTATTTTCTTTGAATTAATATGGCCAGATTTATCATATATAAATTGCAAATGCACTCTTTACTAATTCATCATGTTAGTCCTTATTTGACATGCATTCATTAAAAAGTTTTGAAAAATCTGAAAATTACATAATTGTCTTATTAATTGGAAAATATTTATGCTAGAATAATTTTATACTTGAGTTCAGTTACAGATAATTAAGTTTTAGATTTAGTTGAGCTATCTTTTTAAGCTTCTTCTAAATTTCATTTGAATTTATTTTTTTTGTCTTGGTTAAATAGGTAAATTATTAGTTTAGGATTTAATATTTAAGGTTTCTAATTATTTGATCAATTAATTTATCTGAGCTATGTTAATATCTTCTCTTCCATCTTAATAAAACAACTAAAATCTATCTTTGTTTTTTATAATTAGTTTATTATTATTGCACTCTAATTTAAATTAATATTATAAAACCAAGGTTATCTTATTATAATTATATAACCGTGAATAAATTTGAAAATTAATTAGCAATAAATCTATTCAAAAGTGAATAAATTCAAATTTCAAATGATATTTTTATATAAATAAGTTTTAATAATGAAATTTTTGAAAATAAATATTAATTTTTATAATACTTTATCAATTATCAATAGCAATTAATATTTATAAATTTAATTATCATAAATTTTTAGATATAATCTATTAGAAAAGAATTCATATATCATTTAAGAAATTTAATTTTAAGTAAAATAGAAAATGAAGAATCAATTTTTTTAAAAGTTTATTATTAGTATAAAATCAAAATAAGATTTTATAAAAATATGATAATCTACAAAATAAAAGAACAATAATGGAAATATGTTAAAAATAATAAATGAATTAATAACTTCAACTATTATTTTCAATATGAGAGTATTTATAATAAAATCATTATAGATTTAATGATATATAAACAAATATCACTTATTTTATGACTTCTATTTAAGCCATTCTTCATATTATTCTTTAGCATCTTTAATATTTTTTGTCATTTATTCCTATTCTTATTGATTTAATTAAGAGAACAAGGCAGCATACAATTATTAATTATTTGATTGCAAAGTTAAGACTAATTTTTCCATTAATAAAATGGCATCATAATCTTCAAGTGGACTATCATAAAGTTCAGCATGTTCATCATCACCTTCATCATAATCTTCATCTTCTTCATCATCATCTTATTCTAAATCTTAGATTTTTTCTATTGTTTTTTTAAGATCTTCTTCTTCAGCTTGATCATCTTAATCACAAGATTCCTCTTCTTCTCTTAAATCCAATATTTTTGTTGATAATCTTACAAATAATTTTCCAATTTCTGCTGATGTTTATAATAAATAATTAGGTATTTAAGGTAGGGAATATAATTAACATAAAGCGAAGATTAATCTATTGATATCCTATTCATATTTATAGAATTTTTCCATTGAAAGTATAGTTTAGAGAATTTAATCTGTCAATCCTTTACTATTTAAGTAATTAACAGCAAGATTAGGATTATACCAAATACACATACATAAAACTCCAATATTAACAATTTTGAATCTATTTGTTTTTTTTTCTTTCTAATTAATAATATATTTGAAATAATTACTTATAAATTAAGTAAAGTAAAGTCTATGATTTATGGAATCAAATTATCTATTTGACCAGGGTAATTTTCTATTAATGCTATTAGAATAGTGGTAACTTAATTTTAATCTGTTTCATCAGTTCCATTATCAGCTAAAACATAAATCTTTTATATGAATCTAAAAACCAAAGAAATAAATGAATTGCCAAAGAAATCATTTTAAGTCAAAAATGTAGCTCCTCCTTTTTAAATATAGTTTCTAAAAGATCCCAACATTTAGGAAATGAATTCACTTCCCCAATCTTTCTTACATCCTTCTAATAACACATATTAATCCTCTGTTAAACCTTAGATACTATATACATTTGTTTCCTAAGGTATTCCCAATATAATGTAACATAAGACTGGATAATAAAACCATAAACCTGGAGTTAATTATTTTCTTTTATAAAGCATAATATTCAAGATCTCTAAAGCCTCATTAATGAAATCACATCCAGTTTCTGTTAAAGCAAAATTAATAATAGGAAAGATAACTGATTCTAATTAAGTATAAGATTCTTATTGAAGTGGAGCATTAAGAATTCTTTTGATTGCTTCTAAACATCCAGAAGCAGCTAATTCAGCTTCACCATCATCATCAGAATCACCATCTCCTTAATTCTATTTATTGCAATACTTTTAGAAAATAGTAGCAATATGAGCAGATAATTAATGAGCATAAGGAGTAATTTCATTTGTAAAATTTTTAACTATTTCTTCTAATGATCTTACAATCTTTTCATTATCAATCAATTCCATCAATTTAATATATATTTCTAATACTTAACTCAATTATGGTCTTATCAAATCTTAAGCTTCTTTATGTTAAAGAATTGAACTAAATGCAATTGCTGCAGCAACTCTAACAGGTAATTCTTTATCTAATATACATTTAGATATTCCTTAAACTGCCATTTAAATATTTTGTTTATTTTTAAATTCAATTATTCCATATTCATTAAATACATGACATGCTCTAGCCCTTAAAAATCCAACTGGATTTTAGAATTCTTATAAAATATATTTCTCTAAGATTTATTCTAAACCACCTTAAATAGAATTTATTTTTGATATTTAATGAACCAAACTTTCAATACCCCATAATAATGCTTCTTTTTTAAGAAGATCTAAAGGTTAATTTGTTAATGGATCAATATTTGTACTAAATGCAGTTTAACAATAGTTAAGAAATGAAATCAACATCAAATTGCCATTTATATCTTTTTATTAACAAACTTCTTAAAGAATATCATTCGCAGGATTCTTTATATTGTAAGTTGAAAGTGAAAAATCATCTAATCTTTTAATATATTCTTCTGGATCATTTTTCCATAATTAATCATCTCTAGGAGTTAATTACATTTTTGGAATAGCAATATGATATATAAGTTTATCATAATGAGGTTTGAGTAATTCTTTAGTATTGTCTAATTTTAAAGAGTAGAATAAATATTTAAGAGCAAATAAACAAGTTCTAGGTCCTTAGAATTAAGTGTTATCAGTTAATATTTTATAAAATATTTCCATAAATCCTATGGCATAAGTTGATTTAATATGCTCTGCAAATTCAGCCATATTTGGTTCAACCATTCTTTTATTTGCAAATTTCTAAATGAATCTTAATATGATTCTGCTTGCCCATTTCTTATTTGTCCATATATATGTTTTTTCTCTTCTAGTTTCCTCTTCAGAATCTTAAGTTAAACTTGATAACTCTGGAGGTGGAGGTGCTTATATAATAGTTCTAAAATAAAGCATCCATTTAGCTACTACATTATAATCTCTCATATATATTGGCATCATTAAATGAGTAGCATGATGGAATATCTTTAAAATCACTTTTACTAATTATCCACTTTATTCATTGTAGCCCTCTAAAAACTTTTGTATTAAAGTCTCCAAAATTGGAAATGTTGAAGCAACTAAAGGTTCCAATGGTTTACGATCATTTTCCAATAAAAATTAATGGACTTCACATGCACGTCTTAATGTTAGCAATGCACTCCATAAGTCTTCATATGAAGTAAAATTTGATAATTTAATTACTAATTATTATACTAATTATGGCCAATCATTAGGAAAGTCTATTGCGACCAATTTGTAAATCAAATCTTCATATTAAGATCTTAATTTCTTGACTTAGATACACCTACACTAAAATTATTTAACAACCTTGCTAAAGCATCAATAATAGTTGCTCTAATCACACTTTTTTCTTCTCCACTTACAACAAAATGGCCTGGTTCTTTCTTATCAGCCCAATGCTTTTCTAAAAATGTCTTCAAGTTTACTACAGCACTTTGTCTTAATAATTCTGGTTATGTTTAATCATCAACTATCCTTAATAATGAAATGGCATATCTAAAAATTTGGAGGATTTTAATTACAATGGTTATAAAGATGCTTATTTTAATAGAGTCTCTCCATTATTTACACTCTCTTATGATGTTCCATATGTTAACTATAAGGCATTGATTAAATATCCTAAGTCTTAGGTTTGCATTCACTAACTAATTTTTAAAATTTATTTTAAAATTTTTTAAACAAAATTTGCGCTAAAATCATATTATATGCTCTTATTTTTTATTTATAATATAAACATTATATTCTCATATTATCATTCAAATGGAAATAACTTCATTTTACTTTCTGAAATATTTATAAACCTACTATATAATATATATAAGTATAAGATTTAAATAAGCTTATTTTGACCTAATACTTATATAAAAGTATTTATTCAATTAAATTAAATCTTTATAAATAAAAAGACAAGAAAGTATAGATCGAATCACCACCCTATTATTAAAAAAACTTAATATATTATTTCAAAGACTATTTTTCATTATTATATTTAGCCATCATACCCTTATATTCGATAATATGTCAAATTTAGTTTTAAGCATATCATACTTCTTTTAGATTTGCTGTCAAATAATTTAAGGATTTCATTTACATCTTAATTATACATTCTAAATTATTAAACAATAAACAATTTTACTGTATAATCTCTGGATTTAAAATTAAAATCTTTCTATTTGAAACCAAAATACTTAATTACCTTTTTGTATCTAATAATCACTTAATTTTCTAATTACTATATAATACAGATTCTTTTGATAAGTTGAATAAAAATTATAATAGAAATTATCTTTTAAATATTTAATAGAATACAATTAAAATACTAAAGATAACATTTTTTATTAATGAAAATCATTCTGATTATAATAAACTCACTCTAACTTACATGTATATGTCAGATAAACTTGAATCAAATCGGAATATTGAAGTTATATTCAATTCTATGATGATCATAGAATATATTTAATACTACTTCTAGATTAAATAGGTTGAAAGGGAAAAGATAAATAATCCGAATTCAAATTAATGAAAATGATAATTAAGTCCTCTTTAATAATTAATATATAATTATGATGAAAAACAAAATAAGGCTTACAGCTCTTGACATAATGGCACTAGTCACAGAACTAAAGTAAAAAATAATAGGGACTAGGTAAGTACTTGATTAATAAAAGACTTTCAAATATTTACAATATTGATTCTAAGACGTATGTTTTCAAATTTTCTCTCCAAGAATAAAAATCCTATCTTGTGATAGAAAATGGGTTGAGATTTAATCTTTCTGATACTATAGAGAAAAATAAAGTACCTTCAGGATTCACAATGAAATTTAGAAAGTTTCTAAGGAGTCGAAGATTAGAAAGCATTGAATAAATAGGAGTTGAAAGAGTTGTAGTATTTACATTTGGAAGGGAAGATCATACCTACTATCTAATATTGGAATTATACTCTCAGGGAAATATCATACTAGCAGATAAAGATTATAGAATTATTTAATTGACTAGACAACACGAATTTTCAGAAAATGTGAAGTAGCTATTATTAAGATTATAAGGGTTGCTCCTGATGAGATTTATCCTTTTGAGTATACAGCTACAAATTATCTTGAGAAATTTGATACATCAATGGAAAGAATTCAGAAAGTGATAAGTGAGAAGCAGGGGTAAAAATTAAAGGAAGTGGTATTTAAATTAGTTCCTTGTTTACACTAAGCATTAACAGATGATATAATATAATAGTTGTAAATGAATTAGAATGAAAAGATTGTTAATCAATTTGATAATGTAAAGAAAGTAGTGGATTATGCTATGGATTATATTAATAAATATCGTGCTTAGACTCAATATAAAGGATATTTATGTGCAAAAGAAGCACCTAAAGATGCAGAATAAAAACCAAAGTTTTTTGATTTTGCTGCTGATTAACCTGGTTATTATTAGGGAAAATATGTTGTTGAAACACCTACTTTCAATGAGGCTGTACATCAATACTTTTAAGTAGTTGACAGACAGGAAGAGAATAAGTAATCAATAGAAGATATTGCTTGGAAGAAATTTGAAAATATTAAACAGGATCAAATGAGTAGGATTCAAAAGTTGTAAGTAGAACAGGATGAATATATTATGAAGGCAGGACTTATCTAAGAAAATATTAATGATGTTTAAGCAATTATAGACATTATTCAAAAAATGATAGATAATGGTATTCCTTGGGATAAGATACAAAGGATGATTAATGATAGCAAAAAAGAAGGCAACCCACTTTCCAATATGATAGGAGGAATGAATTTGGTATAATTATTTATTTATGTTCTTAGAAATAAAATAAAGTGATAATATTATTAGGTAATAAGGATGATGAATATTCAGATTTGGTACAAATAGAAATTGATATAACTTAATCTGCTTATTAAAATGCCAGAAGATATTATGAAAGCAAGAAGAAGAATAGAGATAAGGAGATAAAAACAAAGGAGGCTGTAGAATAAGCATTGAAATAGGCTGAGAAAACTGCTTTGAAGGAAATAGAGAGGGAGAAAAATAAAATATAGAAGGTGTAAAATCAAAGAAAAAAGTATTGGTTTGAAAAATTCTATTGGTTTATTTCATCTGATGGATATTTAGTAATAAGTGGTAAGGATGTTCAGTAGAATGAAATGATTGTTAAGAGATATATGAATAAAGATGATATTTACATGCATGCTGATATTTATGGATCAGCCTCAACAATAGTAAAGAATCCTAATGAAGTCCCTATTCCTGAGACTACAATAATGCAAGCAGCCACTGCAACTATATGCAGATCAAAATCTTGGGATGCTAAAATAGTTGTATCTGCTTGGTGGGTTCATGCATCTTAAGTAAGTAAAAGTGCACCAACAGGTATGAATATACCAGCTGGTTCTTTTATGATTTATGGAAAAAAGAATTTTATTTATCCTCCTAGATTAGAAATGGGTTGTACAATTTTATATTAGTTGGATTAAGATAGTATTAAGAGACATGAGGAGGAAAGAAAGAAAAAATTAAGAGAAGAATAATCACAGGTTGATGAATCTGAATAGAATGAAAGTGAAATTACAGAAAAAAATATACTTGATTCTGATAATGATGATAATGATGATAATAATGAAGATGATAATAAAGTAGATTAAATTGATCTAGAAAAAACTAATTCGGTATAAACTATTTAATAAGGAGATAAAGAATATACTATTGTTGAAGTCAATCCAAATGCAAGAATGATTTAATAAAGAAATGATAAGAAATAAAAAGAAAAAGATCAGTAGTAATAATAATAATAATAATAATAATAATCATAATAATCTAAATAATCATAATAATAATAATCTAAATAATCATAATAATAATAAACTAAATAATCATAATAATAATAACCTAAATAATAAAAACAAAATCCTAAAGAATCTGACAATGAAAATTCTGATGATGATAAGAAAAATTAGAAAAATCCTAAAACATAACAGGTGAGAGGAAAAAAAAACAAAATGAAAAAAGTAAAAGAAAAATATGCTGATTAATCAGATGAAGAGAGAGAATTAAGATAAAAGTTAATGGGAGCAACATATATGAAAAATGAAGTAAGACCAGAAAAAAAAAATAAAGATAAAGATAAAAATGATTCTAAAAAATAAGAATAGGATTAAATTTAATAATAAGATGTATAATTAAAAGATAAAGAATATTATAAAAAATAACAATTAAAATAGGAGTCTATTACTATTAAATTGCTTAAATAATAAGGTATCGAAGTTACAAAAGCAGAAGAAAATAATACTTAATAATAAACTTAAGAAACTATCCAATAAAAAGAAAATCAATTACAACAATAACAACTATAACAACAACAATAATTATAATAAGAAACAATATAATAAAAAGAACCACAAAATCAAGATAATAAATAAGAAGAGGTAGATAGTGATGATGAAAAATAAGAAAAATAACCTGAATAAGAAGAGGAGAATATTGAATATACGGAAATGTAAAAACTTGTCTCTTATCTATATCCTGATGGTATGAATTTTCATATTTATTTATTAGATAAGTATTTAAGTCTTATTCCTATGGTGGCTCCCTATACAGTTATAGGAAATAATAAATTTAAGATTAAAATTGCACCAGGATCTTTGAAAAAAGGAAAAGGTATATTTTTCTCTAATACTTTTTAGCTGGAAAAGAAATTTTGAATTTCTTCTTAGCAAATAAGGATTTAGCTAATTAAGAAAAATAACTTTTGAAAATGATAACAGATGAAGAAATAGTTCAAACTATGTTACCAGGGGTTAAATTAACAGGAGTTGGAATGCTTTAAATGAAATAAAAAGAGAAATAATTAAAGAAATAATAACCTAAAAAAAATAAATGAGTTAAATAGAAGAGTAATTAACAATGTAAATATATAGTATTATCATATTTTATTAATTAAATATACATTTATTTTCTTTTAATAATCTTCTTTGATGAATGGCTTTTTTATACTAATCTAATTCCAAATATTGAATCAAAACTAATTAAGATAATTAATAAATAAGTTACTTGATAACAATCATCAACATCAATAATATATATACTTAATATTAAAATTTTAATAATATTTTGCCTAAAGCTATTCTAAATATAAACTCTGATGGCTTACGTAATCAGAAAGAAAATAGCGCAAATAAATTAAATGAAATTATTATTAATAATCGATCAATGAAAGCGAGTAACTAAGCTTCTAACTCAAATAACTTCAAACTTAGAATTTTCTTGAAATCCTAATCTAAGGGAGAGTCCTCATCCATATATCCAATTTTAGATTCTTAGAAATTAGTTTTTGGTGATGATGAAAAAAATCATAAAAAACTAAAACCATTAATTTTATATGAAGATATATCTGATAGGTAAAAGTCCACTACTGCTTCATCAAGTTCTTCACAATTAAAGAAAATTACTAAAAGGATAACTCAGTCAATAGATAAAGAAATAAACCCAGAAAATCCATTTAAATTTTATTAAATAATTGATAATTATTATCAACAATATATAAATTTACCTTTTAAGAAAGATAGATTTGGTTCTTAAGAAAAAAACATAAATAAAATTTAAAGACTATATACAGAATAAAGTGAATTTAAATAAAATAAATAAAAACCAATAAAATTACATTTAACTTAATCCAAATATTAATTTAAATAGGAATTTATTAATGTAAAAGAAAAAATATTAAATTAATGCAAAAAAAATATGAAAAATATCCAATAATAATGAATTTATTTTGAAATGTTTTTATATTTATTTTTTAACTTAAATTGTATTCAATCATTCAAATATTTATAAAATTTAGAAAATGGATTGAAGATTCATAAGTATAATTGACTTATGATAGTAATCTTAAACAGTTTTTGACATATTTTTAAGTAATAAAATCCATAAAATTTGAATAAGGATTATCTATCGGTCAATAAATAGAAATCTAATATGACTTAATAGAAGTATTATCATGAATGAACCTAAGTTAATTTTGGAAACATTATGTTATATAATCCATCATAATATAAAACATTCATGACAACTTTCTACTTTCATTTATAAAGTAAATTTGATAAGATTATCATTTGTATTTTATAAAATAATAACAATTTATAATATATTTGAATTATCTATATCACAAATCCTCAATTGTTGGATCGTCGTCTCCTTAGGTCTGACTATCCTATTAATCTTAAAAATTTTCATCTTATTATTATTAATTTTATTATTCTTCTTTTTCATCTTATTAACTTTATTGTTCTTGCTTTGAGCCTTTTGTTGAATCAGATTCTGAATCTTTTTTATTTTATTACTTTTTCTCCTCTTTCTTCTTTTTTTCTTCATCTTTTTATTCCTGAGTCTTTTATAATAATTATTATATATACTTTTCTAGGTTTAGAAATAGATTTAATTTTAGTGTATTCTTCACTCACTTTATCCATTTTTTTCTTCAATTCTTCAATCAAGAATGCTGGGTCTTAATGCAATTCCCTCTTTTCTTATTCCTCTAATTTGGATTTAAACCAATCTGTAGTGTTTGTAAGATGTCCTAAGAATTTAACTTTTTTCTCTTCAGGAACCCATGGCATAGTTGAATTAAGTGAATTAGCCTTTTTATGGAAATCAGTTAATTTTGTGATTGTTTCATTAATGGCCTAAGGTCTAGCTTTAGCTTCATCTAATCTAACTTATATTGGTTTTAACCTATTTTAATAAGATATAATAATTACATATTATTTAATTAAGTAAATTTAGTGTTGAATTTTTCAAAATCAGCTGTCCATGCCTCATCACTATCAAGATATTCAGCATGTTCTTCTATTGTCTTTAAGATTTCATTTCTTTCAGTTTCAGTTGAAGCTTTTTAGAAATATTCAGCATCTTTGACTTCTCTGACTGTATAAATAAGAGATTCTAATTTATTTTTAATTTCACTTAATTTTCTACTATTTTCTTCAGCAGTTTCAAATTATTTAATAATTTTTTTAGATTCATCAATTTCTTATTAATTTAATCCCAAGACAAAATGATGAGTAATAGTATAATTAATTGGGAATGTATGAATAATTTTCTATTTTTTGAATTAAGGTGCTTCTACTACAGGTTCATCATTTTTTGGTGGTTCCTCTGTTTTTTAAACTTCTTCATCTACTTATTATTCTGTTTCTTCAGATAGATCACCCTCTTCAGTTGATTCATTTTCTTTAGTTTCAGTTTTATTTGTAGATTAAGTTTTATCTTATGATGATGTTGTATTAGTTGTTGTAACATTAGGTTTAATTTCAATGAGTTTAATTTCTTCAACTTTCATTTCAGCACTCTCTAATTTAATAAATTCATGTGAAGTGGATTTAAAAGTAAGAGAGATTTCTGGTTTAGTGAAATTGAGTTCTGTGGCATTAGTTATATTATTTAAATGATAAGACATTAATTTAGATTTTAAACCATCTTTTTCTACATAAATATCTAATCTTAAATTCTTATCATAAGTGAATTCTAAAGAACGAGTACTTCCATATTTCTTTTTATATCCAAATAATGAAAATTCTTTATGATAATCATCATCATTAACTCCATTAATTTCAATTGAACTACTGAAACTAAAACCATCAGTTAATTAAATTGGTCTAACTTTAAAGGAATGAGACAGATTAGCAGCATGGAATGCAGCACCAAATGCCATAGATTCATCTCCATTTAAATGTGTTCCTACTTCTACACTTCCAAAATAATTAGCTAATGTCTATTAGATTTTAGGAACTCTAATTCCTCCACCAATCAATTCAACAATATTAATATCTTCTTTAGTTTTGTTACATTTTTCTAAAACATAATTAATTGGATCAATTAATTGTTGTAGTCTATCTTCAAATAAGGATTCAAAAGTTGATCTCTAGATTTATGTAGTATAATCTTCTCCATCAATCAAACCTTCCAAATAAACTTAACTTTCCTTGTTTGCTGATAATATTTCTTTATATTTATTGGATGCCTTCAATAATTTATTCATTGCTCTAGAATTTGTAAATATTGATTTCTTTCCTTATCTTGATGGCTAACTATCAAACTCTTTGGCAAAATGATTTGCTAGTAAAAGATCTAAAGATTATCCACCTGCATTTGGAATAGAATAATCAGCTAGAACTCTTAAAGTTTCAATCTTTTTCTTTTGAGCATCAATAGCTTAGAATTCCACCAAAGAAACTTGAATATTATATGAACCTATATTATAAAATAAAGCAGTATGTTTATTTTCATCTTAACGTTCAAGTGCATAATACAAAGCAGCTGCTGTATTTTCATTGATAATTCCTAAAACTTCTAATTCTGCTAATTATGCGGCTGATTTTAATGCTCTAAACAAAATATTTAATTTTTAATTACGATCTCTAACTTATGTTCCATTCACTTGGTACTGTCAATACAACATCTTTAATTTAGATTTAATGATTGAAATCTACTAACTTAGCTATAAATTTAAGAACCATTCCTGCTAATTCTTCAACCTTTACAATCATAGTATCCTTTCCTTCTACCAATACACCATCAACTTCAAAAGCAAATGTTCCTTCTCTCTAAAATTATATTGTTTAAATCTTTACCTCCTCAATCTCTATTTTAAAATCTTCATAAGACTATTTAGAAATTTCTACAATTTTTTCGTCATTTGCTAATGCTCCTAAAAATTTGTTTAAGAATGTAAATGTATTCTTAGGTGATTTGGATTTTTTTGAAACACCATCACTCTCATACAATCGCTCTTTATTATAAAATGCAATCTTAAGTATAAATAATTGATCATACAGCATTTTCTGTTTTACGTTTACTTGTAGTATTCTCTATGATTGTAAAAGATTTGCCTGGACTTATTAAAACTGCTTTGATGAATTCAGATCCGAAATCAATACCCAATACTGCTCCATTTGCAATGATAGCTATGAGACAAAGGAGTAAATATTTAATCATTAATAAAAATCAATAAAATATTCTAGAATAATTTTACAAACTCTTATATACACGTGTATTCTGACACTCACTCAATTTACCTAGACTCTAAGAATAATTCTAATTATTATTTTATACTAAATGATTCCTCATAATACGAATCAAATGATCCTATTATATATTAAATATATATTTAATTATATTTTAATCATCCTTTTCATAAATCACTAAATAGATTATTTTTTTTTCCATTTATATTCTTAAATCATCAATCAACCAAATATGATTTTTTATTCTTTCAATTAAAAATATGCATTAAATATCTTAAATTATATAAAAATATAATATATGAACCTATATATCATATCTTTGACAAAAATAATTTAAAATATTAATGTAAAGAGTTCTTATCTAATATTGATCTTGCTAATTATAAATGATAAACTCTTTTCTATTTTAAAGATAGCATAATTTATAGATCTCTATAACTACTACCTAAGTTCATTATATATAATATATTTTATCATAATCAAAATATCAATATAAATTTCCTATTGTTGAACATAAATAGTTTAATAATCCTAGTGGCTGTATTCAGATCTATATTTTTAATTTAATTCCAGATTACTAGACTATTTTAAATCTCTTCATATTGAAAAATTCCAATAATATTTCTTAAGATGTTGATATCAACTATATTATATTTCTTTGAACTAATAAAGAATCACAGAAGAATTTACAATTTTCTAACCACTTCAATTGAAAGGAAGTTTTATTTCTCTGTGTTAATGTAAAATTTCAATAAATTCCTTTAAAGTTATGTAATATATATTAATCTATCAATTAAAAAATCTCTTTATAAACTATTACAGTCATCTTCCTCCTTTATTTTTATATTCATAGAATCTATCTAAAATAATCAATATCAATTTTTCTACTATCCCATATATAGTAATTGTAAACTTTTCTTTGGATTATGTAAAAGTATAAAATTCATCCACTTATTTCTTTTTCAATCTTTACATCAATATAGAAAAAAATATATTAATGTTTTTAATAGATGATTGATCGTTTCTTTTAAATTTGATTTCAATTCTGAGATTGGAAAACAATTCTTCATTTATTAATATTCATGTACAATCAAAAGTTATTAGTTCTCTGATTTCTAATCATATCTACAACATAACCATAGTCAAATCAAAAACACAAATATGTTAATATAATTTATTTTAATATTAAATAATAATATAGAAAAAACAAAAATCATTTTTGTTCAATACTTTTTATTATTATTATTGGAAGTCAGTAATTTTCAAATTATCTCTTTTCCATATAGTTTTTAGACAAAAATAGTGTATTTATCATTTTAGTTATTTCAAAATTCACTTACTGTTTTCAACAAAAACAAATCATATTGATCTTATAAAAATGATTAATTATGATTAGACTTTGAGAATCCTATTTTTTTAATTATTTTAAGTTTCTTATACTTTAGAAAAAGGTAGTTCACTACTTAATTGTACTTTTTTATTAGAAATTATAATATTAAATTTAAAAACATTTATTTTTGAGTTTATATATTATTATTTTAAAGATTTTGAAAAATAAAAATTTTCTTTTTTTGGATAGAAAAATAAAATTTAGGAGGAAATTTAGATATCTCATTGATTTAGAAAAGTTTTTAAATTTATCCCCACATACTATCTGATAACAGTGATATTTGTAAGCAATAATTAAATTTATATATTTCTTTAAATAAGTAATTATTGCAATATTTATTTTTATATTAAAAAAGTAATATAATCTAATAACTATATATTTTTTATATAAATAATGGTTATGTATCTTTAATTAATATGAAGCTACTGTGTATATATATATACGATATTAAGCTAACAGAACAAGATATTAAAATATCAGATTGTAATCACATATGCACTGCTTAAAAGTGATAAGAAACTTTTCTTTATGGTCTTCAGTTCCTCTTGGTTCATTAGATCCTATGTCTGGAATAGTCGCACAATTCAATGCAGATAATTGCCCCTAAAAAGTCAATTTAGGAGTTAATACTTATAGAGATAACAATGGAAACCCTGTAGTCCTGGAATCTGTTATAAAAGTAATATTATTCTTCAATTAGGCTATGTAAATAATCAGAGAAAAAAATTTAGATAACGAATATCCACCAATAGAAGGACTCTAATCTTTCATTGATGCTGCAATTAAACTTGGATATGGTGACAAGTACTATGAAAAAAATAGTAAAAACATTGCTGGATGTTAAGTACTGAGTGGAACAGGGGCCATTAGATTAGGGTTTGAATTATTAAATAAGTTCGTCCCTCCAGAAACAAAAGTTTTAGTTCCAATCCCAACATAAACTCTTCATCCTACTATCGCTAAGATGGCAGGATTATAATCCTAAGAGTATCGATATTTTGATCCAACTACAAGATAAGTCGATTTCTAAGGACTTTTTCAAGATTTATATACTGCTCCAAATGGATCAATTGTATTATTCCATGCTTGTTCTCACAATCCTACTGGATGTGATCTAGAACTACATTAGTGGGAATAATTATTGGATTTAACAAAAAAAAAAGACTTACTCCCATTTTTTGATATGACTTACTAAGGATTTACAAGTGGAGATATGGATAAAGATGCTTATGCTATTAGATTGTTTACAGAAGCAGGAATGCCTATCATTTTAGGTTAATCATTTGATTAAAATATGGGATTGTCAGGTTAGAGAATTGGATGCCTCAGTTTAGTTTGTTCTAATGAAAAAGAAAGAGAGATTGTTAACTCATAACTAAATTTGATAGCCAGATCTCTATGGTCCTGTCCACCTGTTCATGGTGCAAGAATAGCAGAAACAGTACTTAACAACCCAAAAATATATTAATTATGGTTAAAAGAAGTCAGACTCATGGCATAAAGAATATAAAATATGAGATATAGCTTTACAAAAGCCTTAAAAGAATTAGGATCACCTCATGATTGGTCTTACCTCTCAAAGTAATTTGGATTGTATTCATTAACAGTAATAAATATATATTTATTTCATAAGGGTATTGGACAACTTTAAATAAATGAATTAATGGAAAAATATCATATTTATTTATTAGAAAATGGAGGCATATCGATTGCTGGATTGAATGATAATAATATCAAATATGTAGCAATGGCATTCCATGAAGTGACAAAAAACACTTAAATATGATTTATAACGATTATTTAATATAATAACCTTCATAGCGTATTATTTTTAATTAAATCAGAATTTCTTAATTCCAAAACGGATCAAAATATTCATAATATTTGTTGTCGTTTTTTCTTAAAATAATAATTTTTTTCATAAATACCATTTTTTTCTAATTATTGTTATTATCATTCATCAAATGATGATGTTATATTATTGACTAATTATGTGTATGACCATTGTTTACTTAATCAAATTATTCATGTTAACCTTTTATTTTGATATTTTATAGTGTTAATCTAATATATCAATATTTTATTGAATATTAAAGTATTAAGAGTAAATTCTCAGGTATTAATTGAGATCAAAATATAGAGATAGTTTATTATCAATTAATTATAATAAACTAATAAATTTCTGAATGTATCAGTTAATGTTACTATATTATTATGACTAAATACTTAGAGGGTTTAAAAATTGAATTAAATACTATATTTAATCGAGATATTTCAAGTATTCCATTTTTAAGAATTATTGTTTGACTATTAATATTAGTATTATTATAAATATTATTTTTATTAATTAGTATTTTCAGATCAACAAGACAAACATTCTTAAGCTATTTAATAGATTCAACTTTTTTAACTCTGAATAATCTTAGATTAATAATTTCCAGATGTTTTGATATGTCTAAAAGCCGTTGCTGATCGAAGTCAAATAAAAAAATAACATATTTTTGTTAAATGGCTCAATCAACCAACTGTAGGATCATAAAATCCATGAAATTATGTAATGTATTTCTAATTATTATTTAAATAAATAATATAATATTAAACTCATCAATATTACGTTACTAACTTACTTTGTTATTTATGATTGAGTAGAGCACCCTTTTGCTTAGAACAAATTATTAAAACTAATAAAGAAAGCATACTAATAGAATTAAAAGTTTATAATAAGGAATTCCTTATTGTAAATATCGAAAATAACTAGTCTTAAATTTAATCCTCACTGAACTTAAAGGGATTTTTATTAAGACCTTAAATTTAGGTAAAAAAAGAACCTTAGAGCATAAATGAAAATAAACAATCACATCTTATTAAATCAGTAATTCTATTATAATAAATTAGATTAATTCATCAATCCTTATGATAAATATTTTATTGATTAGATGTTAATAAAGGATTTATACATAATCTATTTAATTTTCAATTATTTCCTCTTAGTTATGATATGAATAAACTCAATATCCTTTTAAAATAAATTCATATAGGATTAAACTTACTAAAGATGAATCTGCTTATTTAATGTTAATAGAATAGTTAGCAATTTTTATTATTCTTGATAAAAGAACATAGGTATTGCAAGGAGAAACATTTAAATGATTTAATTTAATTTAATTATATAAATATATTATCATTTATAAATCCAGTCTGTTCAATTGATTTAAACTCTAATTTTACTTTTAACTATCATTAAAAAACACTTTTTATAATTTTGAAATAGTTCAAACAATTAAAGATTACAGACATTTCTAATTGATTTTAACTTTATTCCTTTAATTCTTGAAGTTGCAAATATCTTTTCTCTCTAGTTTTAATTCTCTACAAGATTATATGAACTTCTGTTAAGAAATAAATTAAGAACTCTTTAGATTAAGTTCTAATTTGATTCTATTCTGATTTATTTATTATCATAACCATAATTAGATTATAGTTTTATCAATTAAGTACAAATAATAATAATTATTTATAAACAAAATGTTATTAAGAACTTCAAACCCATTCTAAATCTTCTGTAGTTTGCCAGCCAGTTATATCAATAATAGGCCTATCAGTCATTGTTCTGATCGGAGAAAAATTTCTTTAATTACTTAGATTCAATCCAGTATTTAATCTGCTTGTATTTGATACTTATTTAAAAGATGACTTTAAATTAATAGAAAATGTTTTTATAGGTTTCTTTGATACTTTTAGAGGATTAAATATCTCTATTTATTGTCTATTTTCTCTGTTTTCTTGTTTACTCTATTATTATCTAGAAAACATCATTTAATTCTTTATTTATCTTAATAAATTGCTTTTCTATGGTAATATAGGTTAATCTTCCATATTAATTTGATGAAATTTTCGACTTTGGCCTTCAGAAAATGGTCTTGTATGAATATGCATTGATTTCTTTTAATATAAAGAACTTGCTTATATTTTGTTTTCAATTAATACAGGATTATGTTTATCTAAATTAATTTAGAATCATACTTACGTAAAGTAGATCGTTTAGTAATATTTAATTGAGTATCAACATGATGTTTAAGACATTGAGGATTAAAAGAATTATTAGTATTTGATCGAATAAGTTTATTAATGAGGCATTCCAAATAATAAATATCTACTGTTGTTGTTGATTTCTTTTGTCTCTTCATTATTTAATTTATATTAATATAAAATTATTCATTTATATGTTTTACAATAATATTTTTATAACAATTCAAATAACATTTTATTTTCAGCATAAATAGAATGGTATTTAATCACTAGTATTATATTTTAACCAAAAATTAAATTGATTCAAAACTTTAAATATTAAAAATTCTATATTGATATTATTATCATAATTAAATAGATAAATATAAAAAAATATACTCAATAAAGAATCTAATTAATAGATATTAAATTAAAATTTATCATCAAAGTTAAAGTAAAATTAAAATTAACAAAGATTCCTCCTCATAAATTTGTTGTTTGTTTATTTTATATTTTTTTGATTATTAAATTAAGTTCTTAATATATTTCGAGATAGAAAAAGATCATAAGTTTAGAAGTAAATAAATTGATGTAGAATAAAGCAATTAATAAGTTCTGTGAAAATTTGTAATTAATAATTAATTTAAAGATATATTGATTTAAATTTTTAACTATATTATTGAAATAGAGATATTTTTAATTCAAATATTGTTGTGAATACTATATTTACTTTTGTTAAACACTTTTCTAAATTCCTGCATATAGACTGAATTACTCTTTCTTATATTTACAGAATCTTATCTCTAAGTTATTTTTTAAGGTATTATAGATTGTCTATGTGTCGAAGAAATTCTTGGTTTAGATTCATCATTTAAGGTCTTGCATATATTGGCATAACTTTGTTATTATTTCTACATCTTTATTGATTAATCTTAATAAGTACTTGTTATTTCATTAATGTTGCTAATGATGATTAATAAGGATTAGTTGTATTATGTGAAGATGAGGTTTTGTGTCTCAAATTAGATTAATAGGAATCATTTTCTAAGTTTATTTTTAATCTCATCTATTACTTTAAATAAGATTCTAAATCGATATTAAAATTACTTTAAGGGTTCTATGTTAAATTGTTTGTGTTATAATCTTATTATTTTATACTACGATAGCTTTTAGATTAAGTATTATTTTACGAATTCCTAGCTTATTATTTTAAAAAATAATCTAATTTGTATGATTAATGTCTTTATATCGAAATGTCTTTGTGTAATTATGTTTGTTGTTGAATATTTTTGCTGTAAGTATAAATTTCATAGGCATACATACTTAGGGGGATTAGTGCAAATTGCGAATGAACGTTCTAAAGATTTGCAAATGGTTTATGGTTTACTATATGTAGTTACATTTTAGTTCAAAATTTGAATGTTGTCAAAGAAACTGTCATTCATACTCATATTTTGAATTTAAATAAATAATAAAATAAAATGAATTAGGATAAATAAAGAAATCTATATTGAAATCCTTTTATTGCTGATCTGTTGAGGATTTATTAATTTAATACTATATGCAATCTTTTAGAAGTAACAAAAAGTAGATTAACCTAAAAATATCTAAAAAGTAAAATTTAGAATGCAATTAAATTTGTATATAATTCTGTATAATATTTAATGAAGGAGGATTTTCTGGTTAATATTAAAATAATAAAAGCATTTTATATAAAATAATAAAGGATATTGAACAACTGCTATAATTAATCCATTAATTTATTCTTCTCTATTATATAAATGTTATAATGATACGTTGGAAATTAGGTAAAAAATATGTGGTATTTATAATCATGCTAGTAACAGTTTGAAAAGGATTTTTGTGTTATTTAATAATTAATCAACTCCTTGGGATATTTTTTAGTTTATGCTCAATCAAAAAAGATAGTCAGAGATTATTCTTTAAAAAATTGGTTATAAAATAGCATCAATTAAGAACACTGTATAATTTTCCAAGCTTTTATTCAAAAACTGACCAACTTTTAATAAATGAGACCTGATAGTTTTTTGATCGAGCTATAACTAATTAGTAATAAAATGAAAACAAAAAATTAATTGTATTTATTAGATTATATGTTATTGAAAGATTTTATGTATATTAATATTTAAGTTATATCTTTTTAAGATTATCTCACATTACTAGTTGCAATGTGACATATTTTTAATTATTAATGAGACTTTAAATATATTTTTAAATGTAAAAAAGGTGAAACAAAATGATTCTTTATATAATAAGACAAGATCAATTAAAATAAATACTTATGTGTTAGGTTAATTATTTTTTATTTTTTCATTAAATTTTATATGAATAAAAACTCAAATACTTAGTAATACATTTATTGAACTTAATAGTGATACTCTTATAAAAGTTGTGATTGTAGGAAACTGTAATGTTGGAAAATCTTGCATTTTAATGAGATATTCTGAAAATTATTTTACATCACAATATTACAATACGATTGGCGTAGACTTTGTATTTATAGATTTTATTTAGAGAAAACTAGAGTAATTAAAATAGGGAATTAAGAGGTGAAATTGCAAATTGTATTAATTCTAAATTATTTTAAGTGGGACACAGCAGGATAGGAGAGATTTAAGGCTTTGACAAATAATTATTACAGAGATGCCCATGGAGTTGTGATTGTTTATGATGTGACTGAAAGATCTACATTTGATGCAGTAGATAGCTGGATTGAAGATATAGACAAGTATTGATTTACTTAAGCCATTTAATAAAGGTATGGGAGAAAATCAGTTTAAAAATTAATAGTCGGCAATAAGGCTGATATACCAAATAAAAGAAAAATTAGCATATAAGAAGGTTAAGAGAAAGCAAAATCTTATAATGCTTAATTTCTTGAAACATCAGCTAAAACATCAGAAAATGTGGATAAATTATTCATTTCAATTTGTGAATAAGTCATGAACATGAAATAGTAACAGCCTTATAATTAGAATAATAATTTAAATAAATAATAATAGAATTAATCTCAGAATAGAAATAATAATAGAGGATGTTGCTGATGTAATTATTTGATTCTTTTTGGTTTTATAATAATATTTTTTATGTATAAAACCAGATTAAGGGATTGATATTTTCATATATTTATTTAATTAACTTTTTATTTTGTGATGAAAATAATTATAGATGGAATTACCGTCTGATTGTTATTTGATGCTAATATGGCTATATCTGATATATCAAAAATATTAATATTTATCAAGTTGATGAATAATGGAATCTCATTATATGAGATTAATGATTAAAAATTTCTATATCTGACAATATATATCATCCATATAATAATAATAATAATTTATATTATTAAATGATGCATGAAGAGTAAGAAGTGGAGATCACTTCTGACTAATTACAATCAATGAAAATGTGTAAAATCTTCAAAGACCACGTAAGTTTTGGATTCTAAATTTTAGCAAAAAGATATAAATGCTATCGATTTTTCAAAAGACGGATAATATTTAGTCTCTTGTGATGATTAGGCTCTTAATGTATATGATGTCCATTAGGGAAAGTATATTAGTTTTTGATGATATAGGAAAATGAGAACACTCTACAATAAGGTTAAGGAAATAGATCTAGTGAGATTTACACATCATAATTCATGTGTTTTATGTGTCACAAAAAAAGAGCCTTATGATATCTATTATTGGTCATTACATGATAATTAAATATTGAAGAAGTTCACGGGACACACTAATATGTAAAATTAAATTGAATTACCTATCTTGATAGAATACATTGGCTAGATTTATCACCTGTCTCAGATGATTTTTTAAGTTGTAGTATGGATGGAACATTAAGATTGTGGAATTTAGCATCAGAATACTAAACATCTGATGGTTTATTAGATTTAACTGCTAAAAAAACATTTTGTGTAGCTGCATTTGATCCATCAGGATAAGTATTTGCAGTAGTGTTTTTGGAATAATATTATTGTATATCAAATAATTGGTTATACTTATATGATTTTAAAAAATATCATTCTGGATCATTTTAATCCAAAAAGATTAATTGTAGTCAAGTTAAATGTATAAAATTTAGTAATAACAACAAATATATTTTATGTTCTACAGGAGATGGCACAATACTTATTTTAGATGCTTATTTATTAGATACAGTAAATAATTTAGTTAATAAATAGATTTGTGAATTAAGTGATTTCAGCAACCAGGGATCAATGATAGAAGCTGGCTTTACTCCTGATTGCAATTATGTAATAAGTGGAAGTGAAACAGGTACTATACATATTTGGAGTCTTCCACTTGGAAGTTAAATTGCTAGATTAGATGGACATTAAAAAAGAAGTAAAGTTGTTAAATTCTGTCCTACACATTTTTTAATGGCTAGTGGTTGTAGAAATTTAGTGCTTTGGATTCCTGATTAATTTTCAATTGATAGCATGAATAATAATAATAGTAGAAGAAGTTTAATGAGCATCTGAATTTAATTCATGTATTATATATATATATTATAAATAATATTTATAATATAAAATGTAATAATATAGTAGCATAGAAGTAAATTAATATTTACTATCTTATCTAGCAATTTGATGAATTGATGAGTAGTAAATTTTATATTGAAGAGGTATTTGATGAAATGCAAAATGAAAAGGTGGACATACCAAATACAGATAAAAATAAAATCATGTTAACACTTGTAATGTATATCTTCTATATAAAAAGGAAGAAAATCTAAAAGAAAAGAATGATTTCTTACTTTCAGAAGACTTTAATTAGTTTCAATAATTGCTGGTTATTTCTTTGATTACAATCAATTTTTCTAGTGATGATCCATTTTTCAGACATATTACTATGGTTGTCAAGGCTATCAAAAAAGCCATTAAAAAAAGACTGACTTAGGACACTAATTACTTCTAATCAATTTAAGAATATAAAGTAAGATTCATTTTTTCTAATAGAGAATTAATAATCAACTCTCTTTAAAATCTTTTATTAAGATATAAATATTGGATTCATTACATCCACATTACAAATAAAATCTACAGCATTCATATTTATCAATAAAGCAATAGCTGATAGTTTTATGAATAAGAAAATATCAATTGAACAAAAAAATGAGCGAGCCAGATTGACTCTCTCTTTTTTCAATATAAACATTTAGAAAGAATTAAATGTGTAATAAGATTTTAAAAACTAATTTTTAAGAAACAGTAAATTCAAAAATGAATTTATTGTCTTAAATGAAGAATTTGATCAACAGAAATAAAGCACAACTTATCATGTCTATAAGCCAATGGATGATTAAATTTATTTTGTTAAACGAGTAAAAAACAACCTAATTATAGATTTAATTGTAAGGCATTCCTATTAATGTTACATTTCAAGATATATTTAATACAAAAAGTTCTAATTAAGATTACTTAACAATTCAAGAAGCACGTATTCTATAACGTATTTCACATCCAAACATTATCAGACATTATGATTGGTGGCTTGAATCAAAAAATTAACAACTATTCCTCTACACTCAAATTGAATATTGCATTTATCCAGGATATATCTCGTAAACTAAGAACCTATTGAGTTATTCTTATTTTTATATGAATCCTATGCCATTAGAATAGAAGAGCAAATTAATAATTGAAATAATCTGCTAAGTTATAAGTGGTTTGGAGTATTTGCAACAAAAATAAATAATTCATGGAGATCTTAAGCCAGAAAGTATTATGGTTACTAAAAGTATTACTGGGGACATCTAAGTAAGCCTATTCTTCTATAAATGAGGTAATGTTAGCAGACTTGAATCATTCATACTCTTATTTTGAAGATATGCAAAAATAATTCAAATAAGATTAAGCATAATATAAATAATAGAGTCTTTAAGCTTTGGGAGTATTAATAATGCATCTCATTCTCACATTTCCTGGAGAACCAACATTAAGGAATAATTATATAACCAAATTTTCAAATAACGATATTGAGGATTCCCTAAGTGAATTTGATAAATGGGCATAAAAATCTGTAAAAAATAGACATAAAGAATTTTCATTTTTTTTATATAAAAATTTTATGGTTTTAGCTAAATCCCTTTTAAAGAAATAGAAATTTAATGAATTGCATGAAGTAAGAACTTTTATTTAAAATAATAAATAATTTGATCATCTATAAGTTTGATTTATTTTATAGTTTTTTTTATAAAAATAAATAAATAATAATGTAAAAGAGATAGTCTCATACCAAACTACCATCAGAAGTCATTCATTCTAATAATTATTATATTATGCCAAAATCGCTTAGGTATTAAATTTCATTTACAAAATTTCAGATCATCATTAACATCAGCCTAAAGTTCGGAGAGGAAAAAGGTTGTTTCGACTAAGAATGTTGATTAATTCGAGTAAATACATAATCCTGAAAAGCTTTTGAGAAAAAATCATTAAAATACTACTTATTAATCTAATTTGGAATTATAATAAGCATTACATTATTCTGAATAAAACAATTAATATCTATCTCGTTATCATTAATAGTTAATTTAGAATAATGTAGATCTTTAGAGTCTTTATAATAAATCAGAAACGGAAAACAAAAAGTTATAAAATGAACTAAAACTATTGTAAAATAGAATTTCATTAAAAGAAAGCGAATTAAAGTAGGCTTAAGACAATGGAGTTTAATATATGAAGGATATTGCATAATTAAAGATTTCTATATAAAAAGTATATTATTTCTGTTTATAAAATAAGCTTAATTCTACATTGATTAAATTGAAAGAAGAAAATGCACAATATAAAGAATAATAAAATATCATTGAAACTTAGTATTTTCTAACTGGTTAAGGATTATCCAGCCGAAAAGATCTAAATTAACATAATGAGTTCAACTTGAATGGATCAAAATACTCTTAAAATTCTCGATAATAATCTTAAAGTTTTTAACTTAACTCTGCATTTACTAATGATAATATTTAGAGTTATTAAAATTAAATCATGCAATTTTAAAAAGAGTTAGAAGAAAAAAATTAATTAATAATAGGTTTGCAATAACAAGTTAAAAACTTGACAGAGTTTTAAAGATAATTAATGACAAAATCACCAAAAAAATAACACAATAAAGGATTAAAAAGTTAAATGTATTCAAGTCCTCGTTAAACACCCATTTATAAATTGCAAATTAATAATGAAAGTTAGATATATAGTCATAGAAACCTTTTAAATTTAATTGATGAATAATAGAAGCCTGATATTCAACTTCATAGAACCAGATAATCAGATGAATTTGATGTAAAATATTTTTATTATAATAGGTTGGACCAAGCATCAAATCATCTATTACAAATCTAAAGAGTAAATAACAATTATAATAGATATATAAGAAAATTAATTAATCTACAATATATACTGCAGGTTTATATTCTAGTTTGTTAGATTATTAATATCTATCTAATGTAATTTTATTAATTATAGTTTTAGAGTAAATTATTGAGTTCTTCTTGTTCTAAAGATACATTATAACAATGAAGATCTCTTAAAATATTTTAATTTATTAAATTTATTTGTTATTGAATAATTTAAATACTACTTTATATTAGAAAATTTATTCTTAGAAATCAAAAGATATAAGTTCTTCAAATATGTCTAACTTAATTATTTATACATAAAATGAATGAATATAATAAATAGTTATCATACCTAAAGATCAAAAATTTATAATTTGAATAGTAATCAATAATAAAATTTATATTTCAGTAAATTTCTATTTTATCATAATCTTAGATTCAAGATACTAAAATAATAAATATTTATATATTTTAAATTCTTGAAAGCAAAAGCCTACTTCTGGCTTAGCAAATATTATGATTGAGATAAAATAATCTCATTTTTATATGGCCAATATATAATTATATTTTTTAAGGTATATTTTTCCATTTGTATATGATATTTATATTCTTTCTTAAAGAAGAAGTTAGGAAAGACTATTTATTTATAAATTTCATTTTAATAAATATCTAATTAGATAAAAAAAGAAAGGTTAATGTTATTTTGCAAAGCATTATTTGATGAAATTAAGAATCATTTATATTTAAGATCAATGACTTCATGATTATATATTCATTTTATATTAATATTTTATTGAATTGATATTTTTACTAAAAAACTCCCATCATCATTTTATTTTAGTTAAACCTAGATAAGTTCAATTACTTTTAGATAAGCTTATTGTTATTAAAATTTTGATTTGCATTATGTATTTTAGATACAATTTCTAATGATTACAAAAATATGATGTCTAAAATTAAAGATAATGAGAATTCATTCCTATTTGATGCTTTAGATTAATATTTTAAATTAAATTATTTAACTAAAGATTTTACGATTGGAAGATTACATGATGCATATAAACGTCCATATCAATCTTATTAAAAATAATAAATTAATTTCAGAATCTTACAACCTAGATACTTATCAGTTTAATATGTATATTTATGTTTGTATTTAATTTTATTTTAAAAATTAGGATTTTTAAATTTTTAAATTATTATAATAATATATTTGGATTAGATGTTATTATAATCAGAAATTTGAAGTTTATCAGGGATACATCTTTATTAAGAAATTATATGATACATGATAAATTAATCACTTGATTCTAATGTTTTAGATAATGTAAATAACAATATTCTTACAAACATATAAATATTATATTGATTTAAATTAAAAAAAAGATATAACATGAGAGTAAAAGGTAATAATACAATAAGATGACAATCTCAAAGTATAATATTCTTTGTTTCCTTTTCTAAATATATAAATTTATAAAAATATTCCATCTTTAGTCTGTTTACAAAAAAATAAATTACAATAATTTAATCAAAATGGGATGTTCAATCATCAAATAAGGGAGGGTTGATTAAGCAGAATAAACAAAATGCCTTATTGAGCAAAAATCTCAGGTTAAGAAGAAGAGTTTTTTTTATAGATATTCTTTTAGACTAGAAGATATTTCATAGAGTACATTAATGATGAGAAGAATATAAAAAGTGAATTGATAAAGAAAAATATACCAACTAGTCATTCTCAAATAAAAGAATTCTTTAAGAATGATTTAGTTTTGTTTGTTTTATTATATTATATATCACAAATCAAGATTAAAACTTATTTTTCATTTTTGATCTTTACCCTTTTAGGACAATAAATGTGTTTATCTAAATGGAAATGATCGAATTAAATATAATATATTAAACCTTTTGAAATTGGAATTTCAAACTAATATTCAGTGAAAATAAGGATTTCAGTTAGGACAATATTTAAATCAAATAAATATTTCAGAATATTATCAAAGTCAAAAGAATTTATATAACATACACTAGATTAGGTTGTATATAGATTAATTTATTGATTATTACAATGATAAGAAATTAAAACATATACAATTATGTTAAGCTACAATTAAATTTTATTAAATAATTATAAGTAATTATAATATTCAATATATTTCTCTTAATGATATAAAAAATTTCCACCTAATTTATTCAAAAATAGGTAAAATTATAATTATATAAAAAAGCGTCTAATATATATAAAATTTAAATTGTTTATCTTATTACATTACACTCAGTATTACCTAGATTATTAAGTGATTTTTTAAATATGTGAATATAAAGTAATTAGTTAATTCATAGATTAACAATAAAAATTGAAAGAAACAAAGTATAAAAATTTATATTATATAAATTAAAACTAAATAAATGTACCGTTTTTGTGTGATAATTTAATAAAATGAAGGTTTTTGCTATAATGGCTTTGTTGCTGATAACAGCATACTCTCAATCAAACGAAATAGATGTTGTGTTGAAGATGCTTGCTGATTTAAAAAATGGCACAATCAAACAATTATAAGAATTAGAGAGTGATTGGGAAGCAACAAAATATGTAATGTGTATAATATGACTTTCGATCAGCAAAAACAAGACATTGTTAATGATTTATAGCGTTCAGCATCAACTTAAAGAGGTGAATGCAATAGAAGAGATTAAGAATGGGCAAATAAAGAACGTGACATTAGAATAACACTTAGCTATATTAATTGGCTAGAGAAAAGAATTAAAGAGAATAATGAAAGACTTTAAAGATTAGATGTGAACAGATGTGAATCAAATGCTAATTTCATTAATGATATCAAGAATTCAAAGAAAACACTTAATTTAATTGCTTTCCTTAGAAGAGCTGTGAAAAATGCAAAAGAAGTACATTATTATGCAATATAAGACTGATTTACCTACACTATTATAATCTGCTTAATTCATTCAACTCAAATCCTTCTTGGCTGATGATGGAGAAGAACCAGAATTGACATCTGAAGATAATGAGCCACCTCATGTTTATGATGAAGTAACTGAGACTCCTGAAGAAACATCAGTAACTGAAGATGTTGAATAAGAAGTTGAAACTTCTGCTGCTCCAGAAGAAGGAGTAGAAGCAGCTGATCATGAAATAGAGGAAGCATAATAAGTAGATGAAACAGAATAACCAGTACCTGAACATCCTTTAGAAGCTGAAGAGAAGGCTACTAATGAATAATTAGCAAAGGAAGCAGCAGCTTTTAATAAAATAATTGAAAAAGGATAAAAGGCTCCTGCTTAGGGTGGATCTGGAAAAGATTATTCATAATTCACAGTTGCATAATAAGAATTATTAAACTTTTTGGATATTTTAGAAGATTAAGTTAGAGGATCATTTGGAAATAAACAAGATAATCAAGTCAATTCAGCTATGGGATATAGTGATTTTAAAGGTTTGATTACTAAAGAAAATGAAACATTTAGAGGACATTTAGCTGCTGAAGATGTTAATTTGGTATTTAATTGAAATAATTATTAAATAGGAAAAATTATAGAACCAATTGATCACTATTTTATAAGCTACAGCTGCCTGCAAGGATAGATTAAAGAAAATCTAAAATTCTATTGATTTAGCTAATGAAGTATTTGTACAATAAATACAATTAGGATTTGGCTAATGCTGAGGCTCACTTTAAATCAGTTAGTGAAACTCTTCAAGAGGAATAAAACACTTTTGATGATGTTTACAGAATTTACTCAAGCCAAGTAGGTTCTCAAAGTACCTCATATAAGAGAGATGTTTAATCTAAAATTACAAATTGATTATGTAACATCAACATAAAATACAATCATTTTATAAAGCTCTATATAATTACTATATCAATTTCTTTTAAATTTTGCTTCTTTTATTTTTCCCACATATCTATTGAATGCACCCTTAATATAAATTAATGGATTTTTTCTGTTTTTAATTCCAGCTAAAATTGAACCTATAATATTAAATCCAATTATTGCTAAAACTATTAAAGCAACTCCTACTATTCCCCTTAATGGATATCTAATATCATTAATTTTCAGAAATTCAAATATTGTATTTACTAAACTGAATCCAAAAATATAAGTTGAAAATGAGAAATCTAATACCAAAAACATCAGCAATAATCCTAAAAAGTCCATAAATAAAGCACAACACAACTTAATTATGAACTTATCTAATATTTTTTCTAAATCTTCATCAAATTTGATGTCTTCTTGTGATTTATAAGTTAAATTTTGAGACATAATTTAATTTATGAAAACTTTATAAAAGGCTATAAAGAAAAAAGGAAGCTTGACTCTCATAAAATAAAGAGATATGAAAGTTCATAATACATTTAAGTAATTTGATTGAATTAATTGAAAGAGTTCAAAATGCTCCATTTTAGAACAACATGTCGAAATATATTTTGAATGGAAATTAAGTTTATGTTGCATCTTCATCTGATAAATCTTTTGAGGCCCTACAATAGAATTTGTCTTTAGTTGAACAATTTACTCCAAAAGTAATTATAATTAATCAACTAGATAGTGTGTATTGCTTGATACACTTTCTAATAGAGTATTAAAATAATGGATAAAGGATACAACTGTTGAAACATAAGAACAACAATTATTAGGTAAATAAAAATATACTAATTTATTTCTTAATGTATTTCCTAAATAAAGAGAATTCTTCACAAAGTAAGATAATGGAACATATGTTTATTATGTTAAAAATAGGTAGATTGAATTTTAAGATCAATTATCAGTTGCATATTATGCATGCAATGATCCAAAAATGATGATAATGATATCAAAACCAGATGAAATATTATAAATTGAGGATATTGTAAACAATTTTAATTTAGAAGAATTAAAAAATGCATTTTTGGATACTATTGAAAAAATGAAATTTGCTATTTTAAAACCATAAGCAGATGCATCAGATTCATTTTAAGATATTATATATATATTCAGAAATACTATTTTGAAAAATCACTCTTATTTATTTGAAACATATGTAAATTATTAAGCAGCTCTTTTATAAAAATCATCAAGAGTTATGGATAAATGTTTTCTATTTACAAATTAATTTCTGGCAGATTAAGTAGTTAAGATAAGTAAAGAAAAATTCTTTGATTATAATACATTATATTTAGAAGAGAATTTTAATTCAAAAAGTAAAGATGAACTTTTGGAGAAGATTGTTATAGCTGGTTACATAGTTGATTATGTATTAAGGATTCGTGCTATGAATGGATAAAATCCTTTTGAGAATACTAAATTTAATAAATATTTGAATTAAGATGATGTTCCAAAATATTTAGAACTTCATAATTTTTATGCTGATTAACTCTATAACTTTTAGAATTTTACTATATAAGCATCTTTATTTAAAGATTCTTAAAAGAGTGATTATCTTTCATTTGAAGAGACAGTATAATAATTTAAGAAAAAATCTTTGACATTTAAATATTAATTTGATATTATGCAAAATTCTTAAATTAAATAAGGATTAGTAATGCAAGATTTATTTAAAAAATAGATCAGTAAAATAATATAAACTAGAATGATGTAAGGAATAAATTAAAAAGATATCATAAAATCAATGTAAAATATAGGAAAGGAGATGTATTCCAAAGAAGATTTAAAGAATTATTTAAAAATCTTATTAGAAGCTAATGCTTTATTAGGATATCCTCTTAAATTCCCTGGTAATTTAAAAGATATGATGCTTCCATATATAGTAAATTTATAGATTGAGAAAACAGCCAAGATTACATCAGGATTAACATTTAAACCTTTAACAAAGAATTTATAATTTGCTAAATTACAAAAAAAAGAATCAAAAATAGATGAATTTACTGATGATGAAGAAGATGAAGATTGCATTAGATATGTAGTTACACAAGATGGAAATAAATAAGAAATACCTAATGAACTTAAACATAAATCATTTGAAGAAATGAAGAAAATAGCAGAAGAATACTAATAAATTAATATTAAAATGGATTAATAAGGTAGATATGAAGTTCTAGATAATGCTTAGACTAGATTAAATTAAAATGAAGTTGATAAAATATTACGTGAATTAGAAGTTGATGATGATAATCAAAAAGACAAAAAAAAGGATAAATTATATGAATAAAATGAATAAGAATCATAACCTACTAAAGGAAGAAGGATCAAATAAAAAAAGAAATGATAATTATATGTATATAGATATATTTTCATCATTGGTAGATTAAACACATATTTTTCTCTAAATTAATTTTTAACATATATGCATAAGAATCAAATTCAAAATACTAATACTCGTAAACCATCTAATAGTTATTTAAAAACTGAGTTCAGTTGTTCATCTTAGATAAAGGATTTGAGATATACAACTGACCCTTCTCCTAATAGAGGGAATAAAGAAAATGTTGTTAAACCATCTTATCTAAAAGCAACTCTCCAAAATCATTTAATCAAATAAGATAGAAATATCACTCCTAATGTTGCCAAAGGTAGTGTTATAAGCTTGTTTCTTAAATAGAAATAAGAAGAGTAGTAAACGGAAATTAAATTGAATTCTTGTTAAATGCACAAAAAGAAATTGAAATATGAAATCAATTAATAATAAATGTGTAGCAGATGTGCAATTGATTATGCCATCTAATTTGGAGTACCAATTCGTTATAATGATTTAGACAGAAAAATGCTTACATTTGGATAAGATGAAGAACATGAAGAATTTCAGACTTTTACATAAAACACTTCAAAAGAACTTTAATATATTTCAAATATACAAACTTAATCTGATGGTATCATTAAAAAAAAAGAGTTAAAGGATTTTATAGTTAAAGTTGGAGATGTTATCAGTTAGAATATGTAATTTCTAAAAGTAATTCAATAATAATCTCATACCTAAGATAATTCAAAACAATAAGTAAATAAAATATTAGATGAACTTTAAATAATAAGTAAGGCACTTCTTAATGAATTATTTGATAAATAATAAACTAAAAGTCAAGGTTCTTTATGTATATCTAATGATCTTCCTCAGTAGATTAATCTTAATAGCTTTAAATCAGTAGTTACTTAATAAATAAATGATCTATAAAATATAAAGAAAGATATTATGGAGAATGTTGATAATATCATAACTTAAATGGATGTAGCTCCTTTTAAAATTATCATAAATAAATACAGCGAAAAATTAAAGACTTTTGAAAGTACTTTATTTGAAATCTAAGAATAATGTATAAAATTATATTTTAAATTAGACAAATAACTTCCATAATAAGGGGAAAATAATACTTTTACAAAAAAGATGAGAGATTTAAATTTCAAGAAAAAGTTATCGAAATTATTTAATGATTTATTTGAAAATTCATTTATAAAAACAAGCTAATTATCAGATTAAGGTAATCTAATTGTTTAATAAAATTAGTTAATAATAATACAAAGTTTATTTAATTGTTATAAAAAGTAAATAACAATTAGAATACAAACACAATCTTCTATTCATCTATTTTAAAAGTATAAATATATCATTAACATTAGGATATCAATTCTGATGAAAAACCTAAACAATTAAAACCAAAATATAAGCCTTCTGAGTGATTTGCTTCATAAAATAAACTAATATAAACAATTCAAAATTTATAAATACAAATTATTAAGTATAAATCTTAAATCTTTCATTTTAATTAGTAAAATTCATCTAATAAACTCCAAAATCTCCATTTCTATACCAGAAACAACAGCAGTAAGAGATCTATTAATATAGATATATATATTGATTACAGATGAGGTTACTTTTCATTAACTCCGTTCATATTTAATACTTAGAATGCATAATTCTTATTTATTAGAGTTAATTCATTACATTGACTGTCAAAAACACTTTTTTGAATATACTTATGAATCTGATTTATTTTATTAAACATTGAGTTATTTAATTAAAAATAAATTGAGCTACTTCACAATTGATAATTTTCTTCAATACTTTTCCAGACATAGAGATTATTTACTATTAATCTTTATATTATATTTATATCTAAAAGTATTAAATTACATTTCTCAATTTAGTTTCAATAGATATTAAACCTGATTTTAATTTAAAGAATTATTTTAAAACTGTAATACTAAAATTACAAATGTATTTAGACATAGAATAATTCTTATTATTATTAGTATAAGAAATAAATAGTTTTAGTTAATTTAGAAATATTTCAAAATCTTATCATACTTTTGAATATCAAAATTACAATATATGTTTTTAATGAAATGAACATTGAAATTAATTTTTTTAATATTATAACCAATATATAAAAAAAAGTATTTGACTGTGAAATAAATTAAATATCAATTTAGATAAATTAATTAATAATCATTATTTTCTCGATTAAATTAATTCAATGTACTTAATCAAATTACTTCTCAGTTTCTCTTATAATATAAATGAAATTATTTTATTGCCAACTTAATATTCTTTTTCTAAATCTATATCTAAATAATTAACATTAGCAATCCCAAAATTATTTGAACTCTTAACAACTTTTCCAACTTCCTATTCACCATTAATAATTATTTAATCTTCTAAATTATCAGTATTATCATTAGAGACTATTTTAAAAGGTAGTAGTCTTTTCCTAATAACACCAGTGTGATATGTTCTTGCTGTTAATTCTTAACCTACATAACAACCTTTAGTTAAGTTGATAGAATTCCAAAAATCAAAATTAACTTAGAATGGTATTTTATTAACAACTTCTTTTCCTTCAAATATAGCTTCAGTCAATCTTGAAATTTCAAAATGCACTTAATCCTAAACTTAAATATCATTTTATTTTAAATCTGGCATATCATTAGTAACCATTCTGATTCCAATAGATGAAGATCTTGGATCCACAGCAACTATGTTTCTATAATCCCCTTCTTCAGATAAATCATTATTAGGATCTATAATAGGTTCACCTTCCTAATTATTTAATTTGACTTCTTGTCCCTTAAATTTAAGTATAGATAGATTACATAAACTTAGAAGATATGTAATTGATCTTCATAATCTGTGATTTAAACTTTTTTTCTAATCAAGAATTTCTTGATATGATTCACTAAAGAGCTTTTAATGTCTATATCTATATCCATCCAAATTTCATCATTACAATATTACCACTAGTCATTCTTTTGACTAATAATACGATTTCTTACATTTGTGGTCTATGCAAAATGGCTTCACAAATTATTCTCCCATTTGTATTTAGGAATAATGTACTTTGAGATTACTATATTTAACGAATGTCATTTGTGGTTATTCCCTATAGAATTTCAAAAGCATCTCTTCCTTTAATGGAAAGAATGGTTCGATTATCAAGACGTGCAAAGTGACTTAATTTCTTTAACATTAAATTTTAATATATATTTAAAACAAATTTTGTAAATCTAATTAGATTGTTGCTGTTATGATCATTTTTGGAAATGTAATTTATTTAACTAATATTTGCATTAAAAATTTAATCATAACAACATTCTCTCATTATTTATTAATGGTTCGATCAAGATTTTTTCTATATCCATATAATTATTCTTTGATTTATTTTCTAAAGTAAAAAATATAATATCAAAAAAAAAGCTATGCCAATAAAATACCCTTATTATATTGTCTCAATATTATTAAATTAATTATTATATTTTCTAGGTAGATTCAGTTTGAATATTTATTAATTATACTATATTCAAACACAATAATTACATAATCATAAATATTATTATTATAACAATATCTAAATTAAAATATGCAAGGCTACCTAAATTCCTGTTACCATCATAAGTTCTATTAATTAAATTTAAGATTTATTCATAATTTTGGTTATAGTATTCTGTAATAAATGTATTAAATAACAAGTGTGATCAAAATTTAATTAATTTATTATAAATTCATAATTATTANCCTAAACTTAAATATCATTTTATTTTAAATCTGGCATATCATTAGTAACCATTCTGATTCCAATAGATGAAGATCTTGGATCCACAGCAACTATGTTTCTATAATCCCCTTCTTCAGATAAATCATTATTAGGATCTATAATAGGTTCACCTTCCTAATTATTTAATTTGACTTCTTGTCCCTTAAATTTAAGTATAGATAGATTACATAAACTTAGAAGATATGTAATTGATCTTCATAATCTGTGATTTAAACTTTTTTTCTAATCAAGAATTTCTTGATATGATTCACTAAAGAGCTTTTAATGTCTATATCTATATCCATCCAAATTTCATCATTACAATATTACCACTAGTCATTCTTTTGACTAATAATACGATTTCTTACATTTGTGGTCTATGCAAAATGGCTTCACAAATTATTCTCCCATTTGTATTTAGGAATAATGTACTTTGAGATTACTATATTTAACGAATGTCATTTGTGGTTATTCCCTATAGAATTTCAAAAGCATCTCTTCCTTTAATGGAAAGAATGGTTCGATTATCAAGACGTGCAAAGTGACTTAATTTCTTTAACATTAAATTTTAATATATATTTAAAACAAATTTTGTAAATCTAATTAGATTGTTGCTGTTATGATCATTTTTGGAAATGTAATTTATTTAACTAATATTTGCATTAAAAATTTAATCATAACAACATTCTCTCATTATTTATTAATGGTTCGATCAAGATTTTTTCTATATCCATATAATTATTCTTTGATTTATTTTCTAAAGTAAAAAATATAATATCAAAAAAAAAGCTATGCCAATAAAATACCCTTATTATATTGTCTCAATATTATTAAATTAATTATTATATTTTCTAGGTAGATTCAGTTTGAATATTTATTAATTATACTATATTCAAACACAATAATTACATAATCATAAATATTATTATTATAACAATATCTAAATTAAAATATGCAAGGCTACCTAAATTCCTGTTACCATCATAAGTTCTATTAATTAAATTTAAGATTTATTCATAATTTTGGTTATAGTATTCTGTAATAAATGTATTAAATAACAAGTGTGATCAAAATTTAATTAATTTATTATAAATTCATAATTATTAATAATGGATTTCAGTTTTTTTACATATAAATTTAATATAACACTATATTTAATATTAAATTATAACAATTTAATCAATTTTATATTAAAATGCGTGGATCATTAATATCTGCACCATATTTACATTATTTAGTCAAAAACAAATCAAAAATAAAAATTGTCAATGTTATAATGACAGATCATCATCATAACAAAGAAGAAAACAATAAATTTGCTCATGCTCACAGAATTACTCTAGATTAATCAACACTCAATTTGATTGATATTACAGCAACTCCTGTACCTATACCTCGTAAATTACCAACATAAAAGACTTTTGAGAAATATATTTAAGAGAATTAATATGATCATCTAACTCCAATTGTTTTTTTTGATGAACATATTCATTTTGCTGCTAGAGCTTGGTTTACATTTAGGTATTTTGGATTCAAAAGGGTTTATGTTTTAGATGGTGGATTTAACAAATGGCATCATCAACATGACTTTGATAAAAATGATTCCAAAGTATATGAGGATTTGAATTTGTGTATGATTATTGTATATTTAAAGAGGATTAACCAAAGGATTAAGTTACATCATTAACAACAAAAGATGTATCAGTGATTTCCTATCTTAAATAACATAAGGATACAAAAGGTGATGATTGGCTACTTTTAGATGCCAGAGATACACCAAGATTTAAAAAGGGATCTATACCTGGATCTTATAATTTACCTTATTCAGAATATTTGAATGATGATCATACAATGAAATCAACAGAAAATTTATAAAAGTTATACAAAAATCATTAAATTGATATTACCAAGAAAATTGTTAATACTTGTCAAACAGGGAAATTAAGTTGTATAGCACTTCTAGCATAAGAAATTCTGAAGAAAAAAGAGTAATAATAAATATATATATTTAGATTACTTTTATTTGATGGGTCTTATGAAGAATGGAATCATGAACACCCAATGAAATAATGAAGCATACATTTATATCTATATTTAATAATATCCATAATCTTCAAACTTAAATCTGCTTAACAAAGGCCAATCTTGAAGCACTCTCTCCCTTATACAATTATTTGATACTAAACAAACTGACATCTTTGAAGTGAATGGATTATTGTTTATCTAAAAGATTATCTGCTAACTTATTTATAGCCTTTTAATTATCTTTATCAACTCCTTAAACTATTCCTACTATAATTTAATCTCCAATAGTTTTCAATAAGTCTTTTGAATTCTCTATTGTGTAATCTTCAATTTAATCAATTTTAACTTTTATTTCTGTATCAAAACTAATGAATTATGTATTCATATTATTTTCATCTATTTTAATATTACCTTCAAAACATATTTACTATTCCTCACTTTTAATCAATCCCTTTTACTTATTTTACAACACTGGATATTCATTAATAATAATATTCTAAGTTTCACTATCCTCTTCATCTTCTACTGTTATTACTATTGGATTAGGTCTTACTCTTTTAGCAGGAGGTGGAGAATCTCTTTTCCTTCCTTTACCTTTCCCTTTCTATTGTTCTTATTAACCATCTTAATTATTTGTTTCCTAATTTCCTCCCCAACCCTAAGTTTCAGTATTCTATTATCCCCATCCTCCAGCATTCTCATTAGATCCACCACCATTATTTCCATCATTACCCCATTATGATTACCCTTAAGCTGGTTCTTTATTTTCTTATTAATTTGAACCCCATCCTTCTTATGTAGATTATCCCCATCCTCCACCTTCATTCTAAGGTTTTACCTCTCCTTCTTCCTTGTTTTCATTGTTGCCTCTACCTCTACCTCTACCTCCTCTTCCTCCTCTATCACCTCCTCTTCCTCTTCCACCTCTATCTCCTCTTCCACCTCTGCCTCCTCTTCCGCCTCTTCCTCTAAACTCTTTATTCTCTTAACCATTATTTGAATCTCCCCATGCTGGCTTATTATCTTATTATTATTAATCTCCATTATTGCCCCAACTTGATTCTGCATTACCCCAAGATGATGTTTATTAAGGCACTTCTTCAGGTTATCCCCAACTCATAAATTCTAAATATTTAATTATTCCAATTCCTAGCAATATTGTGCTGCTTTGTAGTTCATTTTATGAAGTGAAATTTTAATAATTTAATTAAATTTTATAATACCATAATTGACTTAATATATTATAAAATTCTTAAAAAACCTATCAATTATTAGAAGGCCTCAAATATGTATAATCATTGTTCACACTAGATATAAACTTCATAAAACTAATTTATTTAATAGAAATATCCCATTTTAGTATAAAATGCAATCTCATCATATCTATTTATGTTAACATTACTGTTAATATATAAATCAAAAAGTATTAACCTCTTAAGTATTAAGAAATAGAGCCAACCTATTCATCTAGACATATTATTGAAAATTAAGTTAAGAATAATGATTTTTTATAACTTTACTATAATTTACTATATATAGACAAAATATAATCAATTGCCATCATTCATATCAGTCTGAAATGATTTGTTTTGTATAAAGACTTTTTCTATTTACTTCTTAGGAATTTATAGATAGCAATTAAAAACTGAGAGTTTTCTTTTTAGTATTAACTATTTCTTTTTAAACTTATTAAAGAGGGCTTGGCTTTTTTAAAATACTTGTTTTTGGAATAGATAGTGAATGTTTTCTTCTTCCTTTAGTGGAACAACAACCCATTTTATAACTATACAAACAAATATTAATTATTTGTTACAATAAATAAAATCAATTTGCACTGAAAATTTCAATTATAAGAATTTTCTTATAAAGTATTACTTTTGCTATTAAATTTCTGTTTAATTTATATTACAGAGATCTTTAAAAAAATTATTCATATCAACAATAAGAAAAAAAGTTAATTTTCAAGAAGATGTTGAATTAATAGAAGATATCTCTGCAGTCGTTTGAAAAATGTTTTGATTTAAAGAAAAATTCATGGTAATATAATTTCATTTTTATTTAGATATTTTACATTAAATATTTCAATATTTTTTAATATTATATTTGTTTATATTATAAATAAATAAAAATAGAAGACGCTTATTTATATGGTTTTATGTATAAAGAACCGAGATAATAATATATAAAAAAATAAATAATAACTTTGAACTTGAGTACTCATAGGGTTTATTTTTAATCTATATTTATTAAATGTATAATATGACTTAGTTTTTTAGTTAAAATAGAAGGTTGCCTTATTGAGGGCTTTATTCATTAAAAAAAGGATAATATGTTGCCATATACTTTTAGTTCACACCAAATTAACAATCTTCAAAGTTTATGGGCTTTGTTTAAAATTATTGGTTTCTATTAAGAGGAGTATTTCAATAACTTTATTTGAAGAGGATGATATTTAAGATATATTTTCATCTATTTCTCTTGATCAATCTTTTAGAATAAGACTTACTTGCTTTTTAAAACTTGTTATAAGTTTAAAATGATTGTATAAAACTTACTTGTTTTTTAGTCCTTTTTTTAGAAATAAATAAATTTTTATCAAATCGCTTTATTTTATGAGTAATCAATCATGAGGTCTTGATAAATTCCGAACATAAGGATTGAAATAAATTAAAGAAATAATTATAGATTATGTTGACAAATAGCAAAAAATTCCATTCTACCTTAATATCTCTATGTTTTGATATCCTCCTGCTTGGTTAATATTTAAATTTTTGATAAATTATACCTTATCTTTCAGATAAATTCTAAAAAGAACAAATGATCACAAAGCATAAACTACTCTAATATTTTACTTGTTTTGAGAATTCTTTAAAAAGTATTTATTTTTTCTTTTAAATTTCCTTGATTAATCTTATGTAGTTTCAAAATCTCTTTCAGTATCTTTAGATATTTATGATAATCCATAAATTAATATTATATGAAAACTTTATAATAAATTACAGATAATGTTTTTTGGATGCCTTTTCCAAAGTAAGAATCCATAGTATAGGTCTCGTAGTATTTAAATAAAAAATATGGACATCATTATTATATTTGGAATTTGAGTGAACATGATTATACAAGAGAGTTATTTTAGAATTAGGTTTCAATGCATTCTTACATTGGATTTGCATGTCCACCACTTTATGAATTGCTATTAATTTGTAAATGCATATTAGAATGGATACAACATGAAGGCAACATTGCAATTGTTCATTGTTAACAAAATAAAGGTAGGAGTGCAATAATTCTTTCAATTTTTTGGTCTCTTGTTTTTAAAACAAGTATCTAAGAGAGTTTTTACATCATAGCAAAAGTTTTGAGACTTACATCTCCATTAAAGTCTCAACTAATGTACATTCATAAATATATAACACATTTGTTCTCAAATGAATAATTGAATACATAAACAATCAAAGTGAAATCAGTAATTTTGAGTGGGATTCCAATATAATTATAATAATTCAAACCATTATTTTAAATTTTAGATAGGAAAGGGATATGTTATGAAGAAAAAAGTCAAATTATACAAAAAAATGAATAATGTATATTTATTCTCCCTAACTTATAAATAAGTAATGATATTGTATTTCGATGTAAACATATCACACCAGAAAATGATTTGATTCCAATATTTAGATTTTAAATCCATACTGGATTCTTATTCAAAAATATAATTCGTTTCTAAGTGAATGATTTAGATTTTTAATAATAATTTGATGATAATTTTTATATAGATATTGTATATCTTAGAGGACATGAAAATTAAAATTTGAATGATTCTGATAAATTAAACTATGATTAACAATCATTAGAAGGTTATTAAATGATAAAATAGTTATTGGATACTTGTTAGATGATGAGTTTAAATATTAAATTGTAATTGTTTGAAGAAAATCACATATCTAATAATATATCAGAGAATTAATTATAAATATAGGAATTTGAGTAGGTTAAGGAGGAAGTGGTTGAATAGAATGAAAGAAAGAATAGTTTTTAAGAAAGGGAGATTTAGTAAGTTGAATAAAATCCAAGTCTTTAAGATGAAATTTAAGAGTAATTAAGTGATCAAGATAAGAAATAAAATGATGATGATGATGATGAAATCATAATTTGATAACTATAATTTATATCATGTAAGATTTTCAAAATTATAAACAAATGCACACCAAAATAATTGCCAAAAGTAAAAAGCATATAAGGAATAATATGTTTTATTAATTTTACATATTCTTCTATTTTGATAGATATATGCCTCTATTATTACAAATGTAAAGAGGATCACTATTTATTCAATTCTTTAATATTTTTATATTTATCCAAAAAAATTTATTTAATCAGCATATTGCATCCCAAAACCAAATAAAAATATAATTCTAAAATAGATAATAAACATACATTTCACAAATGCTTATGAATATTAATATGATGGAATAATAATATAATTAGTCTTTCAAATTAATACATTAGATGGCTAGATTAATAATTAATAAATATAATACAATCTTGAAGTTGAGGTTCAAATAAATATGATAGTAAAACACCTCCAATAAAGATAGTTAAACTGCTAATAAATATGATTGTGCTAATCCAATATTAAGTGATAGTTTAATATTCATATAGTTTATATTCTTCAAATGCGTTTTAATTATCATCCTCAATAGATCTCATGAATTTTGTTTATAATAATTTTAATTGAAGAGCTTCCTTTTTAATATTTTGATAATGTAGTTTCGTAAGCAGAATAAACAAATAAAATTCTTAAATCTGGATATAAAAATATTTGATCATTTATTGCATCACATTAATAAAATAATATGTAATAGATGGAAAGATCATGGGATATGCTTAAACCCTCTGCAAGAGCTTAAGTATCATTAAATCCAATAAGAAATTGGGTTGAACATGTAGTACCTGAAGTAGAAAAAGCAGGTAAAAAAGAAGGAAGACCAGAAAAAAAAATTGTTTTTCTTCTAGGTGATCCAACAGCTTACCCTAAATTCTAAACTCCAAATGAATATAAGGAAATAGCAGCTAATTCTGTTGGAAAAATAGATGGATATACAGATTTTTTTGGTGACTTCAAAGTGAGAACTCAATTGGCAGAAGTGTTATCGTCACATCATAGAAAATTAGAGGCAGATGACATCATACTAGCTAGTGGTGGCAGTGGAGCTCTCTTTTATGCTACTTTGGCTTTAGCTAAACCTGGAGATAAGATTTTAATGCCCAGACCAACATTTCCATTAGTAAAAGCATTTGCTGATTTCTATGGAATTTAAGTTGTGTTTTATGATTTAAATCCAGGAACTTGGTAAGTTAATATTTTAGAATTGGAATACATCTATGAATAGAATCCAGATATCAAGTTTATTTTAGTCAATTCTCCAAGTAATCCTATGGGAAGTGAATTGAGTCCATAAGCATTAAAAGAAATTGTTAATTGTAATATAATCATATATAATCAAATTAGTTTGTGAAAGATATAATCTTCCAATAGTGAGTGATGAAATCTATGAAAATATGATTTTTGAAAAGAGAGAGTTTAAATTTATTTCTGATTATACTAAAACTGTTCCTGTTTTGAGATGTTCTGGTTTGACCAAAAAATGTCTCGTTCCTGGTTGGAGATTAGGTTGGTTAGCTCTATATGGAGAGGGAGATACTTTCAAATAGGTTAAATAGGCCTTAAGAAATATATCAAACATTTTATTGATGCCAAATACTATTTGTTAAGCAGCACTTTGTGAAGTCTATAAAAAGAGTTTAGATATTATTCCTGAAAAAATGGAGGAACTTCATGCTAGATATAAGGCATTACATCATGGACTTCATGATGCTTATGGAATTAGTGTTGGAGAAACTAAAGGGGCTATGTATGCAACTTTGATTATTAATACTGAAGAGTTTTCAGATATTAATTCATCTATTGACTTTGCCAAGAAGCTTTAATAGGAGTAAAATGTCCTAGTCTTTCCTGGTGAATTGTTTTATGGTGAAAAGTTTGTTAGATTGGTCATTTGTTGTGATCTAGAAATAATAGAAGAAGCTTGTTAAAGAATTAAGAAGTTCTGTTTAGATCATAAGAAAGTGTGAATATATTTATTGTAATCATATAATAATTAAGATTTGTACTATAATCTCTGTTGTGTTATATTCTAACTCAAATCATCATTAATATAATAATCTTGATTTTTATACATAGTAAATTTTTTATGGATTCAAAGTCTTTAAAAGGAAATAGGAGTAAGAAATATGAAAAAACAACTTCAGAAGAAAGAGCTATGATAATTTTAATGAAAGAAAATGGAGTATCATGCAAAGAAATTAGTGAAGCTTTAAAAAAAAATATAAAAACTATCTAATCAATTAAATCAATCGAAAAAAGATCTGAGTATGGAGAATTGAAAAAAGCCTTAATTGAGTTTGGTTATGATTGGGTGATTCAAAATAAAAATCTTAATGTAATGAATTTAGCTTTGATGATAGATAGAAAATACTAGAAAGTTAGCTAAAAGTGTAAATCGATTAATCAAAGAATAATTGACATCAAAAACATCATAATTTCAAAAATTAATACCAGAACACAAGATATTATCAAATAAAAGAAGAATAATTCAGCAAATTGTAGATTCTATTATTTAAAAAGTTTTCAACTCTAAATAACTTTTAGAAAACTTAGAAACAACAAATTAATAGAAAATTATACCTAAAGAAGAAGAACCTGATGATTAAAATAAGGAGTATTTAAATTTTGGTTAACTTACGATTTTGCAAATGTATTATGCATATACCTAATTTATATAATAAAGTATACAATAGAATGATCTCAAAAATTGATATTATATATTTAAATTAAATTACTATAATATTTATTAATGAATAACAAAAATAAAAGGATAAAACTCTAACAAGATGCTTAATAAATATCTTAATCCATCAAATTAAGTTTACTATAAAAAATTTGATAATTTATATATTTATATTAGGATAATTTTGATTTCTTATATGTTCCATAAAATCCTGTGTCTATTTATATGGTAATTCATGTTTTTAAGTCTAAGAGAGTGCTGATATAAAAGATTATTAATTTAAATCTCAAATCCTTTTCTAGTCTTGATCTATTGACTATTTAATTAATTAATTAGATTTTATGCCGAAAAAAAATACAAATTCTAATAGACAGGGAATGACTTATAATATCAACTCTTTAGATGAAAGAAAAAAGATTATGGAGTTAAAGAGATTAGGAAAGAAGTCTAGAGAGATAGCTACGATAATGAACAAAAAATAAAAGTCAATTGAATCTGTCAATAGTGAAGAGAGGAAATCAGAATACAAAGAATTTAAATAGAGATTGATCTCATATGGTTTAAGGATCTTTATGGATAATATCTAATATTATGTAATAATTATCAAATTAATTTAGATGTTGGATAAGAAAAAGCTAACCAAAAAAGTCAGAATTTTTATAAATCAAACTTTATCATCAAAAAAGAATAATGAATTCAGATTACTAATACCTAAAGGTAGAAGATCCTCCAGTTAGAGAAGAGTTAGAGAAAAAATAGTTGAGACTATTGTTTCTTGTTTATTATCAAGATAAAAAACACTTGAAAATGATACATCAACTATTTAGAATAAGAATAAAAAAGATATTCTTTGTACTTAAGAAAATTTGGAAATAAATTAAACAAATTAAAATTCTAACGACTATGAAGAATCTATAGAGAATTAAGGATCTGATGATCAAAACGATTATTTAATTATTGATCCAATTACACCTTTCCATCTAGGTTTGAAATAGGAAACTGTAAACTTCTTCTAAAGTTATCAAAGAATTAATGAGATCAATCTAATTGAAGACTTATCAACAAATTATGCAAATACTTTCGAGTCGTTTAAATAATCTGTTGACATGACTTCAGAAAATGAATCAAATCAAACATAATTGAGTTCTAATTGAAAAAGAGTCAATTATATCAATTATTAAATTTTAGAATATTTTAATTTAAAATCCATAAAACCATATAAATAATAATAAATTATATTATTTATCAATTATTATTACTAATAAAGTCAAATTTAGCAAAAACTGTAATTAAATTAAATTTAAAAGAAGATTTTTAAATCTTAACTAAAATGAGCGTCTAAAATTAATTGCCTATATTATTACTAGATATAAATTTAATCGCATATTCATCTGATAACAATTTATATTAGATATTCTGTGCTTAGATTATATTAAAATGGTAATATCATTATAGTTAATTCTTCTTAAAGAATAATTAATCTTCCAATATTAATAATGATTTACATTTGCTAAAATATTATTTCATTCCCAAATATAATTTAAATTAACATATTTTAAATTTGAGTAGTCAAGATACTTTATAGTAAATTAAACAAAAGCAGTAAATTTAAATAAGTAGGTTTCTAAAAGAATTTTGGTTTTCTCTTATATATTATTATAATGTGAAAAAGATTATTAAATTCTTCACTAAATTAAAAATAAAATATACAATTTATTTATTATAATAAGATATTCATATAATAATTTAGACAATTTATAAATAAAAGAAGGTTAAGATATAATTTTATTAATTAATTTGCTTTTTTTGTAAATTTGTTTGATAATGCAGGATAATAAAAAAGTCCAATAATTTATTCTTTAAGAGAAAGTAGGTTTTGGAGCATTTGGAGAGGTTTATAAAGCAATAGATGAAAATACAAGTAAACACATGATTTTTTAATATCATTAGGTGAAATCTTTGCTATCAAAAGAATTTTCTCTGGAAGGTCTTAATAAATTGATCAATCCACTATTAGGTAATAGTATGATATTTATTTATAGAGAAATAGCTGCCCTCAGTTCTTTAAAGGGATAAAATCATATAGTTCCTTTATAAAAAGTAATCTTTGAGAAAGGATGTGTTTATATAGTTTTACCATTTTACCCATATAATCTTTATGAACACATCAAATAGAACGATGATATCAATTATAAAAAGGTTTTCAAGCAACTTCTGCTTGGAGTGTACAACATTCACAAATTAGGTTTTATGCATAGAGATTTGAAACCTTTGAATATACTTGTTGATGATAACTAAAATGTTTATATAAGTGACTTTGGTATAGCCAGAATGAATTTTGGTCAATGTAGGAATTTCAATTCTAATTGTGAGAAACATTCTTATGAAGTTATTACATTGCACTTTAGACCACCTGAAAATTTATTGGGTTGTGATAATGTAAAATTTTATTTTATTATTACAAGTATCATGTATCTGTGGATGTATGGTCATTGGGTTGTGTATTCTATTAAGTAGTTATGAAAGAAATACTTTTTTATGGTGACTCTTAAATAGAGATGCTATTTAAAATATTCTCTAAATTAGGTACTCCCAGTGCCTTTATTGCACCTTCTCTTTGTAGCTTACCTTTGTTCAATGTAATATTATTAAATTAATTAGGAGGCTGCAGCATTTCCTCGATTTTATCCAACTAAGTATCTGTATCAGGAAGAGTTACTCTCTAGGATTGGATATGAAGGAGCTGATCTAATAGATAGAATGATTTAGTTAGAGCCTTCAAGAAGAATTACTATAAGCGAAGCTCTATAACATTAATATTTTCTATGAATTAATATAATATATATCATTCCTTTGGAATTCCTCCTTCTGGTGTTTATTTTCCTAATAGAGCCTTGTGAATATGTGGGATAACACCACCTCCTGCAATAGTTGCTCTAATAAGAATATCTAGTTCCTCATCACCTCTAATTGCTAACTAAAGATGTCTTGGTGTGATTCTTCTCACTAAAAAAGAAGTTAATCATATTTAAAATACCTTTAAAGTCTTTTGAAGCATTTCCAGCTAATTCAAGTACTTCAGCTGTCAAATACTCTAAAATTGCTGATGTGTATACAGCTGATGTTGTTCCTACTCTGTTCTTGGCTGATACTCTTTACTTCAAATATCTATGAATACGACCCACAGGGAACTTATTATTGTGAAATTCACTACTTAAAGCCCTGCTTTCAATGACCTAGATTAGGGGGCTTTCTTATTCTTTCCTTGACCAAATTTTCCTCCTTTTCCGCCTTTTCCACCTTTTCCTCCTTTTGCGCTCTTTGCAATGCCACTCTACACTATATTATGCATATATTACCATTTTGATGCTAATTTATTTTAAGCTTTAAAAACTAATATATACTCTGTTTAAGAATCGATAAACTCAAATTTGATTGGCTCTACTTTTTAATTTCGGATAATCATTAAAGACTTGCTTGCCCATTTTATGGTTTTTAAAACTTGGTCCCTATTTCACAATTAAATAACATTGTTTCAGCCTTTTCAAATTAATATGCAATTATATATTGGAAATAAATATTTCCTTAATTATTTATAAATAAACTTTGTCTTTAATCATCCAAAAATGGCATCCTTTATTAAACATTCTTAGATTCCATATTAATCTCTCACTTTTTCTTGATTGCATAAACTTGGATATTCATCTAATATCTTTTTCTATTTTTAATATAAATATATAAATTGGTAAAACTTTCAAAAATGAATTATTTGTTTGCAATTACATAAAATTTAATGTATGCAAACCTAAGAATATATATTATCCTTTTTATAGAAAAATAACTTAAGTATTTTCTACTTAAAAAGACATCTTATTTTCAATTAAAAAATATCCAAACAAATAAAATGTCTATTTTACCCATATATAACAATATTATTAATGTATTCCATATTCAAATTAAATGAACTCAATTCTTCAATCTAATCTTAAACCATACCTTCACTTAAAATATACATCATAAATATTAGTACCTTAAAAATTAAATGTTTATTATCCAAACTTTCAATATACTATTCAAATGAAAGAATACTATAAATATATTTTTGATTTAACCCTATCTTATGTTCACCATTTTTATGTTCTAGTAAAATTTATTAATAAAATTTACTCTAATTTAACTACTAATTATTATGATGTATTGATAATCCTTATATCTTTAATAACATATTTAAAACAACTTCGAACTATTAAAATTTAAAATAATCAAGAGAAAAAAGAATCGCCTTTAATCAAATATGACTTCAATTTATTTATTAATTGAATTATCTAATCAAAATGTTTTAGAGTAATTTTTTGGATTTGAAAATATAAAAAAAATTCAGAAAACAAGTAATGATTAAAATATTAATTCTGAAATTGTAAAAAATATGAATTTCTTTACAGAGTTTATAGTCATAATTTTGATAATCAGAAAATGAATTTAATTATTTTTTAGGAAATAATTATAAACAAAAAAAATGAATGATAATCGAGTTAAAAAATTAGTAATAATAATTATTTTTCAATTTAATCTAAAATTAAAGTTAAGAGTAAAATTAATAATAAAAATTTTGATTATATTCATAGATATTTAACTCAATAAAAAATCTATTAAATTAGCAACTTGTCATTTAAAACATTAAATTAACTCATTTATAAATTTTTAATCAATTTACTCTAAAATATGAACTAATTATTTTCTTTGTCCTAAAGATGTTTCATATTATTTTCACATAATTCAGTTATTTAAAATATATGTCTTGGTTTAAATTCTTGCTTTGTTTTAAATAGATCCTAGAGTTAAGGGGATGCTAATATAAGATAGGATTTATCAAACTTATTTAAGTAATTCAAATAATCCAAACATTATTCAATAATCGATTACTAATTTTAGATATTAGAAGCTATTGAATTATAAGAAGAAGTTAATTAATTTATTGATAATTCTAAAAGTAAATATAATTAATATATACATCTTAAAATTCTGATAATAGAATTTGAATATTATTTATTGTCTAGTTTTCTGTTGTGAATTACAATTTATTATAATTTAAAATTTTTTTAATTATATATATATAATAAAGTATGCTACATTTTTCGCCTTGGAGTTAAAAGATGGATCCCTTAACATATAGATTTTAAAATAAGGCATAATTATCTTTATCACCTAATACATAACCTAAAACAGGAAGATTAAATAATCTATCACTTTAATAGCATCCTAGAAAAATGAACTCCCAATATTATAAACATCAAAATAGTGGAATTTAAGAAGAATCTAAATAATACAATAATGCTAGTAGTTAAACAGATTTACCTTCTTTAGAAATGGAAGAAATATTTAATTAATAATAATAATAAGAGTAATCATCAAGAAAATATCAACATGCTATGCTTTAAACAAAGAATCACTATCATTAATCAACTATCATAAGTTTATTATAGACTATTCATTTTAAATCAGATCATCATTAATCTCTTAAAAATAAGGCATAATAACTTAAAAGAGTAATTGTTCAAAATAAAAATAGAACTATAACTGTTATAGTTGTTAATAATGCTGCTTAATTTGTTTCATATTTATTGAATTCCAATTATTTTGATTAAGCTCCTGGTAATTTTTTTACTACATAACATCATCCGTCTTTCTTTATTACATAAATAACTATTTCAAATAGTAATTCCTCAAACACTGTACATTCATATCAAGATTTGTTGACTGTAACTAAAAAAAACAGAATATATGATATAAGTTTAAATAGATTATTATACGACTAATCATAATCTTTTATACATTATTGTCCTGATATAGTTATAGTAACTATAGGCAATCTTTAAGAAGAACTCTCTAATAGATAAAGGGATAAATCTTTTTTGGTTAAGAGTGCAGAATAAATTTAGAAAGAAACGATAAGATTAAGTAAAAAAAGAACAAAATTTAAATTAAAGGAATTAAATTGACTATCATACTTTGATTATAATTTATTTTGAATTTCAATACTAGATTAAAGTTCATAAAAAAGATTTATTTTTTATTATACATTGAGATAATATGAATTATATTTTTATTATATTCTCAGTTTTAATTCTTAATATATTATAATATATAGATCTTTCTTATTAATATGAACAATATATATAAAATATATTAATAAATGTATATAGAATATTAAATAATATAATTTAACATAATTGCATTAATCATTCCAAATTAAATTCCTATACTTATAATTTTATTTTAATTCTTCATCTCTTTTCTATTTTATACAAAAGAACACTTCAATTATTGTAAATTTAAATGTTATAACATAAAAATAGTATTTATTATTTTTTTAATACTAAAGATTGATTATAAATAGTATGATATAATTATGTTCATTACAAAATTATAAAATGGAGGAGGATAAATGATTAATCTCATTGGAACTTGTATCCTTCAAATAATCCTTATACACTCTTCCTTCTTAGCACCATCGAACTGTCCTCTTAAGGTTCACTGTCAGCTGATATCTAACTTTAAAAATCATAGTTTCCATCGATACTCTACATTATTTAAGTTAAATTACTCCAGGAACATATAGAGATCTGATTTCTTTATTTAAGAGTTTTCCCCAAGGAAAATTATATAACCAAGAATGACTAAATATTTCATCTATACCATTAAAACCCAATCTTTGTTATGGCTTTCGAATGAGTAACTAATATTATATTTTATAAATACTTTATTAACAAAATCAATTGCCTTATTACTAATACCTGGAGTATTTTCTTTAATTTATATTTATTTAGCTAATATTTATTCTCTAATTTCTTATCTATTCTTGCCATTATAAGGTCTTTTGCCAATTAAAAGTTCATAAACTATCACACCAACAGCATAATAATCAACAGGAAAAGAATGTTCCATTCTACACATAACTTCAGGTGCCATATATCCAGGAGTACCTGATGTATCATTAGCAACACTATCTTTATTTAAACGAGCAACTCCTAAATCTGTTAATCTTAGAAATCCTTCTTTATCAAATACTAAATTTTCAGGTTTAACATCTCTATGAATGATTCCATGTTAATGTAAATATTGTAAAGACAATAGAATACAACAAGTAAAAAATTCTAGTCTTTATTATATAAATACTTGTTTATTCTTCTGAGAATTTTTTCATTCTACCTATATGATATCTTAAATCGCCTCCTCTTAATAAATCTAAAACTAAATATAAATTTTCTCTATCTTAAAATGCATAATGCATATTCACTATAAAAGGATGTTTCAAATGTTCAAGTAAGAATTTCTCATTCATAACTGAATTCACTGATCTTTTAGATATGATTCTAAATATTTAAATATTATTACTTTGTTTTTAACATTTCTTTTAATGCAAATTCTTATCTATTTGCTTTCATTTCTACTCTCCAAACTTTTCCAAACCCTCCTTTACCAACAACATATAAAAATTTAAAAGAATGTCTTCCTATTCCCATTGGATTTAAACTTTATTATTAGATTTCTTTTATTGGACTATCTACTGATATTTTTCGAGAATGAGAATTTGTCATTATCCAAGTAGTTGAGTTAGTGCTACCTTTTGATTCCTAATTAATTTTTCCATTGTAAAATTAATTTTGGATTTGATGGTTAGATACTTATCTTGATAGTTACTTAGAAAGAAGGCTAGATTGTATTACAAAATTGTTTTTATTATCTGTTCTTTTAAGACCAGGAGAGTTTTCATCAACCACAACTGAGTTTTTTATTGATTTCAATGAAAGCATAGATGATGATCTTTTACGAGAACATATCAAGCAAGTTTTTAAATTGCATTAACATATTGAGTCTATTTTCTTACCAGGTGTTATTTTGAACTTAATCACAGCCTTTTAATTCGAGGGTAATAAATCTTTTAGAGAAGCTGTAATATTATTCATTATTTATTAAAATAAAATATAACAATAGTTTAGAATGAAATAGGCTTTTTTTTTATTTACATATAACATCATAAAATTTAGTATATAAATTGAAAATTAATCTTGTTTTTTTTTATAATAATCAAATCATTATTCTCATAAGATATAAGATTTATATAATATTTTACTTTTACTAAAATATGGATGTTATTCTAAAACAAATTGAACAGTTTTTACAGTAATCACTTTTTGAGTTAATAAAGGATTATCACTTTCCATATTATTTAATCTAAATATATTATTATAAATATGTACCTTGTTTTTATATGTGTCTTTCCAGCTAATAAAAGACGTTCTGAATTTCTTTAGATATCTTATATTTTTAAATCTAACTAATCATCATCTATATTATCTATTTATTATTATTATTATTCTTTCACTTTATCTGATTCTTCTTCTGAATCTCCAGTATAATCATTATTTTCTCTTTTACAAAGAAAATCTTATACTTAATTCCATAATTCTGCTCCTCTCTTAATTCTCTTTTTTAGAATTTCCTCAAGTTCTGGATGTTCTTCTTTCCATTTATTTTTTCTAATCTTATTTTTTAATTTGTCTTCTTAATGAGGTTCTATTTCTAATAAAAAATTCCTAAATTCCACTTATCTTTATATTGGAGTATAATCACATAATTCATAAGTTAATTAAGGTTTATTTTCAGTATTAATTAATAAAGATTAATCAATTAATAGATTTTTTTATGGACCATATTTTTTTTACATTTCCATTTATTATTTATATTTTGTTGATTATGTATCTATAACAGATGCACCTTTATTTTAGTATAATTTAAATTCATATCCTGGTTTTTAAATTAATACTGATTAAATAACTTTCCCTAATAAATTTTTCATATAAAAACTAAATTAATCACTTAAAAATGCTAAAACTTATTAATCTTCAGCTTAAAATTCTTTATATCTAGAATCATTTTTTATTAATTACAATTTTTTACTTACAATTGACATCTATAGAATTGATTATTTAACTTAAGCTACCTATTACTAAGGTTTATTGACATACTTATCTGATTCTTCTTTAAATTTTTATAAGTTTCTTTTAAGTAATTCTTTGAGATATATGTCTTATTATTATTAAAAGTCTTTTTACATTTTATCATAAATCTGTAAATAAGGAACTGTACTCAATTATTTGAAATACTCATCTACTTTTTTTTTATTTGTTATATCTACTTACTTAATTTCTTAAGAATATGATGAATTTAAAAATTATTATACAAATTATGTATTTTCTACTTCATTAAAGGATATTTTATTAATTTTTTTGAACTCCAACATTTCTTATCCAAGATATTTCCTATAAAAACACTTTTAAAATAGCTCAATACATTTATTTATAAAATTTTAATCCCCATTTTAAGTAGCTTCTTTAATTAATAATAATTTGTAATTTTTAAGTTCTTAAAAATTTTATATCATTTATCCCATTAATTAGTCTGTATTTTAACTTTCAAATATAGTTTTGTCATTCATTAATTAGTGTACTTTTTTTAAAAAATCTGCTTTTATTACATCCTCATTTTTTATATGAAATTTATTATCCATAGAAAAAAATTTACTTGTAAATATACATATAGCATTAAATAAAGTAGTATTGTAATCTTGTAAAGATTTCATTGAATTAAAATTTGGGAAAGGATCATTTAAAGGCTTGAATTATATTTGTTCATTGGCTGGAATATTCAATTATAGATAATAATTAAAAACTTATTAAGAAATCTTATATAACCATTCAAAATTATTTTAATCTCTAGATATATTAAGACTATCAAATAATTTATTTATTTCAGTTTAATTCTTATCTCTAAAAGCAACAGCTAAAAATTTTACTCTTTCTATCCTTTCTATATTTAGATATTTTGGTTTAAAATAATAGAGTCCTCTTAATAATGAAGGCAAAAAAACTATAAATGGATTATCCTTAAGAAAGATATCTATGAAATTCTACATTAGTTCCTTATAAACTTCTAATTGTTACTATTAAATTTATTGCAATTATTAAGATTAACTGCATATTTTTTCAATATCTCTTTATAAAAATTGTATACAAATATTACATATTTTTTCTTCTCTATCAAAAATCTCTTAATATTAACCTAACTATCTATTTTAATAATCCTATTTTAATGTCAAAATAGAAAAAGGATATAAAAAAAATTATTTATTATTATTTTATTCATAATTTTGTTTTTAATTATAAATGGAAATCCATTTTTAATAATAAGAAACTGTTAAACTCTTATAAAAAATTGACTTCCATTCTTTTTCCTCTTTTTCTCCCTCTAAAATTTAATCAGACAATTATTCAAAAACTCTTTTATAATTTTTTAAACTTTCTCTACAATCACTCATTAACTTTAATTCAAATAGTTTTAATTCTCCATAAATTTTGATTTTATTTTAAAAAGAACTTGTTTGAAGAATAAGTTTAATTAGTTTATTATTAATAAACTTTAATTGACTCTCAACAAAATACAATGAATCATAACCCAAATTTTATCCTTCTCTTTCTAAAAATATAGAATTAATTTAAGTTTTAGCTTTTTCATTATACATACTTAATATTTTTCCAAATGGTATATTTAAATTATTTCTTGTTGTAGAAGTCATCATATCATAAGCAATATTTATCTTATTATCTAATTCATCTGCACTAAAATTGGCTTCTACAATAATTACACAAAATAAAAATAAATAATTCCATCTGAAACGGTAAAATGAAATCATTAATTATTATATTGATTAGATTATTTTAAATTATAAAATTGCATCTTCTTAAGTAATTATGTCATTTAAATTTTAATATAATTCTTAATAGATTTCTTTCCATATTGTTTAAGGAAATGGCTTCCATTATTTTGGTGTTTAAGCAGCATTTATTTCTTGTTTTATAAATTCTAGTAATTTTCTTCTAAATGAAAAACTTTGTTAAAGACTTTATTAACATTTTTTTGATTTTATACTTTTGTAAAAATATTTCACATATTAGATTTCTACAAAACTAAAATAATCTTTTTTTTAATCTAATACATTCTTCTCTAATTCATTTAATATATTTTATAAATCATTTTTTCTTGCTTTAGCCTTTTATGTTTGAAGTAGAAGATATTATTGATTCACATAATAATTCAGTTTTTCTTAAAAAATAAAACCTAAAACTTTTTCTACTCCAACTTTTTATTTTTATATGTACTTATAAAATTCATATACATTAGTAAAATTTTAAGTTTTATATTTATCTTAAAGATCAGCTGATAATTTAGATAAGAATTTATCAAATAAACTTTCATATTTTTTAGGTACTTTATTTTAATCATCAGAAACAATCTAAGTAAATAATTCTTACTCTTCTGAATTTAAACTTTCAAATAATTATATTTCAAAATCTGAAGGTGTAGTACCTTAAAAACTTTTATATGTTTATTCAATCAAGTTTAGTATAGATTTTGAGGATTATTGATTTTAATTTTAAGGCTGATCGATATAATCCTTAACAATTTTTTTAAAATAAATGTAATTAATATGTTTATTAGCCTCTTCTATTCCTCCTAACATTGCTTTTTCATAATAATTTGCTTTATATAAAATATATTCATACCTAAAATATCAAAATACTTTTGATTGATATAATGACTTAATTCACTAATTTAAGCATCTTTATTTCTCTGTTTTTATTTTTAAATAAAAGCATTAAAAATTTTTATTGCTCTTTGTATTACATCTTTATATTATGAATTTGATAGAAGTATTTTAAAAAATTCAAAGAAAAATTACAATAATCGTATATCTACTTTAAAGATATTTTACTTGAATTTTATTATACGATTTACTTACAAATATTAATTAATACAGGATCAGCTTATAACTCTTTTTCAATTTTTTGAAGAGTAATAAATTCTTCGTTGTTTGCATACATTTTATTTTAATATAAAATTTAATTAATTATATCAAATATTAATTTTATAAAAGGAAATCGAAATATTTATTAATGCATAAATTAAAAATTCTTTAGTATCAATTAATCTTGACAATTTTTTAAATATCCTCAATTTTAGAATCATCTTCTTAATTTGAAAAAATCTTAACCAATTTAAAACTTGATTTGATTTCATTATTTACTTCTACATTCTATCCAATAATAATTAAATCAAATTGTTTATTTTAAGCTTTATTAAATAATATCTTTTTATCATATTTCTATGAGTTTTCCTTCAATCCATTTAATTCTTCATAAGTCAAATCTAATATAATATTAACTATAATTACTTAAAATCTTTTTTATGAATTTGTTATCATTAACTCTTAGTACAAAGTCCATTTATGATTTGTCTCTAATAGTAATAAAAAAATATAATATTTTGTTTATTGCTTAAATTGAATTTATTTCTTAAATATTGACAATAGTAGCTTTAATTCTATAGTATTTTATATAATTAAGATCAGATGTTTATTTAAATTCACTATGTACTCTCTTTAAATCTGAAAATTCCATTTTATAAAAATTAGATCTCTTATCAATTAAATCAAATTATTCACTAAATTTTTTTTAAAACTCAATAAAATTTTCTATTTAATCAAAACTTTTAGTATTTTTTATGACCCTTGTTTTATAATTTAATTAGAGCTGAAGTTTATTTTAATAAGCTTTAACAACTAAATTTTGAAATCCTAATATTGTATTTTCCTTAAAATCGATTGTTTTGGCAAATTAACCCCATATAATTATCTTTACTTTGTTTAAATCCATATCAAAAATAGATATTTTTCTAATTTCAAGATTTGCTGATATTTATTTTATGGGATAAATTTTATAAATATAACCAATTAAATTGCAATTTTTACCAATCATCTGAAAAGTAATTTATTTCAATGTAATCCATTAAATTGAAGAAGGTACAACTTTCATTGTAGTTTAAGAATCAAAATGTATTTGATTCTGATTATGAAATGTATCAACTCTAACTTTCTCAAAAATATATTCTAAATGATTTTCAAGTAAAGAATTAAATTAAGAATAAGCATCTGATCCAGCTACATTTATATATAAAAAACCTTTGATTGATTATGAACTTAAAGAATCATTTAATGTGAAACTTAAGAAATAATTACCATCTACAGTTTATTTTTCAGCTTTATCTTATAATGTGGCTCTTATATTGTAATAATTATCTTTCATTAATTCTGAAAAAATTTTCAATTATAAATCTTTCGAATCTTAAGCCCCTTCTTCAAATTCTATACTTGATTCCTAATAAGGTATCTTTGAAACTAAGATTGTTAACATTATCATTCATACTTTCCTTAAATTTCCCAACAACTAAAAAATCATTTTATATTTTATAATCTTCAATTTGAATAATAAGCTATTAGGCTTAAACTATCTATTTATTTAAACATTTTTTAAATATTATATAAATATTTTTAGACCTGATTTCATTATGATCTTCAAGAATTTCACTTTTATATAAAACAAAAGATTCAAATCTTTCATATTCTTATAAATTTTTGATTGTGACTAACAATGGTATTTATTTCATTTAATCTTTTGTTCCTTGAGTAGATTGCATTTCTATGACCAATTAATTTATTATTTCTAATAAAAATATTAATAATTTAAATATTCGTATTATTTATTTTTTGGAATAGAATAATCATCTAAAAGAACAAATCCTTTCTCTTTTTTAAAATTAAAAAAAACCAATCCTCTATGATGAAAATGGTATCGAATCTAATGACTATCAAACTAATAATAAATTTAATATTATTCCCATCTACCAAAATCTGCAATATTTGAGATTTAAACTTAAATAATTTTTCTTTATTTAAAAATATTTCCAACTAAATACCATAAATTTAAAGAAAATAATGTATCAAATACATAGCTTAGAGTTTCAATTTTATAATAATAATAATAATCTATTTAAAGTAATAAATCCAACTGTTATTTATTTTAGAATACATAATTGCAATTCAGATTATTAAAATTATCATTATCAAATAATATATATTAGTGTAATAATTATTATATATGTATAATTAATAATAAAAAAATTTACAAAATCAAATTTTGAATGTGTAAGAAACCATTCTCTCATCAAATTAAAAGTTTTTTTCATTTATTAAATAATGAACAATTCTTGTGATATTCTTGACATCATCAATTCCACTGTGATGTCTACCTAACAAATCTAATCCACAAAGTTTTAACATTTCTACCATACAAGGATCCTTTAAATCTTTTGGATTTCTTAAGCTTTTTGGAAACACTTTGAATAAATAATTATAATACCTTTTTTTATATTTATATAATATTGTAATTCTCTTTAAATAGGAATTCCTTTTCTAGCTCCTTCTTTTTTTAGTAAATGTAAATCATAATCTCCACAAGTTAATATACAGCATTTTTACAATCCTTATATAAACTATATAAATTCATTAATAGCTTAATCAAGTGGTATACCTTCATCAACTTATTATTAAGTTATTCCTGTTAATTCTGTGCAGAATTCACTTAAAATAGGATTTTCAATTGGTTTAATATATTTAGAAAATTCTTTTATAACTTTTCTTTCCTAAATATTATAAACTTATGCTGGAAACTCTATAATTTCTTATAAGTATTTCTTATCTGCCTCTCTTATACATGTTGCTTCAAAATCAAGAATGATTATATTGTCAAATCCTTATAATCTAGCTTCTTCTTCTGGTATTGGAAATTTCAATGTTTATAACATATTTAATTCAAATTTATAGGCTCTGTCTAATAATTCACTTACAACTTCTGCTAAAGCAAAACAATCAGCTAAGTAATTCAAAAATATTAATACATTAATATGGTATTTTCAATTCCTTCATCATAGCATTTAAAGTTAATTAACCATTAGAATTAGGATATACTCTTCTAAGCTCAATATATTTTTTAATTGGACACTATAAATTGCAATATTAACATTATTCTAAATATATCTTAGCTTTTTCTTTATTCTCAAATATATATATATCACCAGACAAAAATTAAAAAGATTCTTAAAATGAAATACCTTAATCAGCTTATTCTTATGTAATAGTGCTATACTCTGGATTTTGAATAAGAGGTATTAAATAAGGCTTAATAATAAGTTGTTTTGAAAAGACAACATTATAATTAGATTCTGATAATTTTAACTTACATATAAGTAATTCCAAAATCTCTCTTCTATCTTCTACTTTATTGCAATCAAAATCTATTATATTGATCTCTGTAAATCCTTAATTATCATTTTATTAGTCTTAAATTTTATTTATTAATTACAATCAAATTTCATTTATTGACAAAATTGCTCTTTCACAGTTCCACAATATTAACATTTTTTGAGAAAGTAATCATTTTATTAATTACAAACCACACAATCCCAGGGATATTATAGCTTCTCATCATTTTATATCATAATTAATAATAAATATGTATTATAATTAAAAAGAATTTAAATGTAATAAAAACTTAGGTGAATTGTGTGCTTCAAATTATAAATAAGTATTGATTGTCTTTAAAAAAGACTTCTTCAAATAGTCTAAATATTTGATAAATCATGAGATTTTAGAAATACCTTATCCAAATCTATTTATTCTGTAATATTATATTAACCAAAAATTTCAATAATAAATTTCTAAAATTATAAATTATTTATAAATTAAGTATATATTTGATGATCTAATCTGTAATATAGCTATTTTGTATTAAATATTGGATAATAATGTGGTGTTTCTTTAATTATTGAATAATGATCTATTTTTAAACAAAAATATAGTAATATTACTTAGTGTTATTTTAGTAATATATGATTTTCTAATGTATTGTTTTAATAATTCATTAATTTTCATTATTTAATGAAGACTTAAGTAAGCCAATAAAATACCCCTAAGTAAATATAATTTGATAATTAAGAGCTGCTTCGAAATATTCATACAAAGAATCCTATTAATAAAGAACACCACTTAGATAGGATAATTTTTTGAATCTTTATGAAAAATATTTGAATTGTCAGGGAAGGAAAAGATCTCATTAAATGGATGAAGCTCGAAGTCCATTACAATAGTCTACTTCCCTGCATTATTTAAATAAAAAAAATGAAGTTGGTGTACATAGATTTTCTCTCGATAATTTCAACTTGGATAAGAGGTAGTGTAATGTATTATTATTAATACGTAGTTCCAAAGGATTGAAATCATATCTCACAACCATCAATAGTTCAAATAGCATTTTAAATTAAAAGGCTAATAATTCATACTTTCCAAACAAAAATGATTCAAGTTAGGTACGATCATAGACAGCAGATGGACAAAGTGTGTTGACAGATGAAATTGATAAAAAACCTATTAAAGACAAATTCATTAGTATAATAATATATAATCTTCATAGTAGATGTTGTGTGTAAAACAAAAAGATTGGCTGAAAAGCTTCAATAGATGAATAAATAAAATTAAAAAATGAAGGAATCCTAAAATCTAGCATTTCTATTAAAAGGTCATTAACAGAAGAAATAATCATTTACATCTTCTGATTTAAAAAAGGTTTTAGCAAAAACTAAAATAATTCTTGAAAATTACAAAAGAGAGAATAAATTACTAATCGAGCATAATTTATTATTGAATGATGAATTATTAGAATCATAAGATTAACTAAGATAAAAAAATGAAGAAATCTAAAGATTAAGATAAATGCTATATTAGCAATGAATTTTATTATAACTAATCTTTCGGTAAAAGTTTATAGTTTTTATTTAATAAATTTATGATTAAAAAACCATAATTGTTAAATCTAGCTTTGAAGCCAATCACTAATGAAGTGGAGGAAATCTCATCTAAGTCTGAAAAGTAATTGAATGAAAATCAATTTGATATCTCATAAAGTAATATTGTAAATTAATAAAGAATTATTGTATGCATTAGAAAAACCAACTATCAATACAAAAAATGCTAATAGTTGTAGAAATAGCACTGGAAGATTGTCAGCTTTTGATTTTTTGAATTCAAGCACATCAAAAGCCAATGAAAAGAAAACATTTTCAATTACATTGAATTATTTTAGAAATGAAAAAAATAATGTTGTAATAGCAAGAAATTCTACTAATCTTTATGGTTTCTCAAAGGTATCATCAAAAGTGAGATGAAATTTTAATAATTTGATATTTAGATTCTATTAATATAAATATAAATCTCTAAAATCTAAAATGAAAGAATTTATTAAAATAGTTCTATAATTATTAATAAAAATAAGTAAATTTTATAGAAATTAAAGTTATTTACTATTATTCTTGATAGATCTATATAAATTCAAGCTTTCAATTAGAATTAATTTGATTTTTTTTTCCTTTCAGGTACTTCATCATTAAAGGAGAGGGATTCTTAATATATCATATTTTAAAGTATTTCTTTGGTTGGCTCGAAATTATCCCAACTCCAATCAAAGGCTTTACCACTTAAAGGTTCTTCATCAGGATTATGTAATTCATCGAAATAGGGATGTTAGAGACATTATTCAACAGTATAACGTTATTCTGGATTAAATGTTATCATCTTTCCTAATAAATCTAGAGCTTTATTATTTGCCTAATATAAGTATTGGAAATCATACCTTTGGAAATAGAGCTTCCCACTTCTACTTGGATCTTTTTGGAAGACTTTTAATGTATTTAATAGCATTATTGTTACCAATATATTTCATATCATCAGCAGTAGGACTCCCCAAGACTGCAATAATTCTTTAAACTTAATCTAAATAATTTTCGCCTGGGAACAAAGGAGTTCTTCCCAATAATTCTGCCAAGATACAACCAACAGAATAAATGTCAACGGCTTTACTGTATTCTGATGCATTCAATATTACTTCAGGAGCCCTATACCATCTAGTAACAACATATCTAGAATAATTGAATTATCTAATACTCTGTTTTAAAGTCTTCTTCATTTTCATATCCCCTTGCTAAACCTAAATCGCATATTTTTAAATCGCAATTTTTGTTTACTAAAATATTGCCTGGTTTAAGATCACGATGAATTACATTGGCTGAATGCATGTAAAGTAATCCTCTTAGAATTTAGTAAACAAAATATTGAATGTGCTCATCTGTTAGTTCTTACCTAGAATATATAACTCTATGTAAATCTGTTTCCATAAATTCTGTTACAATATAAATATCATTAAATCCAGTTTTTGCTTCAGGCTTTTATACATCATAAAGTGATATGATATTCTCATGTTTAAAAAATTCTTTATATAATTTCAAATGTACTTAGTAATTTGATTTCTCTAACTATCCTTTTGCCATCAATCAAATCATCGAATGCATTTGCGACCTTCATAAATTTATAGAATTACTTTTTTTATTGCTACTTTTTACCCAGTTCTCTTATTTTAAGCAGAACATACAACTCCATAGGCTCCATGTCCGATCTATTTAATATATTCATATTTTTAATCAACTACAAAAGTTTGACCTAGAAATTTTTCATTATAAATACCTCCACATTAAAATGAATGTCTTCCCTTAGGGATATTAATACTTTTAGGATCTGGATTCATATGTATTTAATATTTAATTAATTAAAAATGGGTATATGTTTTGGGATTTTAGATGAAGACAATAAAGAAGACTAAAAAAAGAATCCTAATCCAATAGAATAATAAGATTCTCAGAAAGAAAAGGAAGAGGAAATAAGTTACTAACTTGAAAATTTCACATTTAAGAATGTAATACAAAAATTTTAATGAATAGGTACTTGGTACCGGAGCGTTTGGGAAAGTATTATTAGCTGAACATATCAAAACAAAGTAGTATTTTGCTATAAAAATCATTGACAAAAAGCAATTAGAAAATTATAATTTTGTAGAATCAGAACATTAGATTTTATAGCAAACACAAAGTCCTTTTATAATAAAACTTTATTTTACATTTGAGAATAATAATAAATTGTATTTGGGAACAGAATTCGTTAATGGTGGTGATTTATTTGTACATTTAAAGAAAAATGTGTAATTTTCAGAGGAAAGGACAAGATTTTATGCTGTCGAATTAATTTTAGCATTAAAATATCTACATGAAAACAGAATTATTTATAGAGATTTAAAACCAGAAAATATTTTATTGGATTAATTTGGACATATCAAATTAACAGACTTTGGTTTATCCAAATTTAAATTTAGTTAAATTACATATACAGCATGTGGAACACCTGAGTACGTGGCACCTGAAATATTGCTTGAACAAGGTTATAATGAATGTGTAGATTGGTATTCATTAGTAAAAAAGTATCTAATTTATATAGGGAATCCTAATCTATTAAATGTTATGTGGATCCATTCCATTCTATTCATAGCAGTAACAGGAAATGATCAATAAGAGATTATCTTAGCCTTTTGAATTTCCAAAGTATTTGAGTTAAAAGGCAGTTGATTTGATAAAAAGATTAACTGAGAATGAGGTTCATAATAGAGAGTTTCATTAAGGTTTCAAAACGCTTAGGGTTTAAGGGAGCTGACGAAATCCTTCGACATCCTTTTTTTGAAGATATAGACCTAGAAGCAATGTCCAAAAGATAAGTAGAGCCACCTTTTAGACCTTAATTGGAAGGAAAGAAAGATTTAAGATATTTAGATCCGGTAATTTCTTGTATAATTATAAAAGGATTTGTTACAATAAGAAATTAAATTTGAAGAAGAATTAGATAATTGATGATGTATTATTAAAAATAATATTAAAATATGGATTAAAATCCTATCCCTTTGCCAAAGGAGTACCCTGTTCCTAATGATTTTCATTTAAACCTTAGAAAGAGATTTCTAGATTTCTTCAAAGAATAGTTAGGAGAGTAAACAAAAAATAGTATAGTATTTCTCAAAGGGGCAGAAACAATAGATAAACATGATGATGGTAAAATATATTGTATTAATTACTTTTAGATTAATAATATCGTGTAGAGTAAGAGAGCAATTTCAAATATTTATTTGGTTGTGAATTATTGGATTGTTATGGAATATTGGAAGTGGAATCAGGAAAAGTGACAGTTTTTGTACCAAAATATCCTGATTCATATAAAATGTGGATGGTTGTTTTCAGTAATGAAGAAATCAAAGAGAAATATAGATTAGATGATGTATAATATGTTGATTAATTGGAATCATGGATAGAGAAAAGAACACCATCACTTATATATATTTATAAAGGATAAGATTCTGATTCTAAATTAATATCATCATATCCTGATTTTCCATATCTATCTAAGTATAAATTAAATGAGGAAGAGTTATATTGGACATTAAATGAATGTAGAGTTAAGAAAACTGATTAAGAGATAGAAATACTTAGATATGTTGCTTTATTGGCAAGTGAATCACATGAAAATGTTATGCGTAGAATCAGACCAGGAAATAAAGAATATTAAATGGAGGCATTATTTAAATATCACAATTTTGTATATAGTGGATGTAGATTTACACCATATGAATGTATTTGTGCTTCAGGAACAGGAGGAGCAACATTACATTATATTGAGAATGATAAAACAATTGAAGATAAATAATTAATATTGGCAGATATGGGTGCAAGATATTATGGATATAATAGTGATATTACAGTAACATTTCCAAGTAATGGTAAATTTGATGAAAAATAATCAATTATATATAATGCTGTTTTGGATGCTTAAAGATAAGTTCATGCTTCTTTAAAAGTAGGAATAAATTGGGGTGATATGCATCTTTTAGCTGAAAGAGTTATTACTTAACATTTATTAGATGCAGGTTTACTTGTTGGAACAATAGAAGAATTAATGGAAAATAGAATAGGTAAGATCTTCTTTTGTCATGGATTGGGTCATTTATTAGGAATGAGAACACATGATGTTGGTGGATATAACAAAGGTTGTCCTCCTAGAATTCCAGGTATTAAATTTATTCAAATTTTAGAACTTTAATCATTAAGATTTAGAAGAAATTTAGAAGTTGGTATGGTATTTACAAATGAACCTGGAATCTATTTTGTTGATTTTATTATTTAAGAGGCATTTAAAGATTAAACTAAAGCAAGATTTTTGAATTAAGAAAAAATTGCAGAATTCATGTATGTAGGTGGAGTTAGATTAGAAGATGACATTGCTTTAACAGTAAATGGTCCTGAAATATTAAATTTGGTTCCAAGATCTATAGAATAAGTAGAAGCATGTATGAGGGGTGAAGATTGGAAATTAATTCAATGAATAATAATATTGTAATCATCATATAAAATCAATGAATTTAATTTATGAATTATGATTCTAAAAGAATAGAGACAAACTATTCCCCTTACTTTGAATAGGTTTCTCTTAATAAATTAAAAAGAGATGAATATCATAGTCTTTAAAGAATACATGATAATAATAGAAAAAACAAATTATTATTACCATCTATTGAAAATAGTACACTTGAAGATATTTCAATGCATTTTAGTAAATGTGTAAATTCTAGTAAATCTCCTGAAAAAAAAGTAGATAAACTTTAAGTTAACAAATACTAATTGGAATTTATCTAACAAAGTTTTTTGGAATTAGAATAAACTAAAATGTCAATAACAATGAGAGATATGAATAATGTGAGGAATAAATTTAATTGTCATTAAAGAATAATAGCAAATAAAGAATTATATACTGTCAGAAATCTTGAAAAATAAATGGGTAGTAATTAAGAAGATTATTCTAATGTAATGTACCTTTAATAAATACCACCTTAAACTAAAAACAAATAAGAAACTAACATGGCTTTTTTTGAAGAAACTTTAAATGCTTATTCATATGCAATTCCTAGTAGAAGAGAATCAGCATAAATAGCTGTTATTAGAGATAAAGTATATGTTTTTGGAGGTATGAGTGGAGCTGGTTTAAGTAGTGATTTATGGTCTTATGATATAAGTAATATATATATAGATTTATCAATTTAGAAAAATAAGAATGGCAATTACATTAATCAGATATCAATTTGAAAGTTACTAATCATTCTATGATTGCATGGAAACATATGTTAATTATTTTTGGTGGTAGTGGTTATTATGATCATAAAATGAAAATAAGATAAGTTTATTCAACTTTAGCTTATTTTAATACTTAAACTAATTAATGGTCAATAACATTAGAATCTATAGAACCTAGAAGAGAACATAAAGCTGTTTTATATTTGGGAAAATATATGATTATAACAGGTGGCATAGATTCAGGTGAATAATTATTAAATGATACACTTATGTATTCTTTGGATTCAAGAAGATGGCTAGGATCTAAAATATATTTTGATGAAGGAATAGCTTAACATGCTATTTGTGAAGCCTTTGATTTTAAGAGAAATGTAGATACAATCTATTTATTTGGTGGTAAAACTAAATCTTTGGGTTCATTTCCTTTAATGAGATTGGTTTTCTCTGGATAAGCTCCCTAGAGTTGGGAGAGAGTCTAAGGAACTGGAGTATCACCTTAAGGAAGATATAATCATACAATGGAATGTTTAAATGATAGTTTAATTTTGATAGGGGGTAGATCATAAGCAATATAAGAGTATTAAAATGAAATATTGGTATTTAATTTGATTTTAAGTTAATGGATTTAAGTAAAACGATAAGGTTTAATGACAAAAAGATGGAGTCATTGTAGTTGTATATTTGCTTCAAATATCTTCTGTTTTGGAGGCATAGGAGAAGTGACTTATCTACCTCCAGTTGTATTTTCAATTGAAACAGATTAATTCAAAATAAAAAATAAAATGGTTATTATAAAAAGATTATCAACTATAGCTGAAGATATGAAAAAATAGAATCAAGAATATAAATAGATTAAAAGAACATGTAGATTAGAAAAATTTAGAAAAGCAGAAAAGTTGTATGAAAAAGTAACAACATTTTTGCCATTACCAAAGATGAGAACTCCAAAAATGAGATATGATATTTGGATGTAATTTATACGTAAAATCTTACATTCTTTGAACTTAATTTTCTGAAATTAATAATGATAAAATTGTGACTTTATTATTAATAATTAAAAAATTTATTAATTCATCTTAAAAGTATTTTAGGAATTTGAACATAATATTTTAGGGATAATTTGAACAAATTAAGGTTATAAGTCATTTCATCAAATTAATTGAGGCATTTTATATATCATTATTTAAATAATCTCAATTTTACTTAAATTGTTTTTTTGTCTCATAATTTTGATATGCCTAAGATTTAGTTTCTATTATACTTCTATGATTTAAAATATTTGATATCTTTTGAAATGAAAAAAAGTTTTAAGGAATTATTTCAGAAGATGAAATTAATATTTTAGAATTGATTTATGACTCACTTGAGAGAAAAGAAACTTTATTAAAGCATCATACTTGCTCCTTTTCTTATTGACAAATAAATCGATTAACCAATCAATAAATTGGAGAATATAAATTGCATTTAAGGTTTCAAAATAAGCAATTTATAAAAACAAAACTATAAAAGAATTAGAAGATGTTAATAGAGATTCTATTAATAAATTTCAAATTATTTAAATCTATGTCGAATCAGAATATAGATTCAATTTGGTAATGCATTTTATTAAGATTATCTACCCTATTAAAAATTTTAAGTGGGAATTATATTTAAAGAGATTTAAATTTCTTTTGAAAAGATCTATGTTTCTTGAAGTAGAAAAAGAAAATAAACTGGGGGATAGACAAAAGAAGAGAAACAAGGCTTTTTACAGAGATTTTCCCATAAATTCAAAAATATTTTAAATTATTAATCTTATAATCGGCTCAAATTCTTAGTTTAATAGTTCTTCAGTAATGTTGAGAAACATTGGTTTCCAAGAATTCTGTTTGGTACTTTGATTTATGATATAAATTTAATTAATTTTCAATTACATAAAAGATTACACTTATAAATATAATAATTATATTATAAATATCATAAAATAACCAAATCATATTTTTGTTATTCCATGTACACCACTTTCTACAAAACCTGCATTTGTCATTTGAATAAATTAAACATTCTTTTATAATTCAGCAATATTAGAAGCACCACAATAACTCATACCTGATTGGATACCTTTTTTAAATTATTCTAATACAATAGATACTTTCTATGTTTATAAATGAAATATATTACCCCTGCAAATGGAATGTATCCTTCAACTCCTTCAGGTGCAAAGGTTGTGCTTGAAGGTTCATCTTTACCAGTTCTTTATGCTTTAGAAACATTAGCACCAAAACCAGCCATTCCTCTATAAACTTTTAAAATCTTTCCTTCTCTATAAATTTCTTTGGATGGAGATTCTTAACAACCTGCTAATAATCTACCAAGCATAATGCAATCTGCTCCAACAGCCAAAGCCTTACACATATTTCCACTATTCTTATTACCACCATCAGACATTAATGGAATATTATATTCCTTACAAACAGGAGCTACATCCATTAATGCACTAAATTATGGAACACCACAACCTGACACAACTCTTGTGATACAAATAGATCCATTACCAATTCCACATCTAATACCATCTGCACCTGCTTATATCAATCTTCTAGCACCATCTCCTGTTGCAATAGAACCAGCTATAATATCAACTGAAACTTCCTTTTTTAATTATTCAACTGTTCTTATTGCTAATTAAGAATGTCCATTAGCAACATCTAATACAATTACATCACAACCACTATTGACTAATCTTTTAGCTCTTGTGATTTCTTCATCTGTTGCACCCACTGCTCCTCCAACTATTAATCTACCCATTTAATCAAGAACTTTTAGTTCTGAATCAATTTTTAAATCTTTTAAATTAATCAATCCTTTAATATTATTTTTATCATCAACCACAGGTAATTTCTCTAATTTATGAGATAACATTTTTTATCTTGCATTTTCTTTGCTGACATCTAAATAATGAAGAGTGACTAACTTTTCTCTTGGAGTCATCAATTCTTTTACTAATTTTGTTAATGGTTATTCATAACAATCTCTGTTAGTGATAATTCCTAATAAAGGCAAGGATTTGTAACGAGGAGAACCTGTTTCATCAGTTTCCTCATAATCTTCATTGTGTTCAATTAAATTATCATCAGTGACTAAAAATGTCTTACATTTCCATTCATCAGCTAAACTTAAGACTTTATTAAGGGTGAAATTTAGACCAACAACAAAAGGTCTATTTTTAATATATGCTTCTGATCGTTTAACTTTTTTAATTTATTCAACTTATTCATTAGCTGTCATGAATCTATGGATTACACCCAATCCACCATTTCCTGCCATATGAATTGCCATTTCAGTTTCAGTAACTGTATCCATAGGGCTACTTATAAAGGGTATTTTAAGTTTGATATTTTAACTACAGTGAGTTTCAACTAAGCAATTAGTTCTACTCTCAATTGTTGAATATTAAGGAACCATTAGAACATCATCAAATGTCAAGGCTGTTTAGATACCATTGCGCCAATTACTACTCAACATATAAATTAATATAGCGCCATTATAAAGATAGTATTGGCCTTAAAATGGACATTAATACGTGAGTTTTCATATTATTTAGATAAGAAATGTTTGCATTTAATTAAACAAGGAAATCTTTTAATTTAAAAATATAATTATAATCATAATGGCACAATAATCATAGGCAGTAGCATATGCAGCACTTCTCTTAGCAGGTTCAAATACTCCATTAACAGCTGATAATGTAGAAAAATTGACAAAAAAAGTATTTCCCATATTTGAAATGATTTACAGGCAGGAGTCAATGTTCCAACATAATTGGCAGCCGCATTTGTTAAAGCTTTTGAGGGTAAAGACATCATGAGTTTGCTTTCTGTTGGTGGAGGATCAAGTTCAGCTCCAGCTGCTTAAACAACTTAGGTTGCTGCCAAACCAGCTGAAGCACCAAAAGCAGCTGAAAAACCAAAAGACCCAGAACCTGAAGAAGATGTTGATATGGGAGGTTTGTTTGATTGAAATCAATTACAATAGTACATTTATAATATATTTTAACTTTGCATTTCAAATTGCGAATTCTCTATTATTATTATTATTAATACTCTTCTTAATAATATATGTTATCTATTAATATATATGCATGAAAAGTAATATTATTTTATATATATTTAGTGAATGTTTAATACTATTTAATATTTTAAATTCATTATTGTTCAGTTTTTGTTTTTTTCCTTGTCTTCTCTGCATATTCAATGGCCTAATATAGTAATTTTTATCTCTCTAGTAATCTTTATAACTCTTTTTTCTTTTCCTCATACTCTAATTTCTTACTATCTAACAATTAATTTGGCTCAAAATAACATTTAATCATTTTACAATTCCTGAATCTTGTCCCTCTGCATCAACCAATAAATTCCATAGTTCAGTCATAAATGGTAAGGTATTTTTTTCAAAATATCCCATTATTTAAATACTTAGAACTTTTGGATCAGGTCCTCTAATATCTTCACTTTATTGTTCTAAGTAATTAATTATTTATCTCTAAACTACTTCATCTTCTATTCCAATATACTATATCATTTTTTTTTCAATCCATGGTTTAATTACTGATAAATCAATCTAATTATTTATAAAGAAATTCTACATTTTTCATATTTAGCTTACGATTGAAAACTTCAGGCCATTGTTTATTCATAATAAGTTTACGCTCCTTATCACCAAATCGAGAATCTTAATCTGTCGAAGTTCCTTTAAAAAAGTTTCCAGCCATATAAATTCTTATTATAATTATTAAACAATTTAAATTAAAACTTTGTTTTAGTTTATGATTATTCCAATTTATATATTGAAATCTTAATAATAATTCTAATCTTTATGTATATATTAATATTATAGTTAATAAATAATATGATAATATCTTATAAGGAGTAATATTATTAATAAAATATATAATCTAAAAAAGAAATAATTAATTGAATATAAATAAGCATATAAAGAATTAACAATCAAGCATCAAAAGTTTTTTCATCTGGAGTTTTGAAACCATATTATTCATGAATTCCTTAAAATTATTCTTTTTATTTTTGCTCTAAGAAATCTTCTACTTTTTAATTTTTCTTCCATTTGAGCCAGATTGAGAGTAATGAATATACTAATCCAGAAACCCATAATCTAAGTTCAAACATTAAACTTGAATGATATTTTCTATTAAACTTTTATGATTCAAGAATATCATTAAATTATTATGTACCTTGTTATGCATATCTTGCCATAATATTGATTCTATTAACAAGACTACCACATCTTTTATTCACAGATCTAACAAGATTCATATTTCTATTAACAAAAATTAAATCCTTTGGAAATAAATCAGTTTATTTCATCATTTCTCTAATTTCATCTTTCATTTTTAATTATAATTTCATAACATCTTCTTTTGTAACTTGATGACAATGAACTGGTTATTTCATTTAATATGGTTTCATTAATTACATAGAAGCAAACATCTCTTCATTACCTATTCCCCATTTCCTTACAATCTATTTAAGTTTAGTAAAATCTTATAAAAATATTGAAGTCCAAAATTCTGAATAATCTAATCTAAATTAATTTTCTAATTTAATGCATAATCCAAAATCCAATAATACAACTTCATATTATTTATTATTTCCAGGTTTAGGTCTAATAAATATATTTCCTGGATGTGGATCACAATGAACAAATCCTGAAATAAAGATTTATTCAGCAAAAGCACTTATAACAGTATCCATTATTTATTTTGTATTGAAACCTAATTTTCTAATTTCATCTTAATGTGATATTTTAATTCCATCAATCCATTCAGAAACAAGAATTCTTTAAGTATTTAATTCTTCATAATATTTAGGAATATGAACATCTTTTCTTCCTATTATTTATAATGCTCTTCTACTTATTTCTCCATTCTCATATTCAATTCTAAAATCAATTTCCTTCTATAAATTAGATTGAATTGATTCTTAAAATTATAAAATAGGCATATCAAATGCATATTACAATACTCCACAAATTATATGATGCATTAACATATCACTTCCAAATTATTTCTTAATGTTTGGTTTCTAAACTTTTACAGCAACAATATCTCCATTCTTTAATTTTGCTTTATGAACCTAAGCTATACTAGCAGATGCAATAGGAATTTCATCAAATTCATCAAAAATCTCTTCAATTTTTTTCCCAATCTCTTCTTCAAAAATATCTCTAACTCGTTTAAAACTAACTGCTTTTGCTTTATCTTAAAGTAAACTCATCCATTTAAAATAAGGAGGAGGTAATAAATGTTCAGATGCAGCTATTCCTTAACCAAATTTAACATATAATCCATCATTCCTTATACAAGTTTCATAGATATCCTTAGCTACTGTTTCATGAACATCATTTGCATTCTCTGCATTAAATCTGATTTTATATTAATAAAGAATATTCAATCCACAACGAATGGTATTTGCATTTCTTCTGATTATTTTACTAAATTACATAATTTTCATAGATACCTTTCATTATATTCATCATAACCAAAAGCTGCTAATCCTAATCCAAGTGAGTATTTTAAGAATTTTCTCATTATTAAAGGTTTTATTTTTATCAAACTTTAATTATGGTACTTCTTATATAACCATATACAGTATTAATCAGAAAAGATTTATAGATGTCTATTCTAAAATCCAAAATCAGCATTTAGATCATGAAATATAAAATATTCTATATATATCATTCATTCTCTATTATTAATACAATTTAATTAAATATTTCAATTTATTATCTAAGCTTTAAGTAAAAAATTTAAGACTTTCAATCAATATTTCATTATCTAATAAGCTTCTTTATTAAAAATATTTTAATTTGTATTTTATTATTTAATCTGATGTATATGTCAAATATTTATTATATTAAAATTGTATCAATTCTTTTGAATCTATAGTTATTTTATATTTTGATAATAACCAATAAAATCTTAAACTTTGTTATGTGTCTAAAAATTTAATCAATTTAAAATCTTAATCTCTTTAATTACTTAATTCCTATGTTTAGTATATTTATCATTTTTATATGAATTATGATAATTTAATATCAAAAAGACATTTATTTAATAATTTTTATTTTAGGAGGAAAATACATTAAAAATTAAATGAGACATATTGCCAGAAATAATTGCATAATAAATAAAATTAAAGATGGATTGGCCACTGTTCAATTTAATAGACCTGAAAAGCTTAATGCAGTCAATCTTGAAATGTGTGAAGATATTCTTGAAAGTACAAAACTTTGGAATGAACATGCTGTTGTGACTATTTTATAAGGGAATGGCAAAACCTTTTCTGTTGGAGCAGACTTTTAGTAAATTAATAAATAACATTAGACACTTATTAAATATATCTCAAAGAACAAATGATTAATCAAATGTATCTACTAATGATCAATTAAAAGATATATCTAAAATTAGTCAATTAGGAGATTAAACTAAAAAAGCACTTTATGCTATGAATTAAACTAAGAGTATAATGGTTTCAATTATGAATGGATCTGCTATGGGAATAGGTGCTGGATTTGGAATTAATTCTCGTTTTAGAATTGCAACAGAGAATTCAACATTTGTTATGCCTTAATGTAAAATAGGTATGGTACCTGATGGAGCAAGTGCCTTACATTTTAGTAAAATACAACAAAATTTTGGTTTGTATTTGGGTATGAGTGGTGAATAAATTGATGGCATAAAAATGGTTCATTTAGGTATTGCTGACTTTCTAATTGACAGTTAATGCTTACCTGAAATTGAAGAGGAATTTGAACATGCATATTTCTTAAGAGATGAAGAATCTATCGAAGAATTTTTACTATAAAGATTTTGTTAAAGACATAGAACAGAATTTAATATTCCTAAATAATTTGAAAATGTATTGGGTTTATCTTCTTTACCATCTATTATGTCTGCTATGGAATCACAATTTCCACAATAAGCTGCTGAAATTAGAAAAAATAGTGCTTTTAGTGTTTATGCATTTTATGAATAATATATGAGAAATAAAAAGACAAAGTTATCTTTAAAAGATAATCTAAAAATGGAATAATCTATTTTGGATAAAGTTGTTGTTAGACCTGATCTTATTTAAGGCTTAAAAAGTTTATATGTTGATAATTCTTATGCACCTAAATTTAATCCAAAAACTATAGAAGAGGTAAATTAAGAAGAAATTTAAAGATGTTTTGAACCTTGTTCTAGAAAGTTGTTTGATGATTGAGTATTTTAATTAAATTATTTAATGAAAGTAATATTAATCTTTGGTTGTCCAGGATCAGGTAAGACTACATTATCTAAATTCCTTAATACAGATATTATAATAGAAGCAGATTCTTTATAATAAGACAATTAATTTAACCCAGATGATTGGAAATAATCTCGATTTTAAGTTAGATAATTATTAGAATAATATTTAAAAGAAAAGAAATTTTAAACTATATTAATAGATGATGATTTTATATTAATGAGTTAAAGAAAATAAATCTTACATATATGTCAAAAATTTAAGGCAAGTTATATAGAAATTTTAATTAATGTAAATTTACAAGATCTTTTACACAGAAATTCAACAAGAGATTTAAATAAAAGATTAAATGAAGAAATAGTAGAACTCCTTTTTAATAAATTTGAATCTAATAGTTTAAAAAATACAATTATCATCGACAGTCTATATAATACATTTGAATTATTAAATTAATAAATTATTGATATGGATATCAAACATTAAAATGAGTATTTAAGTGAAATTTAAGTAATCAATGAAAAAGAGAATTAAATAAAGTAAAACTAAGATAATATTATACATTAAACTGATTTAGAATTAAGAAAAGTAATTTCTACATTATGTAAATAAACTGGAAAATAATGTAATTACGATCCAAAATATTTAAGTCTAAAAAAAAAATAATTTTTATAGTCCAACTTAACTGAAAATGTAGAAGAGAATGTATATTTATTTTTATAAACATTATGACTATGTTACTAATTAATATTTAATAGTATAATTATTGGATTTTTATATTATTTTATGATTAATATAATAATTCAACAAAAAATAGTATTATATAGAAAGAGTAGATATAGGCACCACAATTTTATATATATATTCTTATTTAAATTGAGAGATGATCATTTAAATTAAAAGATGATCATTAAAATAATCTATCTTCATTATTTTAATATTATTATTTATATAGAATTTGTAAATTATAATCACAATAATATCTAAAACTTTAAATAAGAATAAATTTAAATACTAATCTTTGCAAATTTTTATATTAAATATTACAAGTGAAATCACTTTTATATATAGTATTTACATTTTATTTATTCCACAATATCTATTATATTATTACTCACCTAAATAAATGATATGAATTTGATTAGTATTTTAGTGATATCTTAGGATTTGAATAAATTATTTTAGTTGATGTTTAATACTTATTTTTTTCTTTTATTTTCAAAAAATATATTAAAAGATTTTCATTAACTATGGTAAATTTGATTATGATTATTCCTTTAGCCAAAAGCTCCAAAGACATCTAAAGCTAAGAAGGTTTAAAAGAAAGTAGCAGATAGAAAGAAGAATCCACTCTTTGTTAGAGATGCTAAAAACTTCAGAATTGGAAATGATGTCCAACCAAAGAGAGATTTATCAAGATATGTTAGATGGCCTCGCTATATTCTTTTACATAGATAAAAAAAGATTTTATTGCAAAGAATCAAAGTACCAGCAGCTATTCATTAATTCAGCAAAACACTTGACAAGAATCAAAGTAATTTGTAAATTTTAATTTAAGGCTCAAAGGTCTATTCTTTGTTAAAAAAATATGCACCTGAAACTAAAACAGAAAAGAAATAAAGATTAGTCAAGGCTGCTGAATCAAAGGCCTAAAATTAAAAGACAGATAGTAAGAAAGTGACAGTCCTCAAATTCGGATTGAATCACGTTACTACATTGGTCGAAACTAAAAAAGCTAAATTAGTTTTGATTGCTTATGATGTTGATCCAATTGAATTAGTCGTATGGCTTCCACAATTATGCAGACGTCAAGAAGTCCCATTTGCCTTTGTTAAAAGTAATTAAATTAATATATAATTTAGACAAGGCTAGATTAGGAGCTTTGGTTCACTAAAAAACAGCCACTTGTGTTGCTTTGACTGAAGTAAGAAAAGAAGATTAAGCTGAATTTGATAACTTAGTATAAAATAAAATTAATTAAAGGCTCGTGATTTAAGATAACATTACAATGAAAACCATGAATTATTGAGAACTATTGGTGGTGGATAAGTAGGAATCAAATCCAAACATTAATAAGAAGCATTAAAGAAGGCTTTTGAATTAGAAGAACTTAAGAAGACAAGTTAATGATACAGTATTATCAACATATAATAAAAAATATTGAAAATTTATATAAATATGTCAAGTTTTCTAAACTCATTATTCATTTTTTATGCTCCCAAAATCAAAGTGATCTTCAGCAAAATCATCAAATCTACTTTCTTTTGAAAAATCAACTGGAATAATGAGTTATTCCTATTTAATACAGTTTTAAATATAATCTGACATCAAAAATGTCTTGTCATACTCTGAATAAAAATGTTCTTCTGTTTTTATCTTTTGAATTTTTGAGTTAACAAAACTACCCATAATAATATTTTTGAAATTTTAAGACACTATTTTAGCAACGTTTTTTTACATTAAAAATATTTATAATAACAATTAAATACAATAATTTTAAATACATAATCTATTTAATATAATTATATAAAAAAATGAATTGAATGAAATGTTATATAATAAAGAAATCTTTATTTGATTAATAAATAGAACTTTAGTTTCATATCAAATATATGTATAGATATATCAAAATATTGTTATTTTAATTGAATTCAATTAAATAATAATTTAATATTTCTTAATATATAATAATGAAATAAAGACATAACTTGTCTCTTAATTTTACATAATATATTTTATAATAATATTTAAAAAATTATAAAAAGAGTTGAAGTTTAAAAATGATAATAATTTTAATGATATGTTAAAATAATTTATTCATAAATAATTAATATATAATATATGAATTATCAAAGAATTTCTTTAGCTTCATTATAATTCATTTTATTTCAATTAATCATCATTAACAAGAATTTCTGTAACATTATTATTTACAGTTATTTACTCTACATTTTAATCAAGCTAATTATTCTTTATCATTTATTATTTTTCATTTATAATAGTCTTTTCTTTTTTTTCTATCACTTTCTTTGGTTTTGGATCTATTCTTTCAAATGCCATAATACAATGTTAACTAACTCCTTTTTCATACTTATAATTTTTTATTCCTTCATTCATTTTTCTAATATTTATGTATTAAGGATATTTTAATTCCAAATCTTAAGCAATATCTACCCACTTTCTAACTGTAAACATTGGATAAGGTTTAGCAGGTTCAGCTATAATAATCCAATATTGACAATCATTATAATCAATTTCATCAACAAAAGCTTCGACTTATTTATTTGGAGTGCATTCAAATCCAATAGGACAGAAATAATGATCGTAGGCATGATAAATAAAGGAGATTTTATCTGTTTTTAATCCAGATGTTAATTTTTAGAGTGCTACATCTCTATCTACTCCTGGAGTAGAAAAATCTCCTTCATTTTTCCATAAAAAATAGGCTCTTCCTTATACTTTTTATAATCTGCATAAATTCTTAAACCAAGATATTAAAGACATGTTTCCACTAAAACATCCAAATTCTACATCATTAAAATGTGGCCCTACTTCAGTAGTCAAACTATAATAGTAATTATGATTACCCCAAAGAGACAATTACATCTTCTTATGAAAGTGGATTTAAATTTCCTACTCCTAAAGTAGAAAATAAGTAATTCCAACAAGTTACAACAGATGAAATACCACAACTTCTTTAGTATTAAGGTCTACTTAAACTATACCATCTACGAACATCTAAACATCTTCTTTAACTCATTTGTTCTTAAGTAATAGTGAGATTTCTTGGTACATTATTTATAATTGATTTATTATTCTACTCTTCTTTAGTTTAAGTTGATTATTATTATTATTATGATTGTTGTGATTATTATTAAGATCTATTTAATAATTTAGGTTTTGCAATTTTTTGAGTCTTAAACATATTTGTAAAATCAAGTAATTGTTCAGTATTGGTAGTGTCTATATTTTCTGTATTTTCAACAACCTATTTTTCTTATTCTACTAGTGTCTCATTTGAATTCATTATTAATTTTATAACCGATTTAAATTTTAATTATTTAAAAAACTCAATTGATATTACACAACTCACATATTTGGCATAATATTCCTTTTGTTGAATGTCTACTCTTATCGAATGAACAAAAGTATATCTATTTAACATCATTGTTATAAGTGATTGTATCAGCACATAAATTCTTTGTTCCTTCATTTAAATAAAATGGTTCAAAGTTAATTTAATGTTCATTCTTAGGATTCTATTGGCAATTATTAAATATCTTCATAAATTTTATAATTTATTACTTTTCTAACATTCTCTAACACTTCAGGTTTAGCATATGTTGCCCCTTTAGGAGCTTATTCTAATAATTTTATCAATTATTATGCCACTTAAATACCAGTTAAGTAATTCTTATTTTTATATGATAAACTCATAGCAGCTCTTAAAGTTAATGAACGATGAGCTGGCTATAAATCACACATTGCCATATAACATGATAATTCTATTTGTCTAGATATATTTTTATCTTTTTTTGCAAGTTCACATTTCATGGCCATAATATAATTTAAACAAATAGGAACTACATCATTATTTAAATTCTAAAATATAGCTTATTTTAATATTTATTTGAATGTATTTAAAGAATCTTAGAATTTTCCATCACTTGTTTATTTATATCCTATTTTGAGTAATTCACTAAATGATTTATTAATATAAATCTTATCTTATGATGATGAAACAATTAAAGGAGAAGGCATTAAAAAAGGTATTTAAGGTACTTCGAGAATTGATCTCAAAGCTAATTATTTTAAATAATCTTAACAAACTTTTAAACTTACAAAATTATAATTTTATTAAAGAACTTAATGACATTATTAATATTATTCTGTAATTAAATATTCTACTGGCTATAGAGCTTATATTAAAAATAAATATCATACCTTTTTTATAATCTGGATATCCATATAATAATGATTTCTAATCTAAAATTGCTTAATTTTATTCAATATTTTCTAAAAGTTCTTTTTCATCTAAATCCCATTAACAATCTTGAAATTATTCATCATTCTCTTCTGTTTTATCTATATTTATTTTTTGTTTAGTTTATATATTTTTATCAAATAGATCTTAATGATTAGTAGTTATTGTATTAATAATATCTATTTTACTTTAATTTCCAATTTTGAAATTATCTCCTGATAATTTGAATAATTCATCTTCATCTACAAAATTATGAGGCCAATTAATTGAAAATAAGGTATGTTAACTTGATCTTATTATAGGAAGTGGAGTTATTAATGTTTAAGGTTTTAAAGATTAAAGCCATTCAATATCCTCTGAACAATTTTTATTTGTTTCAAATTCTAATCCATGAGCCATTTTGCTAAGATTAGCTAATTTATCAAGATTACAACTTTTTATAAATGAAATTCTTTATTTCAAATTATCCATATTTAATAAAGTCTAAAATCTTAGATCTTGATTGTTTTATTCCTATGCAATATTACTAATGATATTAAGTTTTTCTACTTAACCTGTGATAGTATAAAGAAATGCCAATTCTCCAGATGCTCTTAACTTTTATTAACAAACTTCATAAATATTATGATTTCCTTATCTCATTGCTTCTTCTAATAACATCTAATAACATTTTGGATTTTTAAGATCTTCACATGTTCTATATGCTATTTCTAAATTATTTGAAGATAGAGCCAATTAAAATTTCGCTCTTTTATCATTTACTAATTAATGTGCAAGTATTGAATAACCTTTTTAATATAAATAAGCTATTATTAAATCTCCTAATTTTTGATGATTTTTTATAAAATTCTACACAAATTAAAGATTTTTTTCTATTAAAGCATATTTAAAAAATATTTCTTAACATTCAATAGTTATATTTAGTAATTTATCCATATTATCCATATAATATAATTTATACTAAAAACCAGGTTTTTCTGGAATATTCTAAAATGAAACTAAATAAGGCACTGTTTCCATACTACAAATAATTCCAGTATCTCCATTTAATAAAAGATACTTCACATGTACTTTTGTTGAATATAATATTATATTGATTGAATCATTAAAAAATAACACTGATTTTATATTTATTTTTTCTTAAATATGTGTTATTGGATGAAACTCTCTTGTAAATATGTATATTCCATTTTTAGTTTGAATTAAAATACAATAATCATTCATCTTTATTTATTTGATATTTTAAAATTCATTTGTACAAGGAAATTAATTTAATATTTTATTTGAAATTGGATCTAATACATTTATCATTTAATCTGAATAATAAATGGCTTTCCCTCCAATAAAAGTAAATAAACGATCTGTTTTATGTCCTAATGGAATATGATTATCTGTTTCAAAATTATAAATTTCTATTTCAGAATTCTCTTTTGATCTCAATATTTTTGATTTCCCTATAAAAATAGCAGATTTAGCTAAAAAGAATTAAGATACATTAGTTAATTATTCAAATACTAGAAATTTTGATAATCCTTTTGATTTACTATGTGAATGATGTTTTAATTTCACAATTATTTGAGGTTTAACATTTTCATAAATATTATATAGAACCTATTCAACATTGTCTTAAAGCAAATTATCAGATATACATGATAATTCTTAAAGATTCTTAATTGTTTTATCTGATCCATTTTATAAATCTAAAATCTTAATTAATTTTCGATTTCCAAAATATACAATATTATTATTTACTAAATCAACAGCTGGTCTATTTTTAAATAATGTAAATATATATAAAGCAGAATCACTACCACCTGCAAAATAATTATTACTTTAATGAGCAGCACATATCCAAAATCTATCTAATTCATAATTTGTAAAACAATCTACTTCTATCTTCCTTTTCATATCCCAAAGTCTAAGAGTTTTATCCTCTGAATTAGATATAAAATATTCTCCAAATGGATGAAACATAACACAACTTACATTATTCTATTATTTAATCTATTAATTACTGTATGTCCATTATATTAATCCACTTCATATCCTCTTGTGTCATAGTATTTCCAAACTTTAACTTTCTTATCATCAGAAGCAGATAAAATTGTATTATCTTTTGGATTGAATGAACACCAATTAACACCCTAACTATGTCCTTCCAAAATCTAAACTAATTCTAATTCATTAGTTTATTCTCCTAATTAGATCTTCCTAATTATATCTAAATGATTACACTTTTTGATGTAAATTTCTTTTTTAGTTAAGCTATTGACCATAATCTTATTGTCTAATCTAATGAACATGTAATCATAAAATCTTTAGATGGATGAAATTCACAATGCATAACATAATGACTATGTCCAGTTACAGTAGCAATCATCTATCTAGATTAATAATTCCATATTCTAGATGTTTAATCATCAGATCCTGAAACACACCATGGTAATTCTGAGTGAAAATTTACACATCTAACAAAATCTAAATGACCACGCAATACAAATTAACATTTTTTTGTTTTATAATTCCATACTCTTACAGTAAAATCATCAGATCCTGAAACAAATAAACATAAAGATTAATGAAATTAAACTGATCTCACAGGTCCCTCATGTTCATAGAATTCATTTATTGTCTTATATTATTATAAATCTATAAATACTCTTCCAAATCTGTAATCAATCATTTGAATTTCTCCTGAATGAAGACCAACTAAAAGCCATGGTTACTTTGGATGAAATGATAATCCTTTAATTCTCTCAGTTTTTTTGTGAAATTTTACAATCATTCTCTGATATTAATTAATTTTATTGAATCAATATATATATAATACAATTTTCTATTGATTTTTATTTATTATTTAATTAAATACTCTATCTCTACATAATCTATTTGAAATTAATTTATCATTCTATCTTTTTATTCCATTAAAATATATATTACTTATTAATCACAAATGATCTCTTATATTTATAATTGGTTATTGATCCTTTCTTAAAAGAATGTTTCCTTTTATTTTTTATATTCTCCAAGAATTTCTTTATATTTAATCAACCTTCTCATTTCTTATAAAAAGTTATCATATTTTATAACCAATATAGCAAATTAAATAAAAAGAGACAATATAAAATACTTAATACTTTTCTAAATTTATAAATTAAAATCACACAAAGAAAAACTTATTTAATACTTAAATATAAATTGTTTTTCTTTTTTTAGTCACATTATAATTGAAGGATAACTATTTATAAATTTTAATAAAAAAAATAATATATCTAATTAATCAATTAGAATATTTTGGTATTTAAGATATAATAAAATTTATACTTATATCTTACCAAAATTAGAATTAATTTTTTTATATTAATTTAATTAGCTATCCACTTTATTCGAATATAGACACTTAGTTGTGATATATTGATGTATAATATTATTTTATTTAAAATCAATCATTCTTTTTGAAAATGCATTTAAATAAAGGAATGTAAAAATAAATTTTATTGATCTCTTAGGAAGAGTTAAGTTTAATAATATTAATTTAAATTTTTTAATATGGCATAGAACCAAATAGTAGGAGCTATAAAAATAAAGGATGGATTGTTTATTGGAGATGAATATGCATCTTAGGTTTGGTATTTGATTCAATAAAGGATCGTGAATTCATTATGACAAATAAAGTCACTCACATAATAAATTGTGCTGGAACGGAAGTATAAAATAAATGGACATTAATGGGTGCAAAGTATTTAACATTTAATTGGTTAGAGTAAGATAATGAAGTATTCATTAAAAATGATATATCTAGGTTTTATTTGATGAAAGAAGTGAAAATGTTAATAAAATATTTACATTCATAGAAGAATGTTTTCAATAGGGAGAGAGTTGTTTAGTCCATTCAGTTAGAGGATAGAGTAGAGCTTGTTGTGTACTTGCTGCATATTTTATGAAAAAGTTCGTTAAATATTTAAATTTAATAGATATTCATGGACACTGTATAAAACTCTTGAATATTTAAATTCAAGAAGGCCAGATCTTGAAATTAGAGCATCATTCTTTTATTAATTGAATGCATTAGAAAATAGAATGACCAAATAAGGACCAAAAAGAACAGCCTCTTGGAATGAGTTAACTTCTGATGATCAAAACCCATCTTAAGTGTAGGATGAATTAATCATTAGAAATACATTTCTAAATTCACACAATCGACCTGTAGATGAAATATATACAAATTTGTAAGCAAAATAAGTATGAACTCTTTTTTTTTATATATTTTAAGGGAGTCTTAGGAAAAGTTACAAATCAGAAACTAAAATGGAAGGATTAAATGAATAAAGAAAATATGTCATTAGCAACTATTGTATATTCTGGTTCACCTGATTTTGTTCCTGTTTCTGAAATCAATTTAAAAACCGATCCAACAACACCACCTATTTTAAAAGTATATCTTAAACTTTAATTAGGGAGCATAAAAAAATTAATCTTTATTAGTATAACCACCAAAATAACCATAAATTTAGTCTAATTTTCCAAAGAGTTCTAATAATGCACCTTAAGTGAGAGCTGCTAGTAGTAAATCTTAATAATAAGATTAAAGTGAGCTTTAATTGAATTCTAATATTACATCAGCAAATCTAACAAATAATCCTTCATTTTAAAATTTATTGATGCATTGTGCAATGAAAACAAGAACTCCTTAATAATAATAATAATAATAAGAATAAAATACTAAGAAAAATACTTTAATTAATAATTTAGTTAAACCATAAATTGATAATCAAAACACTTAAGCAATTTCTTAAATTGCTACTAATTTGCTTTAATTTCAAGCTTAAGCTAATCCTTCTACTGGAATTAGAAGCAATTCTTTATAATAGAATGATGATAAAAAAAATTAAGCAGACACTAATAATAATAATAGACCAAGTTCTGTTAAATAAAAAGATAATTAACCTTCTATATTAACAAATTTTTAAGAATTCAAAAATTAAGTATAACAATCACTTAATTATTTTAATAAATAATAAGAAACAATCTCAAATTTGGATAAATAATCATTATAATCTTAAACTACTTAATTAACAACATAATCAAATACAACTTAATAACAATTACTCTTATAATAAAATATTACCCAATAAAAAAGTAAATTAGAATAATTGATTAGTCCAACATTGATTTAGTAAATGAATTCAACTAAACATTCTGAAATATAAAAAACACTTACTTAATCAATATCTTAATTATAATCTAGTTATCAGAAATTTTAGTAATTGCAATAAAAAAATTAAATAAAATCATCATAATCTTAATCCTGTATTTAAAAATAAAGTGCATAAACTAATGAAATTTTTGTTGTTTCTAATCCTTCTGGATTGAATTTAGTTAAAGTTTAAGAAAGAAGTACTTCCTTAACTAAAAATTCTGATAATACAGATATTAAAAATAGACCTAATAGTGCTGAAGTTAAAGAAGGATTCAGAGGAGTTAATTAAACAAAAAAAGATAGCTTATCTCCATTTTAGAAAGATGCAGTCAAAAAAATTACTTAATAAGGTCCTCCTTTACCTTAATCAAGCTCTTAAATTTACTTAAGAAATGTTTAATGTAGGAGATAGGCTGCATCAACATTAAGAAATTAATAGAAACCAAATAATTCCTTTTAGGATAAATATTTGAATTAAAGTGCTAACTAAGTTTAAAATAATAGTAGTTTTAATAACAATAGTAACTCAGCAATAGAAGCTGATTAGAAATAATCAACTAAAGGAGTAGTTTCAGATTTAAATCAATTTAAAAAGCTCATATCTCCTTAAAATTTAACAAAAAGTCAAGCTTAGTTTGTTAAAAATTAACCGATAAGAGTTTTATAAGAATTAACTGAGAAAACATAATCTTAAAAATAAGTGTATGTTTATAATTTAATCATTAGAAAAGCTAAAGATAATATATCATCCACTAGTTTTACTTTAGTTTAAAAACCATCCACTGTAAATACTAGAACCTTTTCCCCTGCCATAAAAAGTATATATTATAATATTAATATTTAGATGAAACTAAAAATAAACCAAATAATTAAACTAATGTAAGATAAAAAGTAAGAAACTCTTCGCCTGGAATATCAAAAGATCAAGATTCCTCTAATTCATTATAAAATATATCATAAACTTTTTAAGGCAAAAATAGTTGGAAAATGCTATGATTCATCTATTTTTCGTTTTATTATACCTTTTTACAATACTATAATTTAAATAATAATAATATCATTTGATTCTAAATATTAAATCATTGTCAGAATTTAAAATTTGTTATTTATATATTTCTTTGAATTAGATTTATTAAGTATATTGTTGTAAAATACCTTATTAATATTTAGATGTCTTAATTTCTATAATATTTTTTATAATTTTAATTAATAATGCCACCTAAAAAGAAAAAATCAAAAAAGTCTAAAAAGTCAAAGAAGAAAGAGGAATATTTACCATCAATATTTAATATTCCTTAATATGAAAATCCAGATATTGTTACTCCTAAAGTTGACTTGATAATAAAATTGGTACATCCTGTAACCGATTTATTCACTTTGAAAATTAGAGTATTCTATGATTTCATTATAAGGTGCCTATAACAACAAGAGTTGAATAAATCCATTAAGAAATTTCAAAAATGCATTAAGGTGCTATTTCTGGAATATAAGTTTGTCGTGATAGATTTAGTCCTGAAGATGTAAAACTTAATCATATTTTAGGTTTTGGATCCAAAAAAGACACTTGAATAATGTGGCATCTTTGATGGAGAAATAAAGTTACTGTATGACTACAAACCTATTGTTGGTCCTCTTTTAAAATGATTATTAGAGTAAACTTATCAAAAATAAATTTTCATTTTTTTTGTGATATTATATATATATATATATAATAAAAGATTTCAAAATAATAAAAATGTAGAAACTGATTAGCGAAATAATTAAATATTTTGTATAATTCATCAATTTTATTCTTATTAGGCTGCTTATAACTAGATATTTTGATCTTAATTACTTCTTTTTTTAATTCAGCAATTTCTCTCTTTAATCTAATGTTTTCATCTTTCAATTTCTCATATTCTAATTTCAATTTGTCAACATCAATGTCAACTGGAGATCCTAAATACTTTTTTACATAACTAAATTTATTTCTTGAAATTACTCTATGGCATTATTAGGTTTTTCAGGTTCTTCATATAATCCGACTAAAACTCTTGTCAATTAATCAATAACTCCTGCTTTTTCTAAATACTTTCTAAATTCTTCTTTTTTTGAATCAGTTGTCTAAGTTATAGGATTTTTTATACTTAAAAGCTCATTGATTGATTTGAAAAATATAAATATTATTTAATTTTTACATCTAATTTTTATGAATTATATCCAGAAAAGGAATTTTGATTAATTATGATAAAAATAAATAATCAATATTGAACAAATCAAATCTGTTTTATTAAGAACAATAATTTTCAAGACTAAGGTAGAATTAACTTAATGACATAAATCTCTGTATTTTTAAGAAAATATTAAAGTTCTTTTCTTTTATAGTATATGGATCTTTGTTATTTTAATTCACACTTAGTTAATTATTAAAATACATTTATAATTCCAATATCAATAAGTAAAAATCATTGTTTTTGGTAGATTTAAATATCATAAACCTAATTGTTATTTTTTCATTTTCTATATAAAATTAATGATAATTTTAATTCAATTTTTTAACTTTATTTTTGCTATTTTCATTTGATTTTTATATACCAATTTTCTTATTGATGAATTGAAATTATTTAAGATAGTAATTCTCCTTAAAAATTAAAAATTTATGTAATACATAATATTATCCCAAAAGTATAATAAGATTTATTATATATTTAATGAAATATATCTTAATTCCTATATTACTAATATAATTAATATCTATCAGATTAAAAATATGGATAATAGAGATATTCAAACATTTAAATTTTACTCTATTTTTTCTCTTAATGAAATTTATTTTTAAATTAAAGTTTATATATCATTATAATAATGATTTATAAATAGTAATGCTATTGAGTGCTTAAATTACTTCAATTTATTGATTGTTATAAATTAAAATTAAAAAAAAGAAAATTGTAGAAAATACAAACAAATAATCGCTACCAAAATAAATTATAGTTAAAGGTATTTATATTTAAGGAAGTGCCTAGATGAACAAAAATAAACCTACTCTCATATCAATCTACTTCAATATATTTTTAAATAGTTCACATTTCTAGGATTTAATTATTTTTATTATAATGAGATAATAAATTTATTAACCCGCATATGGAGTCGGATTTACAACTTAATTTTAATAAATTTCATAGCCAACAATAAAAATAGTTTCTTAACCTTCATTCTAAACTTAAATTCAATCAAAAATTCAATAACCATTTTAACACTAGTAATAAACTAGTTTTTCATAGTAATAGAATAGACCTATTATTCCTATAAATGGTACTGGGAGTGTATGTCGTCCTGCTTGGGATCAACCTAAACGTTAAAGATTTCATACATCTTAATCTAATATTTCTCCTTAAAATTAAATGCATCTTATAGATCTGTAATAAATTGAGGAACCTTGGAAAATAAAAGTTTAAGAATTACAAAAAAAGATTAGTATTTTAGAAGAATAATAATTGAAATAATAAGAAGATTAGGATGTAGAGAGTGATTTATCTTAAGCATATAGTTAGATTTAACAGTTAGTTAATACTATAAAAATATTGTAAGAAGAAATTTAATAATTGGAAGAGAAAGTAGAGATAAAATAAAGAATAATTGATGGATATGATAAATAATTAGTTTAAAAAGATATAGAAATAGAAAAAGCGAATCATTATATTTCAGAACTTCATAATTAATTAGAAGACTAAACTATTCATTAAGAAGAAAAATAGAAATATTTATTTGAAGAAGTAAATACATGGAAAAGGAAGTTTATAGAATAAAATAAGTATAGTTTATAATATATATATTAAAGAGAATTTCATCAAAAATAAGAGGAATTGATGACTTTGTAGGCTGAGTTAGATAATCTCAAAAATTAAAAGCTGATAATTAACAAATCTAGCGATTATAAATAAATTAAATGACTCATAATATATATTGGCATTTGCCAAATATGAGGGTTATTTTATATATATATATATTTATATATATATTTATTTAATTATAATATGCTTCAAAGATGCATGCAATTAGCAAAAATTGCCCAATTTTCATAGGTTGTGAAGTCTTACACTAGTTTAGCATAACATAAATGGTTAGATTATGATGAAACTCATAAAGTATTATGAATAATATCAAGAAATCACTCCAAACTCATAAAAGCAGAGCTGAAGAATTTATTCATAAAATTCCAATAATTGAAGTAGATTCAGATGTTGTCAGATGTTTAGTAATTCAACAATATATATTATTAAGGGTGGCACCCATATTAATGCAGGACATCCTTAAGTTTATATCAAATTAGACACAAGAACTGAAGGAACACCTTAAACTTGCAAATATTGTGGATTATAATATGTTAAAAAAGGACATGGATCACATCATCATTGAGCATTAATCAAAATATCCCCATAATTCATTAATATTAAAATATCAGTCTAATAAACCATAATCATAATTATGCCTAAAAGTTATAATCTGAAATAGATCTTTCAATATCTATAGGGTTTGAGATTGATTTAGAAAAGTTATGCTTAAGATATTTTTTACTTAAGTCTTATTCTTTTTCTTTGATGTTCATTAATTATGAATCATCTTTATTATTATTAAGGTTTCAATATCTTAATGTAGACTAAAAATTAATTGCATTTATTATAATCTCAATTTAGTAATTCTCATGAAATTCCTCAATGTTTTTCCCAAATAAATCTAGTAATAGCTTCACTAACTTGCTTTCATTAAAATAAATAAACTGTAGTAGACAATAGCATTCCATGAAATTCCATATGATAGAACTAGTATTTTGAAGTATAATGATTACATTGTTTTTAAACTATGATAAAAAAGTTTGTTTTTTCTAAATTTATCAAAATTTATTTAGTATTATAAATTTAATTTTGATATCTTATTTATTTCAAAAATTATGGAGGAATTGAAATACATAATTTAGAATTATAAACCATATGTAATAATTAATTTATAGAAGTGATTTAAATTCTAATTATATTTAGACATTCAAATTAAATTCATCAAAAATATATTAAGATTTGAGTTAATGATGACTTTATTAGCATTGTTTATAACATATATTATTTGTATATATTTAATCAAAGTTATTATTTTAATTTATTCATTTCTTCATAAACTTTTGAATAAAAATGTTTTTAATTCTTTTCCATTTACTGTAATTATGTTTAGTGATTCAATAAATCATTTTCACAACAAAGCAAAGTTTCTTTTTGATTTCTATCTTCCTATTACTAAGTTTCATTTTATAATAATAATTATTATTATTACTATTATTATTAATGTTATTAATTTGTTTAATCTTGTGCACTTACATTCATAATTCCTGTAAAAGAATTAGAATGATTCTATCTTTTACTAAATAAAATTTCCTCATAATCAGAATTATTTCCAAAATATGAAAATTATTGAGTTTTTAAATTAGTCTTACTTGTGTGCCTTATTTTTTATAATAAATTAGCAACTCTTTGTTAGCATTCATTAATCCCACTTTTATTTATTCTTGTTTTACTAGTATTTGGTGTTAATGAACCAGCTCTATTGACTTATCTCTCTGACAATTAAACTTAGATTATCTATTCTAATAATCTATTATATCTCTCTATTTTTTCTCCTAATTCTAACTTTTATTTCACAAGTTCATCACTTTTAATCTTTAATTTCTTTGAGTAATTTTTCAATTCCTTATACTTTTATTCTAACTAAACTATATATGACTGATTTAAATACCTGAGTTTCCCTCTAATTCAAATTCTATTCCCATTACTTATAATAATTTTCTTTATCTTATTTAAAATAACTTTCCTAAGTATTTCTATTCTCATTATTTAAAACCTTTAGCTTTTAGTTTTATGTATTATTGTTAATAAACATATTTCAAATTTAATAATATAATTCTTATTGTTATAATAATATTCACTATAAATTTGAAGTTATCAAAAAATCATAAGTTTATAAGTATAAATACGATCTTTTAAAATGATTAGTGGATATTCAATTCTTAACTTAAAATTTAAGATTGTATATATTTGAAAGAGTATTAAAATATATAAAATTCATTTTGCTATAATGATAGTTAATTAATCAAAATTAGAATTAATCAATAAAATTTTAGCTATTGCTTAGAAGTTGCAGTAGAATAAAATGCAGAAACATGAACTGAACTTCTCTTCCCAATTTCTTTGACTTATGATTTGGTCATTCTTCTTAATTCTTTTTCTTTGCTCTAAAAAAGTTTCTATTTTACAGTTGATTAATTACATATTTGAGATTTTGAAGATTTTCGCACGAGATATTTGAGACAATTTATGGCTTTATATGATTATATGAATATTATTAAAGATCTTAAGAAAAGTTTCTTTATTCTTTGAACATTTCATTCATAATCTTATTTAATCTATTCAATCGAATTTGTTAGCCAAATGAATTCACATCTTTCACTTCAAATAAGTAGTGTTAAGAATTGAATTCTTAAGCAGCACTTTATTTATCTTATTATTTAGTTGATATAATTTAGCTAAATGCTCTTTTGGGTCTTTAATTATTTTCTTTAGTATTTTCAGTTTCTTCAATAACTTCATCTCTTTATTCTTCTTCCTATTCTTCTTCATATTACTTAGATTCTTCTATAAATTCTTCGAAAACAAATTTCTTTTCTATTTCTTTATTTACAGTAACATCCTTTGAAGCAAAAGGATCAGGTTAAATAGGATCAATTTTGACTCCAGATTGTTATAGCATCTTATCTAATTGTTCTAATTCTTCCAATTATTCTTTAACTTCCTTTTACTGATACTTTTTATTCAGATGTTTGAATAAATCATCAAGATATTTTTATTTCTCTATAAATTTACCATCAGAAAGTGGTTTAAATACTTTGAATTCATCTAATACAGTAGGTGTATTTTAGGATTATTTCAATTAAGGAGCAATTTCAAAAAATCTAGTTCCTTTAAATTTTACATAAGATTTAATTTCCTCTCTACTTTTTCTATAAATACCACGTAATTTCTTGATATCTTCCTTTAGATTGACTATATGATACATTTTATTGATTTCTTCAATATATCTTCGTAGATATTCTATCCTAGCTTTATAATTATGTTTTTATTCTCCTTCATCCATCAAAACTTTTCTCATAATGTTAATATCTTCTTAAATATCTGTACAAATATCACTTAATCTAGTTTTCCATGCATTATCATAATCATATGAGACTTCTCCTCCAACATTCTACCATCCATTAATTTTATTAGCATCAGGAGGATGAATTTTAAGAACTCTGCATTTGGAAGGTCCATCATAAGTTTGAGTTGCATCTAATTTGCAAATGCGTCTTTAGCTGAAAGTCTTACCATTTATATTATTTTGCTTTAAAAATAAGTAAGAAATAATCCTATCTAAACTGCATTTTGGATGATACATAGTTTAGAACTTTGGACATGGATCAAAGAAAGGAGCCTAGACTTGATTAAATTTTAATTTACTTCTTCATTTTTAGGAGGACTTATAATAGGATGAAGTCTTGTAATTCTTGCTTATTTCATATTGAAATATAATTTATTAAGCAAATAATTAGAAAATATAATATAAACATAAAAATTCATTATTGAGCACACTAAACTCTTTGACCTCTTGGTTAACTTTCTTCTTCATCATCATCTCTTTTACCCCCTTCTGGATTTGAATTAAGATTATTAACATCATATTATTCTAAATAGATTCGTTTATTGGGATCAAATTTTACTTTACTTTCTTAAGGTTTAGGTAAAATCTTAATATATTTTGATAATAAATACATTTTTGAGAACATTAATTTATTCTTATTTTAATTCAGTTGGCATTTCAATTTCAAATTAAATATGAAGATCTCCTTCTTACATAGCATCTTTATAGAATGGCATACCTTTATGTTTGATAGTTCTAAAACTATCTATAAAATATTATAAGAAATATAATACTTGGAGATATAACTTCTCCTGGTTTAGTTGATATATTAAGATAAGATCCATCTAAGAATTTAAGTGTAAATTAACAACCAGTTAAAGCCTCTAATAATGTTATCTTTTTGGTTGTATATAGATCTGCTCCTCTTCTTTCATACATAGGATGCTTTTTAATTCTAATTCTTATATATAAATCTCCAGCCATCACTCCAGGATATTCATCTGATTCTCCATAAAATTAATAGTCATGTTCTTCTGGTACACCTTTTTCTAAAGGTATCTCCACTATCTTTTCTACATCAATAACTTTATTTCCATGACATTTCTTGCATCTATCCTTCTCTGAAAATATGGTACCCTCACCTCTGCAATCTGAACAAGGTCCACTTGATTGAGAATACATTCCTGGACCTAACATTGTTAATTTTTGAACAACTCCTTTTCCTTTACAAGTTGAACATTATTTTGAGTTAGCTCCTCCCTTTCCATCACATCCTTCACATACTCTCTTTCTTTGATGTTTAAGATGAATGATCTTTCCTTCATAAACATCTTCTAAAGTCACTTCTAATTCTCTTAATTTAGCCTTCATTTTTTTAGGACCTGATTCTTTACGACCTCCTCCAAAGAAATGACTAAATATATCTGACATATCTCCACCTCCTCCACCATTTTTCACCCCTTCCATTCCAAATCTATCATAAAGATCTTTTTTCTCAGGATTTGATAGTATTTCGTATGCTTCTGTTAATTTTTTAAACTTATTATTAAATTTGGTGTAAATACCTTTTCAGGATCTCCTCCTTTATCTGGATGTTCTCTTACAGCTTTTTTTCTAAAAGCTTTTTTGACTTCATCTGTAGTGGCACCTGGTTAAACTCCCAATAATTCATATAATGATTTATTATCAACATTTTTTGGTTAAGAGGTAGAATTTTCTTCTTCTGCTCCTCCAAATGGAAAACCACTAAATCCTTTGAAACCTCCTGAAAACATTCAAACTAATTAAATATTTCTACACTTTGTTCTGTTCTTAGTTACCATTTAAATTATTTAGATTTTTCTAGAAAAACACTAATAGTCTTAATGCTGATATTAAAATATAATAGAAAAAATGTAAATTTTATAACAATTCTAAATCACTCTTTAAATTGTATATCCTATCTTCCATTAATATTTTTGATGTTATAAAAATTAGAATACCACTCACTTTAAAAATAATAAATAATTATATCCTTTATTAAAATGAGTATATTATTTGAAGAATAGTTATTAAGTCACAATAAGGAAATTGAAATATCTATGAAAATTCTATTATAGCTAGAAGAATATACAGAATAGGAGAATATTATGCAGATTGCAAGGCTATTGCTATCCTAATCACAAATAATTAAGGAATAATAAAATGCTCTTAGTGAAGTAGAAAACCTATGCAAAGATTTATAAGAATAAATAGATAACCTTTGCAATCATAAATAATAATTAATAATTGAGAATCATAAGTATAGTTCACAAATATATGAATTATAAAACAATTATAATTCCATATAGAAAGAACTCGATTCTGAAAAATATCATAGCTAAGACTTATCCTAATTAGAATCTCACATTAAAACATTATAATTAGAATTAGATTCTTTAAATAATCATAATGCATAGTTAATGACAGAGAATAAGAGATTAAATGAAAATAATTAATAGTTATTAAAGATTATTGATGATCATGAAGTATTAATTCAAAGAATGAGTAATGATTAAAAATAACTTGATTTTTTTAAATAAGAAGTATAAAATTAGATTCATAATAATAAAAAAATGGCATAATCACATGATATATTAGTAGAATAAATGAAATAAAAAATAGCAGAATATGAACTTAAATTAGATTTCTTTTAATAATAACAATAAAGTACTCTTTAAAGCAGAATGTCATTCTCTTTAGTAGATGATTTAGTTAATCAAGAAGATTTATATTAAAAAGTGAATGAAACCATTTAGTCTGAGTTTTAAAGCATAATTTAAAATACAGATAATACAGAAACAAATAATACTGAATAGGTTGATGAATTTACTTATTTTAAAAAAGAATATTGTGGGTTGAAAGATAATCGATATATTAAAGAAATTATAAAAAAGGATAGGGAATCTATAAAAAAATAATATATCTTTTGTTTTAGTGATTATATATTCAGAATAAATATTAGAGGAGAAAAATCTAAGAGGATTATGTTTATTACAGAAAGTACTTTTTATTTTTTTGAAGAACATAATTAAAATATTAAAATTACAAGATAATTTCCAATTTCTAAGGTATAATAATTAATATGTTGTGAATTTAATCCTATTCTATGTTGTTTAAAAATAAAGGGATAAAATGATGATTATTTGATTGAAACCTTTAAATTAAAGGATTTTATAGAATTCTTAAATGAAACTCTTAATTCTTAAATTTAAATATCCTATTAACAAAATTTTTAGATTTAATTTAAAAATTATACACATCCTAAAAATCTTAATGAGATTGGTAATGGATTATATGATGGGAGTGGAAAATAAGCAGCTTTCAAAGTGTCACAAAAGTAAGGGTTCTTATAGATGTAATAGAAAACACTCTTTGGATTTTAGGATTGGGTTGAAGTATTTGCATTAATGACAGATGTGGGACTATTATTATTTAAATAAGCTGGTGATATGCATCCAATCCTATTTGTTCCATGTGCAGATGCAATAATAATAAAAAATCCATTGAAATGTAAACCGAACTGTCTTAAGATAAAATATCGAGATTGTGAATACGTTTTTAATGTAACTTCATAAGCATTGCTAGAAGAATGGTTTCAAGAGTTGAATAAATAAGTAGTTAGTTAACATAAATTGCAGTTATCTTAATCATTAAGGAATCTTTGAGATATAATTTATAATTTGTGTATTAAAATATAAATCATTCTATTTTAGGTTCAGAAATTGAATAATCTATTTACTGTTATATACTTAAATCTTAAACTTCAGTATTATCTTTGAGACTAGGTTTTGCCATTTTACCTCCATTTTATTTATCAACAAACCATAATCCAATATTACTAATTAACCCAATTATAGCAGTACTGCCTAAAAATAATAACATATGTCTATAAGCTGTTGGGGTTTCATCTGAAATTAAATGACCTACTATAATTGGGAAGACAGTTAATCCAATATTCTAGACAGCATTAACAACTCCAAATGCTGTTCCAACAGCTCTTTCTGGTACACATAAAGGAACACAAGGCCACATAACTGCAGCATATAGAGAGTAATAGATTCCATTTAAAATCTATCCTAATATTGGTCCAGTAAGACAAGTATCAGATGTATCACAAGTGATCGTTATAAACATAGCATTCACTAATACTAGTAAGCCACCACATAAAACTAATAAATGAGTTCTTCTACCAAATTTATCAATTACAAAACCAAATACAGGAGTTAAGAGTGCAGCTGAATAATATGGTATACTATAAACATTACTTGCTTAATTAGGACTCATATGATATCTAAAATAAGATAATAAATTTACATGAGTTTAAACATTTCAACATTATTGTATTAAAATAAAAAGAATGCAGAATAACATGTGAGACAACTAAGAGTAAGAAGATGAAAATCTAACTTAAATTCTTTGATATCACTTAATGTTATTTTATCACCTTCAATTTTAGCTTCTACATTATCTCTCTTATCACAATATTTATCTAATAAAGCTAGAACAATAGCATCCACCCAGGCTAAGATTAAAAGAGCTAAACAAAAAAACATAGAAGCAGACAAACTATTTCCAAACCAAATATATGTTTTTCCTAATAAAATTGCACCTAAGACTGAACCAAGTCTTGCAAATGTAATATTCAAACTAATTTATAATTATGCTCTACTTACCCCAAAGCAAATGCTAATTCACTCCCAAAAAACCATTTACTTACAATATAAGATTAAGCAACAACACAATTTTCACCGCCTAATCCAAAGACTAATCGACCAATTAACATTGTTGTAAAATTACCAGTTACTGCTGAAATATAACAAAGAACTTATTAAAATTAAGATAATTATATACATTAACCCACTATTAAGATAGCAAAGAAACCAACCATAGCAAGTCTGATTCCAATTGCATCAATAAATAATCCTCCTAATAGAGGTAAAATAACATTAGGTAATGAGTAATAAGTATAGAGGAGATTCACATCTGATTAATTTTTGCCAAAGCTATCTTTAATTTCTTCAGCTAAAACAGAAGGATAATCTGTGCTAAAATAACTTCCAAATTAAAATAGACATGCTAATATCAATGCTATCCACCTAACATTAGTATTATGCCAAGATTTTTATTTATTAGTAATCAACTCTTATGATTAATCCTTCTTCTCATAATCATTCATTTGTAGAAAAAAATTATAGATTTTAATAAGTGGACATTATGACGATTATATACATTTATATGTAATATTTAAAAACATCATATATGATTAAATTATGTAAGGTTATGATTCTACATCATTTATTACAAATTAAATGATGCAAAGTCATTTTATATAATAAAATTGAACCAATACAAAAAAATATATAATATTTAAAATAATTTATAAAGTATTTCCTTCAATAATAAATACTTAAATAAGTTTATTAATAAATTTCATTAATTATTTATCTGTTAAACATAATTATACAATAATGAAAGATACTACCAGACGTATATTTGAAAAAGAGAACTAAGCTGAAGTTTCTAATAATATTGATAAAAGGACTAATTAAAAATCATTCACTTAATTAGTTTCATTAAGTTTGCTAAATAGATAACCAAGTAATATATATTATTAATGATTTACAGAAATTGAATTCAAAAGCATAGATATCAAATAATAACCTTAACAATTAAACTATTTAACATAAAGAAACCCTAATGTATCAAGTCTACATTATCGTCCAGAAATAAAGTAAAAAACAACTATTTCCACAACTGAATAAATTGTAAGCTATTTTATCAATAGTAGTTTTCACCAATTACTGTGAGATAAACCACTTCTATTAGTTAATGTAATTAAGACTATTTAAATAAAGAATAAAAGAATCCATAAAATAAATTGATTTATCTTTATGGAGATAATATTCTTATAAATTATTAGAAAGATGATTCTATTTAAAAGTTTGAGTTTTTAAAAAAACATACTATAAGTAGTAATTTAAGAGCTAAAATGGTTGATTGGATGGTTGAAGTGTTAACATCATATAAATGTAAAGATTAGACCTTTTTTATGGCTGTAAGATTAATGGATACATTTTTACATTAAACAACAAAATAATATGTTCCATAAGATTTACATCTAATTGGTGTGACTTGTATGTTCATTGCTAGTAAATTTGAAGAAATTTATCCTGTAAAGTTATAAATAGTGCATGAAAAGATAGCACACAAGAAATTATCTAAGGATGAAATTAGAGAAAAAGAATGTTAAATAGCATAAGCTTTAGATTTTAAATTTGTTGGAACAACACTTTCAGAAATCATTTCAATAACATTATAACTAATCAACTAATATTAAAAAATGCATTAATTTGTTATCTACTTAGCTAAAATAGTTTTATATGATTATGAACTAATTAGTTAATATAATTATTCATCATTATCAGCAGCATGTATAATAATTGGATGCAATCTGTTATGTTAAGAATCTAGTGACGATATTGTAATTAATTATTACTATTATTAATTAGATTTCTTAAACTTTATAAGTACTTAATGTTGATAAGGATGAAACAATAGAATTATCAAATAAAGTATTAAATTTAGCCAAGAATTTTGATAAACTATTTCCTAATCTAGAAAACTTAAAGAAGTTCAATAAAAATTCAACCTTAGACATAATCAAACTATAAAAATGAACTTCTTTACTTTGTATGTTTATTATTATATATTACTATATCATTTGATGATGCTCATGAATTGACTTTCTGTAATGAAATAACTTTAAACAATTTTCATTCCGAATTTCCTGTTGTTCATTAATACATTTACTTATTTAGCAGCTTCCCATTATTTAAATACAATAATAACATTACCTTCATTTTTTTTATCAACCCATACCATTTCTACTTCTCCATATTTTTTGCATTCATCTATATTATAATATATATAAAATACTTTCTACTTCTTCTTTTAATTCAACAATAGCTGCTTGATTAGATATTTCTAATTCAGTCCACATATTAGTCAATACAATAACTTTTGTAATACATGGACATGCAGGTGGATAATGTTTAAGAGGCATCCAACCAGATATACAACCTAAAGAAGGATTAGGAGATTGTATAATATTTAAAATTCTTTAAACAGTTAAACCTAATTATGTCATCAAAGGTGGTAAATTAATCTATTAATAATATATAATATATTTACATTATCAATTAAATTGTCATCCATCAACTTTTTCATAAGTGTAATTCTCATTACTGGATTCTAAACTAAATCATCATCTAATTATAAGTCCATATAATTATTAGCACCAGATACTAATTAAACTTTTATGGGTTTTCCATTTAATAAAAATGGTTAATTATTAATGACTTCTATCATATTTCTAGCTGATTCTGCTTTCTCATATGTAACATAAAGAACTCCTGTCATTCTTCCTTATTCATCTTTAGGAATTTCTACTGTGTCAATTGTACCAAAAGGTGCAAATGCTTCTCTTATATCTTCTTCATTAATTCTTTAAAGTTATTCTGCCATTCCACTAACTTGAACTCTTGCAGGTCCATTCATATTTTATAAGTCTTATATTGATTAGAGTTTATTTTATTTTATTTGCATATTCTTTTAATCTCTAGCAGCTCTATTTTTTTCTGCTTAACTCAATTATATTTTAACTGGAATTGTTCCTACTTATTAACCATCCATAATAAATAATCTATCATTCAAAGCTAAAGCCATAGGAATAGATTCTTCTTAATAAAATTCAACATATGCTACTCCTCTAGATCTACTTGATTTTTGATCTCTTATAATTCTAATATCTCTAATCTTACCACAATTGAACTATTAAAAATAAATGATATTTTATTACAGTTTAGAAAAATTAATATATGTGTTTTTCTTTTGCTTTTAATGGTAAACAGTACATTAAAACAGTTAAATCTTATCTATGGGCTTCTTCTAATTCTCTTTCTACTTCAACAATTTTCCTTTCTAATTCTCTTATTTCTGCTTCCATAATTTCAATTTTCCTCTATTTAGCAATTTCCCTTTTCTTTTAGATATCATTAGTCATTAATATCTAAGTTGTAATTGTTTATTATTATTATTCTTTATCTTTTTCTCTATCCTTATCTTTTTTACTCTTTTTTTTCTTAGATGATTTAGATGCTGATCTTGATCTTCTACCACATTAATAATGATTTTATTACTTTTTCTTATCTTTTTTCTCATCCTTCTTCTTTTTCTTTTTTTCTACACTCTTATCCTTTTCTCTGTCCTTATCTCTCTCCTTTTCTCTTTCCTTATGACTCTCTCTATTATGTTTATCCTTATTTTTCTCATGTCCACGTTCTTTATCCTTTTCATTCAACTTTGAATCATGCTTTTATCCATGATGGTGTTCCTATTATATATATCGTTGGAATTGCTCAAAATCTAAATCATCCATTTATTATTAATTAAATAATGAAACAAAATTTGTATAGTAATAATCAAAGACCTCCTAGTACAACTAAAGATAAAATGTAAGCATAAGGATTGCCCAATTATCCATTATTACTTAATAAAACTTAATCAACACCATCTTCTTAAGAGATCAAATAAAGTTATCCTTACTCTTCATATGGTACATCCACAATTACCACCTAATAATAATAAGTAAATTATTATTATTTATTTGAATAGTCTAGACCTTATGAATAAAACACATAAAAACTAAATCCATATTAAATCAATTCATAACAATCATCAAGTGCAATGACAAATTCACTATCGACTACTTAAAAGACTAATTCAACTATTTCATCTATGTCATAATCTCAACCTGAATAATAATAATATTAGAAATATATGTAAAATGTCAGCAAAGGCATATGCGGATTGAGAAATATTGGCAATACATGTTTTATGTAATTGTATTTAATTACATTCAGGAATTCAGTTCTGTAATGCTTACTCAACCTTCCTGCTTTTAATGAACACTTTTTAAATGGTGATTACTTAAAAGACTTGAATTCTAAAAACAGCTCTGTTCCAAATGAATATAGTAAATTAGTTTCCACTGTTAGGAGCACACCAAATTTCTAATCTATTGCTCCATATGGAATAAAATCAGCAGTTGGTAATTTCTTTATATTTATTAGCAATTTCTATTAGAAAATGTTATGCCTTGTTTTAGAGGTTATGCTTAATAAGATGCTTAAGAATTTTTGGTAGCATTATTAGATGGTCTCAGTCTTGGTTTAAATAGAGTAAAATACAAATCATCATATAAAGAAATGAATGATAATCTTAATGGAAGAAATTTATAAGATTTAGTAATTCTTATTTTAATTATATTTTAGAGTAAAGAATGGTGGGATTATTCAAAAAGTAGAGAAAATAGTTTGGTTTTAGATTATTTTTAAGGACAATTATTACATACAATCAAATGTTCTTATTGTAGCAATAGTTCATATGCATTTGACACTTTCTTAGATACATCTTTAGCATTTACAAGAGCATTTAAAATATTAGAAGATATGGATTTGGATAGATTATTAGATAAATATGTAATAGAAGAAACAATAGATGATTATTATTGTTCAAAATGGTATTTAATTTATCGTTATTGTATGTTGAAGTAAAAAGCATTAAAAAGTGAAACGTAAATTTACAATTTGGAGATTGCCTCATATTTTAATGTTTCATATCAAAAGATTTGATTATAGAAGATTTTCTAGTGATAAATTAAATCATAGAGTGAAATTTCCATTGGAATTAGATATGTCAAAATTCATCTAAGATTCACGTAAGACATTCTTAATTTTAGTTGACTAGTCTACCAAAAATTGTTAATATTCCTTATGTGGAATAGTAAATCATAGTGGAACTTTGTATGGAGGTCACTATACAGCGTAATTATAATTTATAAATTTATAAAGTGACAGTTTGAATCCATTTAATTTAAAATGGTATCGATATAATGATTCTGACGTAAGAGAGATTGATGTAAAACAATAAAGATATGATACTGATGGCAGTAGTAGTCCATATATATTGTTTTATGCGAGAAAGTCATTATATTGATTAAAATAATTGTAATGCTATTTTTGGTATTTTATATCACAGTTATTATAAAAACCATCTAATCCATTGATTCAATTACTTTTAATTTTACATCTCTTATAATTTCTATTAAAGTTTTTAATATTGATGTGTATTATGAATTGTTAATAATACTTAAGCATTCATCTCTTTACATTCAACAAGATGAGATATATATAATTTTGTATGATTTTTACAAGCAAAACATTAACAATCTGGATTTAATGGTACCTATAATAAATACATATATAAATATACATTTTCTTTAACATCTGAATTGATAGGGAAATTCATATATTTTATTTTTTTTCCTTCCAATTCATAAAAATTTATTTTATCACCAGAAAATTATTCAATATCATTATCTTTTGCATCAAAATTTGGTATTAAAATTACTTTAAGATCTTATGCAAATCGAAAAGGTTCTTCAACTTCAAAACCTTCTATTCCCCAACTCATACCCCAAAGAATAGATAATATATCTCCATATCCTGCTAAAATATATGATAAATTATATCCATCATATATTGATTATAATACAGATAAAGCATCCTCTTTATCTTACCATGAACTACCTTTATTGAATCCATAAAGAGTAAAACCTCTAAAATTTGGATAATCAATTGCAAATTTTTATTCTTCTGCAGCAATTATTTTTAAATCAGTATCTAAACCTCCTTAAATGGCCCCATAAATACTAATTTATGTGTCTTTTAATTCATCCAAACTTTCTTTTAAAAATTTAGCTGATTTTTAATAAGATCTCTTCATAGATTTTTGACCTGCTTCCATTCCTGGTTATTCAGTTAAAGAGACCAAAATTTCTGGATTAATTAATCTAGCCAATTTATTATATTGTTAATTTGTTATTGGTTTGATTCCTTCTAATTAAGATATTTTAACTCCATCTTAATTTGATTATCCTTCAACACATTTTATTTTATAAGAATCAATTGAAGTCATATATAAGGTTTTATTTTCTTGATTGATATATTGACGAAAACTTATATTGGTTTCTGATTGTAGTTTGTTTAGTGTATTTTCCATATGAAAAAAATCACCTGCACTTATTAAACATGTATCAAGATTAAGTGATTATTAATTAAATGGAGTTAAATGATAGTATGCTCCCATTCTTGTAGTATAAATAAACAATGGCGATTTTTTCATTTGTTATAATAAATTCTTACAAGTGATTCATGAATAATTCATTCATAAAATCTGAAATTAGATAAGAAATTAGAAAAAAAATAATATCTAAATAAATTGCATACCCTTATCTACTATGGCAGACGAACAATTGACCATTTTGTATATGATCAATCCAGACCCCATATTTTATGGCATGATGGATCAACTTATAATTGAAACCTTCCAAAAATTAAGAGTTAATGTAATTGTCACAGAACTTGAAGAATTAAGTGTTATCATTGGAAACGTAAATAATTGATCATATATCTATATAGGAAATAACATTCTATAGAAAAGGAGAATAAATACACTTTGATGCATTTTTAGCATATGGATATATGGCTCCAAAACACTACTAAGATTATATGTATTTCAATTTTGCTGTACATTCTGCTGGAAAAATCACTCTTCATCATCCCTCTACAGAAAGTATACTTTAAAATAAATTGCTTTAACATCTTAAATTTAGTGAAAATCAAGTACCTATAGCTAGATGTGGAGCCTCTTTCTCACTAAATACCTTCAAATAAAATCTTAGAAGATTTAATAATAAATCTATCATAAAAGAAGTTGAAGGTTATGAAGGCACTGGAGTTAAACTTTCAATAAATCATAATTAAAGTACAGAACTATTTTGTAAGTCTATGTGGAATGGAGAATAAGCCATCATTTAAGATTTTATTGATGATACTATTGGAAGATCAATTAGAGTTCTTGTAATTGGTGGTAAAGCTGTTTCTGTCACTGAATTCTAAGATAATGTGGTAATTATTATCATCTAAATCTAGGATTTTAAATCTAATGGATATAGTGATGACTTTTAAATTCAATCTAAGATGGATTCAGAAAAAAAATAAGAATATTTTAAAATTGCTGAAAAGGCTTGTGCAGCTATAGATCCCCATTTAACAATTGGAGGAGTTGATATTTTGGATTCTAGAAAGAATGGAATTGTTGTTTTAGAAATCAATAGTTGGCCTGAGATGACATTCTCATAAGATGCTACAGGCCTTCCTCTCTTTGAATAATTTGGCTAAGAATTTATTGAAAAAATAATATCTAATAATAGAGAAAGAACAGACTCGACTTGATTATATCATATATTGTTTTATTTATGTATGCAAACTGTTCTGTAACAAGTTTAAAATAAACTTACATTTAAAATGGATATTCTGATTTCCTAAAATTAAAATTAATTAATTCTAATACAAATATTAATAATATATAATAAATCTAAAAATATTAGGAGAAATTAATATAAATTAACATTCATTCAATATATTAATATTTGTATAACAATCTAAGTATATTGTATATTTTTTATAAAAATTGATATTAATTCAGAAATTAAAAAAAATATTTGGAGATGGAGCGCCTTGAGTATGAAATTTATTAAATGTGAATGAAGTAACTCAATAGCATGATCTCTATAAATTATTAATATTATTCGGTATATAAACTTTATTAACAAAATGTATAAGTTTATGGGATTAAAAAAAATAGAACAAAATTTAAATGTTTTAATATCTCTATTCTGTTTATTATTAATCAAATATATTATAATAATAATATTTCTATATTTTTTTTTGTATAATTTATATAATAAATGAGATCAATTCCTATATTTTAGGTATTCTATTTACTTTTGTAACATTTAAATGTATTAAACTTACAAATTTATATTTCGCCAATTTTTATTAATTATAATTTATATAGTCGTTAAAATATCAAAGATGAAATCTGTGAATATTTTGAAAATGCTTGAAGCTAATAAAGAAAATAGAAACTTTTAATTAGTTTAAAATAGATAAAACAGAGTTCAATCTACTCTCTATATAAAAGATGAGTTATCTCAATAAAATATTAAACCAAGAGTTATAAGGGTTTCAAAATGGAATAAGTCATAAAATATTAGAGACAATTCAAAACGAGAGGATTAAAGACATATTAGTTATGAATTACCCAGATAAAAAACTGATTAATATTAACATATTTAAAGAACTCTAAAAAATAGAAGTTTAACTAACATCTAAATTTCCATCATTAATTAAGCCTAGAATAATAATAACAATAATAATGCTTCAATATCATTACCTAATAGTAACAAATGTAAAGCAATATTATTGTATTTTTAGATTTAGTTACAAAAGGATTAGATAAATTTTAATCAACAGAAAACTATGGAAATCCATAATTAGTTAAAACTTATAAATAGGATATATTTAACTATCTTGAAGAATTCAATTTAAAGTTATAATAGTAAAATACTATCTCATATAATGCATTTTATTAATAAAGTTAGATTACTTTAAAAATGAGAAATGTTCTTATTAATTGGCTTTTTGAAGTTCATCATAAATTAAAATTACAATTAGAGACACTCCTTTTGACTGTATGGTTAATAGACAAGTAAGTATTAACAATAATTAAGATTTATTGAAACTCATTTAGTATAAAAGAATAGATTTCAACTTTTTGGAATTGCTTGTTTATTTATTGCATCAAAATATTAAGAAGTTTATGGTGTACCAAAAAGTGGTCAATTATCTAAATTGTGTGATGAAGTTTATAGCAAAGAAGATATATTGAAAGCAGAAGGGTAAATACTATAAAATATAAATTTTAATTTATCTTTTATATCACCATTAAGAATATTTGAACATATTGCTGAAGTTGATGATTAAATTAGGTTGATTATTTCAATTTAATTAGTTGATATCTGATATAGTTGGCCTCATTTAGTTATGGATTTGCAAATGGAGACCCCTTTTTAATAGTGGCTACTATTCTAAATATTGTTGGAAAAATCTCTAACAAAAAGATTGATTCATCAATGTTAAAGGTAAAATTATAAACTTTAACTCATAGGTAGATTCTAATCAAACTAACAAATTAACAAAAGAATTAATTTAAACTTGGTTTCTAGATGAAGTTAATTAACCATTTCCATCTCTCATCAAAAAGTATTAACACTCTCATTATAATCATGTTTCAACAATTAATTTTAGTTTAGATCTATTTTTATGATTGTAGAATAATATCTTGTAGTTATTAGTAATTACTAACAATATTATTATTAATATATATATAATTATCTTATTAATAGAATTTTAATTCTAAAAACTAATAGTAAAGAACAAATAAGAAAAACAAGAAGATTTAAAAGAAAAACTATAACTTAATAGATCAACATATAAAATATAATATTAAAACTTTGTTTGATTAAATAATATAACAAAATGACATTGATATTTTGAATAATAAAATATAATAATTGTACATATTATTTATTTTTATTAACATCTAATTTTTTTGATTATCAAAGAATGTAGCAAATAATCAATTTAAAGTTTATTTATAAGTTCTTATAGAAAAATTTAACCAATAAAAATGTTAATGAAGTATTATATTAAAAAATTATTAATTATTATTAATCAATGTGATTTTCTTAATAACATTTATTCTATATCTAAAAAGGATTTCAACAATTCATTTTTCATTTATTAATATTATCCTAATCCTGATAAAGTTTAAGAAGAATTAAATTCACTTTATTAAAATTCATCTTATCTATCTTATATATCTTTTATGACTTTAGTTTTTGTGTTTACAAAATTAAAGTAGTCTGTATTTAATGTTGATTATGAATTTTATTATGTTTTATGAGTATTTTTACAAATCAATTCATAATCAGGAACCAATTCATTAATTTAAAACTTAGAGCAACTAAATGTTTTTTTCTGTTAAGATTATTTTTATGTAGATGATTTAGCTACAGAGACTTTCATTACTGATTATGGTTTAGAAATTTTTTTGTTTTGAATTCTGTTATTTTAAATTAGTTAAAGTTCTTTCTCTTTTTTGACTTTATCAATAATTTGCTATCTAGTCAAAAACATTTTAGTATTAGAAGCTTTGTTTGTCAAAAGGAGTTAGAATTATTAGAGGGAATTCATTTTAACGGATTTAAACTAAACCTATATTAATTTATTTAATTTTAGATGAGACTATACAATATTTTGTGTAAACAATCCTTAATTAATTTGAAGATTGTTATAATTTAAAGTAATTGATTATTTAAAGACACCTAAGTACTCAATAAATATAAAAATATTATTTTATATTCTATTTTTAAATAATCAAATATGTAAATTTTTGTTAATAATAATAATAATCATTTTCTATCTTTTTTGTTAATACTAAGTTAAGATTGAATTATAAATAATCCTTTTTTTATTCATTCATTAATTAATTAATTATATTATTGAATGGTTTTATTTTATAAAATAGATGTTATATATATTTTAATCAATTTCTATTTAATTTAAGACTAGTTTGTTAAATATTAGTTCTGATATATAAATGTATTTTTATTAATTGTTAATATATTTTATAATATATTATATTTTAATGCTTTTTCATAATTTAATAAATTTATTAATAAAAAATATTATTATTATCTTATTGAAAAAAGTTGTATTGATTTGTATTTTATTAATGGAAACTTCATATCTAATCTAATAATTATATCATAAAATAATTGTTTTATTTTTAGAAATTACACCCCAGGAATTAATATTACTTTTATTACTAAAATAATTAAATTGTTTAATTTGAAATAATAATTAAAACAAAATACTATAAATTAAGATTACAATATAAAGAAATATTCAATCTAAATTATTAGATCCATTTAATATGTAAGAAAGCCTTCTAATTTAAATGTTTTTGATTTTGAGATCTGTTTTTACTTCATATATTTCTAATTAATCATCTTATTAAATTGATTTACTATTCTAAGTAGTCTATTCTGATATGTATTATTATGTTTTTGATTCTATAATTTATTTTTAAGAACAAATATCAAGCCATTGAACCTTTTTTTTATTTTTGACTTTTATTTTATTAATTCTTTATTCAATTGATATTTCCTACTTCAAAGCTTACTACTAATTAATATTTTATGATTATAACTCTAAATGAGATGGTTGAAGGTTATTTAAAGAATTTAAACTGTCAGATCCTTTGAATATATCAGTATTTTATTTAATAAACTAAACATCTATTGGAATTTTAAAGATCCAAAGAACAATATCTTAGGATCTAGTATCCTTCACAAAACTAAAAAAGTTATCTTCAAAGTTAAATAATTAGGACTTTTTAAACTTTACAATTAATTCAACTTCTTTTTCAGAAATATATACACATGAATAATATACATTATTGAAATAGACTCCAGCATTTAGAATAATAAACAAGCATATTATTATTGAGTAATGTTATCATTCTTTGATTATGAAAGAGAAAGCTATTGTTCAATTTTTTAGCTTATAATACTTTTCCTTTTAGATAAGATTAGATCTTAAATTATTATTTGCCTTAATGAGATAAAAATTCTTTGTTCATATAAATAATAATATCATTTTACTAAATTCAATTGATTTGTAATAAAGTCTTCCATTTCTACAGGTTTGTTAGCTTAACAATATAGATCGTAAAGTACTGATATCATTTCATTTCTACCAGGATGATCTTAAGGTAATTTATTTTTTAATTAAGTAGCAAGATCAAAAAACTTTCTTTTGAGTGTTTTTTCTTATTATTAATTTTATGGATCCATTTATTTCATTTTTCTTTTAGTTGCTTTCATTGCTTTTGACATATAATCATATAATTATATAGATCCACAATCTTCTTATGGTAATTATTTAATCATATTTTCTATTTTATAAATGATAGTTTTAACAGTTTGGGCATCATTTGCAATTAAGATTTAATTTAAATTTGAAATCATATCTGATAATATCTTTTTGGAAAATACAAGCTATTATTTATCAAGTTCATCTTAAAGCATTTATTTAAGTTTTTGAATTTTTCCCTCCAACTTATCATCATTATATTAATCATGTTAATAAAATGTTTCATCACAAGGTATTTAATGCATAACAGTGAGTTCTAATTAATGATTAGAAGTTCTGACTCTTGATTTTGCTAATTTTTATTCTAATACTTATGAGACATTAAGCACTGGTTGTTTTTACATATCAAATTTGTTCAAGAATTCAGTAACTAAATTGGACATCAAGTTTAATTCTTGTTCCTTTATTATTGTAAAATTAATAAATATACTTTTTTGACTGGATTTTGGGAAACATTTAATTATGATATTTCAGATTGATTAACTTTGTCTATAATTTAAGAATACTCTTTTAAGACTTATTTAGCATCAACTTGAATTTTAGATCTAATAGTAGGATCATTATTTGATTTTCTTAAATCATCTGCATAAGCTTATAATAATCCCATAACTTTATCTTTTAAAACGGACATGTCATCATAGAGTTCTTCTTCTATATAACTTTTTTCAATTATTTCTGTAACTTCTGACTTAGGTTGAAAATATGGATTCTTGCCAAAGGTTCCACGATAACTCTGATTCTCTTGGACTTGCTCTTATTGTTTTTATTATTATACTATTTATTAAGGTTAAACTAATAATGAAGATTAAATATAAATATACCAATTCCTATTGGATTATTGAATTGATTTTGGCATATAGATTCTTCTTATTCTGAAACAATTGAAAAATCACTAAGCATTTTTGAAAGATTAGCTTAATCAATTTCTCTAAGAATTTGAACTTAGCTATTTCTAGGTTATGTTTATTTTCCAAAAGTTTCTCTTGGTGAATTGGGTCTAACTTAAAATGTAAATCTATCTTCATTATTATTTTGTTCATATTTGTTGATGATGTTTTGGGCAGATTATCTAGAATTAGAATTTGATGAATTATTCATCTAATAATTAAAATAAATAATATGTCTAAGTTTAAAGATAAACCTACATCTTCTCAAATAGGTTGTGGTTGTTTAGGTAGTTCCAAATAAAAAACTATGTATAATATATATTTCATTTTAGGATGAAGTTCTCCCATATTGAGATAGATGAAGAGATTGTATCTGCATCAATTATAATGGAAATGATATACAGAGGCTAGAATGCTGAATTAGCATTATCTCGCTGTAGACTCAATCCAAATTTAGTCTTACTTTAATTTAGAGATGACTTAGAGTACTTTATACCATAGCTAATTAACCATATTATATACAAATAGCTTGAATATGTGCTTAATTTTATTCTAAAAGCAGCAGAAGTAGATTTCTTCTTTGCTCATACATTCTTTTTTGCCTGGAGATCTATAGTAAATGATAACAATCCAGAAATTGAAAATTATTTAAGGCTCTTTTTATCAACTTTAGATAGAGTATATAAAAAGACTCTGTTAATTGCTGCTTGTCTTGAGAATCATCAATTTAATGATGGCATAGAACAACAAGTTTCTAAAGGTGTTCCTATTGTACAATAGGTGAATAAGTTACCTGACAGAATTCAAGCATATGGCACCTTATTTTACTCTAATCATGTGTTTAATGATACCCTGCAATTAGCAAATTATGAATCAATTTTCAGATAAGCTAAACCATCAGGATTTTGTTCAACTATTGATTTTTGGGATGACATCATATATATTTCCTAAAAGTATTTAACTTATTAAGGCTCATAGTTTGCATTTGGCAGACCCAAAATTAATATCTCTTAAAGCAGATATCCAAAAAATCAACAGAGGTTTACCATCTGCAGTTTATATTCCTTTTTAAGGAGTTAGAAATTATGTTGTACTTAATATAGTTGTTGATGAATGCAGAGTATTTTCAACTAAATGTAGATCTCCATTTTATTTATGTTTCGAAATATACAGACCTGAAGAAGAAGCTGAATTAATTCCTAATCCACTTAGAAATAGTCGTTTGTCTATTCCAAAAACAGTTGGAAAAATGGATAATAAAAATAATAGTGAAAATAATGAAACATAAGATTGTACAAGAAATAGACCAACTTACCTTTGTAAAATTGTTGAAGCTGAAGAAGATGCAGAAGAAGGTAAGGAAGATTTAACTCAATTCAGTAATATATTACGGGATAATGATGTTACGCATTCATATTATGAAGATTTAAATAATTTAGTATCAATTTAAAATGTTAAAGGGTTATAATAATAATTAAAGAAAATGACTAAGAAAGAATTAACTGATTCTATTTATGGTTGTGATAATTAAGATAAAATTAAGAATAACTCTCCTTTTCGAAATTTCAAAACATGGAAATTAGTACATCTTATTGTTAAATCTGGAGATGACTTAAGATAAGAACAATTTGCTATGCAATTAATATCAACATTTGATTAGATTTTCAAAATTGAGTAATTAAAATTACAATTAACAACTTACGAAGTTATTTCTTTAGGACCTGGTTATGGTTTAATAGAAGTTGTTAGAGATGCTCTATCCATAGATTCTATTAAAAAAAAGCTTAATGATATCTTACAAATAAAGTGTTTGAGTCATTATTTTAAGTATTTAATTTTTTAAATTAGATTGAACTCATCTCAGGCCATGATATCCAATTTCTTAAACAGTTTAGTTGCATATAGCTTAGTCTGTTATTTTTTATAAATTAAAGATAGACATAATGGAAATATTTTATTACATAGAGATGGTAATATTGTACATATAGATTTTGGATTTTTCTTATCTAGTGCTCCTAAAGGTAACTTAGAAAAAGAAGTGCCCTTTAAATTAACAGAGGAATATGTAGAAATATTGGGTGGATATGATTCTAATTTGTTTAAGAGATTTAGAAAAATGTTCTTTGAAGGTTTTAAGGCTATTAGAAGACATAAAGATAAGATTATATTGTTAGTGAAAATGATGGAGAATTCCAGTTTAAATTGTTTTAAAGAAAATACTTTATTAAATTTGGAGAGGAGATTCTTAGAAGATGATTTATCTGATACTTAATTGTATGTGCAATGTTAAAAGTATATATTTATATTAATTATAATAGATTAATAGATTTGAGTAGAGGTAATTGGAGGGCTAATTGGTATGACAAATATTAATACTATTTTTAAGGAATTATGTATTGATTAAAATTAATTTTGCATTTTATCATTATAATTTATTAATTTAATATTAAGATCTAATTTGTAAAGAAGTATAAGTTATTCATGGATTTAATTGTATAATCTATTTTTATAGTAATCAATTAAGTGTTAAAAAGAAATTTAAAATTTTTATTTTATTAATGATAATATAATGAAGAACTCACAATAAAAATTAAAATTGCTAGATTTCTATTATAAATAATAATTTGATTTGAATAAACATATAATGATTGAATTCAGAGATGACTAATATTTTATCTATTTTCATGACACTTATATTATAATAAGAAATTCGAAAATAACATTTTATCTAATAAAAAAAATGGATTAGTTCTAAGCTTATATCAATAGATTTGTAGTTTCTGCTCATTTTTCGATATTAATTTAATTAAATGCATTTGATATATTATCATATTCATTTATTAATCTAAATACTTAAGTTATCCTTAATATAAAATAAAATTATAACTTTAAATTCTCTTTTTTGTTAAAGTTGAATTAATTGAAAAACAGATATTATTATAAGAATTTTTAATACAGATGTAATTTATTTATTTAAATAATAATAATAATATAAATTTCTCTATTAAAAGTTTAGAGGATCTTTGGTCGGAAATCACATTTATTTTAATATTAAATCATAATTATTTATATATTATTTATTTATAATATTAATATAAAATAGTACAAAATTTTGAGAAATCTATATATTTTTAATATCTATATTTGCAATACTATCATTCTCTATAGAAATTGTTTTTAAAATTATTTATTTTATTTTTAGATTATCACAAAGAAAATTGTTATAATAATAAATATATTACAACTATTTTTTGTATCAAATCACATCTCCTTAATCATTTAATAATGGATATAATTAATTTAAATGATTGAGCTTATTCAAACAATTAGAAATTATATAATAAAAAATTTAATTATCTTTTAAGACTCTAACTCTAACATTTAATTTTTTTTTTGAATTTCTTTAGTATTATTTAATAATATGATATTTAATTAGATTAATATACTTTTTTCAATCAATTCTATGGTTACTTTATTTCTTAATTTATTTTTAGCAAATACTTGTCTGAAAATATACATATTTAAATAATCATAATTTTAATTTATCATTAAATCATGATTGCTCTAACAATAATACTAAAAAATTAGATATTTATAGACAATCTTATTGGTACAATTAATGATTCTATAAATCTTTTCATAAGTTCGAATTTGTATGATGACTTTATTTAACATATTTTTATCAATTAAGGATGTTAAGATTATCTGAGTGAATATTAAATAATCGAATAATATATTAAATGCTTATTTCCTAAAGACAACCACTCATTTAGTTAGATGATTTTATGTCATTTTTGGGAAGTTAATGGATAAAGTTAAATTATTTGAACTAAACTTAATCAATCGATTGCCAGAATCATTTTGTAAATTTGATTGACCAAAACAAAACAAGAATCAAAATTGATTAAGAACAATTAGCTAAGCTCGAGATGTCTAATCATAAAATAATTATACTAACATTCTTCATTTACGGATACTATATCACTTATATCGAAAAATAACAATTTTGCTTCCTTTTCTTTAAAAAGTTCATCTAAGTAATTGACAAAATAGAAATAAAAAGTTTGGAATATATATAATAGGTCATAGAGCCTCAGCATCCTATTTGTAAATAAATTTTGCTTGAATGCATTATAATGCTTCTTCATCAAACAAGCTAATTATTAGAAACGACTGAATAAAATCAAATGGAGGATTATGAAGATAATTATAATGATATTCCAGAAAGCAAGTTATTTTATAAATAGGCTTATATACATCTAGTTGATTAAATGAAGGGGGTTTTGTTTAAATCCTACAATTAAGGACAAATATTGATCACAATTTTCATTAATTAATTATTTTTGAGCGATGAGATATGTGCAAAGATACAACAAGAGCATGCAACTCAAATTCTATTGAATGATACAAAGTTTATAATTGAATTAATGGAAGATTATATTAGTTGTTCCGATAAACCTATTCATAATACTAGATAAATAATTAAATAGACGTTTCTATCAAATCAAGAAAGATAGGGTAAAATATCATAAAAAATATTTAATAATTTATAGTAATTAAATGATTAAACTATTTTATGCCTTTAAGCTATAAAAATATGGTTGAATTCTAAAAACCAAACCGTCTTTTTATAAATTATATAATTTTTAGAAAATACTTTTGAGAATGCTAATTTTAGCTTTGAATACGATGAATAATGTATTAAATTATCATTTGAAATATTAAGTAAATGATTTACATTTATATTAGCATATATATAATCTTAAGTTTTATAAGATAATACAAATTTTACTGAAGAAATATAAGAAAAAATGATATATATATTTCATATTTTATGGACAACTCTAGAATAACAAACTTCAAATTAATTCGATGATTAAAAGACTGAATTTTGGTTAAATTATATCCATAAATTAAATTTACTCCTGAATCCCTTAACTCCAAATTCGAAAGAATCAAATAACATAAAAGAATGTGCTGGTCTATATCTTATCTTATATGATCATCACAATATTAAAAAGTACATTTAATCTACAACTATTTTATTTCATTTTATTGATCAACTTTATCCATTAGATCAAACTCAAATTAAATAAAGTATTTTACTCTAAAAATTAATTAAATCATCTATTGAATGTATAGTAGATCCTTATTTATAAGAAAATGAAGGAATTATGTTAACTATTTAGAAAGTCTTAAAGTAAGTTCAATTTATAAGTCCTTAATTTAAAAAAAATATATTCTAATATATTTGGACTAAATTGATTCCTGAAAATCGATTTTACTTAGAAGTATTATAAAAGGTAGTAACTCTCTATTTAGAAAATGAAGATTAAATATTTGGAACTAGAAATAGCTTTTTTATTTCAATTTTAGAAATGGAAAGTCATAAGAAAATTGTACATCCATAGAAATTTCTTGCACTTTTATAAATTTGTTAATATCTTTGTCTTGAAAATGCTCCTATTAATATAGAATAAATATTTTCTTAACATGATCCAAATGCTAATTGTTTAGAATTAAAGTAATTTAAAATTAAAAGAAGCTTCTAAGAATTTTTTTAAGTTAATAATTATTATAATTTAATAATAAATCTTATTTCTAGCATTAACAATCCTAATAATTTAGTTTAATCATTAAAAGAATTTATAAAATTATTATGGTTATTAACTGAAGGACTTAAATTATGTTAAGTAGATTTTGCAGATGATTTTGTTTAATTCTTAGAATAAAAACTTTATTTATTTTCAGATGATTAAATGAGAGAACTTATTGAACTACTTTTTGATTGTTCTGTTTCTATGATAAGTAAATTTATTAGATTAATGAATGTATCAAATACTGCAGAATAATATGGTGAAATTATGATATAAAATGAATTTTGTTTAAAAGTAAATATAATTTTAATAATTAGGTACTTGTTGAAACTTTCCTATTTAACACAACTCCCTCAGAATAATTAAGACTTAAGTGTCTATAATTTCTAGGTATATTAATATCTATGAATGATTATAATAAGATGATTTTTAGAGAAGCCATTAGATTGTCAGTATAAAATATTTTATATATTGTTAGAATTTCTTATTATGTATGAGAAATTAAAAGAATAAGAGTTTATAATCATCTATGGAAGAAGTTTTAAAAAGATCTTTATCATTTATAAGAAATGATTAAATTCAAAAATTAATTTAAAATGCTCCTAAGGAATCATAAAAAAATAAAGTATTCAAATAATCAGCATTTTCATAATATGTAGGAACTACTTTAGAAAATCTATCAAATAGTGGTACTGAAACTAAATTTAAAAGATATTTTTAATTATTAGGAAAGGATAGTGGAATTATTATTAAGAATTACAAAGATTTATGTGTAAATAAATCATGGAAATCTTTTACAATTTTAATGGAATTCAAAAGAGAAGGTTTTCATTTCATTAATTCAAATGCAAAAACACTTGAAGATATATATAAAAAAGAATAGATATTATTTGCATATACTGGACATATAGAGAGATAAGAAAAAGGTAATCATTAAGGAATATCTTAAAAATAAAATATTGTTTAGGTTGATTTAATCACAGTATCATTGATCAATTAATAATTAAAATAATAAGAATAATAAAATTTAAACTATCTTTAAAATATAATAAAAATTGCAATACTCAATTCAGAATTATAAATATAAGAATTTACAATAGATTACACATAATAATCAAAGGATGAAACTATATTACTTATTTTTATGTTCGATGATAGAAATAAAGGAAAATTTTCAATTAATATTTAAAATTAAAAGAAAAGGTCTTTTTAAATTAAACCATTTTTATCAGAATACATTAAAAAGCATTCTGATAAACATCCTTTAAGTGTAAATATAGGGTCTTATTATTCAAACTAATAATTTTAGAGAACATTTTAGGGAATCATTAATAATTTTATTCTTGTTGAAAATATATTATTGGAAAAATAAATTGAATCAATATTTTCAAGGGATTAAACAAATTTAGTGACAGTTGTTGAATAAGAAACAATGAATTTCGGAGTAGATGAAATTTAAAGTATAAATTTATTATTATATTTTATTAGGTAGGGAAATGTAATACTTAGATTTCGAAAAATTTAAGTCTAGTTTTTAAATTGTAGAAATTAAAGATGTTTTGAAAATTATAAGAGCACAAAATGTATAGGATTAAAATTTCATAATGACAATGTTAAAGAAATAAATATAGCATAAGATAAGTTATGAATAAAATTAAGATGTTAAAGTATTCTATTAAGGTGTTAATATTATTGAAGATACAAGTTTGGCTGAAGTTTTCTTAAGTTTAGAGAATATTGAAATCATTTTATTCATCATATCCATTACAACTTAAACTTATTTTGAAATTGAACCATAAGAAAGGAGATCATGTAAAATAAGAAGTGTTAAAGAGGTTTTATAAAATGGATCTACTACTAGCAAAGGAGTTTATAAAAGAACTAATTATTTTGATTCTTAATAAAGATCATTATTTTTAGTAAAAGATTTAAGAAAATGTAGAGATGATTATATAAACAGTTAACAATTTTAATTGAATTTAAAGAAATAAAATAGTTCAATAATTTCATAAGGTGAATCTCCATTATAATAAAGATAAAATTTTATTTAACTGGAATAGAATAGTTCAAATTCAAACACTAATTCAATATAATTAGCTTCATAATTTTAAGCTGTTTCATAAAAAAATATTGATCAATTAGACCAAACTTCATTATTTAATATTCCAATTATATAAGTATAAAGCACTTTCTCTTAAGAATTATAATCACCTTTTATTATGAAATCAAATTAATCTGAATAAAAGCAGATTTCTCCAGGTGATTTACCACATTTTGAAATACCAAATTAAATAATTTCAAAAGAGAAATTCACATTAGAATAATTTAACATAGATAGAAAAGTTAAATCTTAGTTTACTGGAAGAAAAAATACAAGAAATAATACATGTAATGTATCAGCAACAAAAGCATTTTAAATGAATTAGCATCTAAAAAATTTAGTTGAAATATAAAGTGATAAAAATATTAATTGGCATTAATAAAATAGTGAGTCAATTATATATGATTCTAATCTTTATCATTGTGAATGGATTAGAGTAAAAATGTAAATATATGGAGAATTAAAAATCTTAGAAAAAGGCAAAATCCTTTAATTTTAAAGTGATGGTTCAGAACGTCCTGATAAAGATTTCTACATTTATGGAACAATAGTATTGAATTATTTAATATTAATAGCCTTATAATTTAAAAAAGTTGAAGAAAACAAAAATAATAAATACATCTTAAATCTTAGAAATTTAAACTAGGAGATATTCACATAAAGAAATAGCTATCGAGATATTCTGTAAAAACACAAAGTCTTACTTTTTTGTTTTATACGATTAAGATAGAAGGACATAATTCTTTAATTAAATAAAATAGAACAATACATTTAATATTGTAATAGATAAAAGAGCAGGTTTAAATATTTTAATAAATTTTAGAATTTTTAGCAAAAGAATATACAAAAAAATGGGTTAAAGGAAAATTGTCAAATTTTGAATATTTAATGTTAATCAATAAATATTCTGGAAGATCTTTTAATGATTTAAATTAGTATCCAATATTTCCATGGGTTATTTGTGATTATACAAGTAAAACTATTGATTTAGTAATTTAATTATTATTATTATTTAAAATAGACTAAAAGAGAGATATATAGAGATTTAGAAAAGATGATTAGTAGTTAAAATGAGGAGAGATTAAAAAATTGTAAAATTAGAGCTGAATCTTTAAAATAAACATAGAATGAATATTTTTTATTTGGATCTCATTATAGTGTAGCTGCATAAATAATAAATACTCTTGTGAGAATAGAACCATTTACTACTTTATCTTGTGAATTACAAGATGGAAAATTAGATTAACCTGATAGATTATTTTTCTAAATTTCAAACATTTGGCAATCTTGTTAAAATGATAATTAAGATTATAGAGAATTAATTCCTGAGTATTTTTATTTACCAGAATTTTTGAAGAATATTAATAAAATATATTTTGGTCAAAGATAGAATTAAGAATAGGTTGATGATGTTATTTTACCTCCATGGGCTTCAAGTTGTGAAGAGTTTATTGAAATAAATAGATAGGCACTTGAATCTAGTTATGTTAGTGAGAAATTACATAATTGGATTAATTTTATATTTGGACCATATGCTTAAGGAGAAGAAGCAAGAAAAAGAGATAATTTATATCATTGGTTAACATATGATTCATGTTTAACATATTTAGATAAATTGCCAAGTTAAGAGAAATTGGGATATTTAGCTTAAATATAATAATTTGGTTAAGTTCCATTTTAATTATTTGTAAAACCACATTGGCCAAAATAAAAATAATAATTAAATTTATTTTCACCTACAAATTTAATAAAATTATTAAGTGAAAAAAAATTTATTAATTCTAAAAGAATAATGAAATTTGATAAAAAGTTTGCTATAAAAATTTATAGGGAAAGTGAAAATTTACATGTTTTATTGAATGATAAAACAGTTTACAAATTAAAGTATAAATTTAATATAAAATAATTTAGATAATATAATAATTAAGAGAGAAGAGATAGTGAAGAGAAATTGGCAAATGCGTCAACATTTTCTATTAGAGGAAATGAAAAACTTCATTCAAAAGGATTATAATTTTAATTTGATGATCATGTCTTATTTGTTTGTGGATATTTAAGTGGAGCAGTTTATATTTATAATTTATTTACAGATAAATCTTAATAAGCTTAGATTTGTCATAAAATTAAATTACATAGGAAAAGAGTCACTTGTTTATCATATTCCTCTAAATTGAAAATTTTATGTTTGGGTGCAAAAGATAATAGAGTTACTATATGGAATGCTATTTTATCAAATGAAAAATAAATTTCATTTTTATCCACTCCATCTTTAATACTTTATGGTCATGATAAAACTATCAAATGTGTTCATATTGATGATACTTTATAAGTTGTAATAAGTTTGGATAAAATTGGGAAATTATAAATACATTCTATTATTTCTGGATTATTTCTATAAGATTTTAAACTTGATTTAGCATAAGGTGAAAAAGTTAAAAATATTGTAACAAATGGAAATGGATTAATAATTGTATATACTAACCATAATTAAATTATAGCAACTAGGTATTTATATAATTTATAATTATTAGAGTAAATGGTTTGATTATATAAAAATATTTTTATATGAATATCGGCAATATAACTTAAATAAATTAATTCTTATAATCACATTTATTGGTATCAACTCTAAAGGGTGAAATACTTATAATTTAAGATATCACTAGTTTACCTGATTAACCTCCCATCTTTTTCCATTTATACCAAAATACATCTAATATAGGAATTGTAACATTCTCATAATGTATTTTAAATGTAATAACTATTAGTTATGGAGAATGAATCTTTAGTCTTTATAATAAGTTTAATGGATGGAACATTACAACGATATGTTATAAGTTGTGAATAAAGTAAACTTATTATTTTATTTTATAGATGTTGAATTTTATCATTATTTAGGTAAATTAGGAATGTGATGGATTTTTAAAATTTAAAATTTGATTAAATAATTTTATATTGAAAATTAAGTTATTAAATCATCAAAAAAAGAATATTTATATTATATTAATTTGCCTTATTTAGACACTATCAATTATATAATATCAGAATTAATTAATTTTTTATTATCAATTAAATATTTATATATTAATTTATTTATCAATCTCTAAATCACATATACTAAATATATTATGGGAAATTCTATAGAGATTAATCAAACTTTATCTTATTAGACTATTCAAGGATAAGAAATACTTCTTCCTTTTAAAGAATTAAAGGGAAAGTAAAATTTTCCTAAAGTCCCTTCAAGAGAAAAAGATGTTGAAATTATGTTTCAAAAATGGCTTAGCAAAGTAAACTATTTTATACTGATGACAGATTGTAATTGGAAGAAGAGAAAAAGAAAAACTTAAAGGAATACCTCTTAAATATAAATTTAGATTATGTTACAAACATGACTAAATCATTTAAGAGATAACTAAAGGAGAATAATATAAATAGAAAGTCATATAGGAAACAGATAAACTAATTTAGAAGGTATTATCACAACAAGACGTTGTTTCATTAGATGGTACATATTTTATTCCACATTATAAGCTTTATCAAGAAATTTAACAAATGATGACCTACTTGAACATAAAATCACTTTACTAGCTAAAGTTGATCTGATTGCAAAATTAATTGTAGAATTGAAAACCTAAGAATTGTTATCAAGACATTCCAAAAACTTTAGGGATTAGATTGTTATTATCAAAATATTTGAGAAGCTATTACATCATGAATCAGGTAAATTTGAAGTATTTATTATTGTATAGGTGTATAATTATTATGTGATACTTCTAATTTTTTTTAAATTATGTTTAGTACTTTTCATCCAGTTGAACCAGAAATTACAGGATTAATGCTATAAGTTTTAGGTGGCAAATCTGGTTTATGTTGGTAACCTGAATGTTTAGATAATATTCTAGATGCTATGACTGAGTTTTAAAATAATCATAGATTATAAACTAAGTAATATATATATTAAAACTATAGATTTGATGTAATAATACGAAGTATTTACTATACAAAGAATTTAATTATTATCTATCATCTACTATAATTTTTGTTTAATTTTTTATTTTCAGTTGAAAAACCTGAATCTGATTCATTACATAAGGAATTATTAGAAACAGTAATTAATGGTAAAAGAATTGATGAAGTATTTTAATAAGTGAAAATTCGAATTGTTAAAGATTACTATTAAATTGAAGAATGCACATATTAAGGTGTAAGATAAAAATTAGCTTAATTCTAACATCCTCTTGTTGAAAAATAATCTTAAGAAAATGATTTCTTTTCTATGTAGAGATTTAAAACAATTACTGAAAAACCACCTAAAGATGCTATCAAACCTAATATTGAGTTTGATCTTGAAGAAACAGGAAGAATTAAATTTGAAAATTGTTTTTATTTTGAATAACATGATCTTAAGCTTTTTAGTATATTGAAAGTTCAAATTTTTGAACTTATGGATGGTATATTAAATATTGATTCCATTTTAATCTAAATTGAAAATGATGATGTAGATCAAACTGAAATTGTTTCTAACCCAAATGATGTTTTCAATGAAATGCAAACATTAGCTGAAGTAGATGAAGAAGAAGAAGAAGATTACGATAATAGATTAGTTAGTTTCTCGAAAATTAAGAATAATGATTAATTTAGAAATTAAGGTAATATGATTAAATATGCCAATGCTAATTTATAATAAGAATACAATTAATTAGAGGAAAAACATTCAATTTTATTTTCTAAATATGAAGAAATGGAAAAATAATGTCGTGAATTATAAATGTAATTATTTGATGAACAATTAAAAATTAAAAAGCTTGAAGAATAAAATGAAAAATTATTATATCATTCTACCAGTCAAAATTAAGATCAAATTAATACATTAGTTTAAGAATAAATTGAATTTCTTAAATAACAGCATTTAATTTAAATCACTTCATTGACACAAGAATTAACTTAGTTGAAAGATTAAATTCAAAATTAAAATTTAGTTGAAAATTAATTAATAAATTAAATTGAAATTGAAAGAACAAAGGTACAAACCTAGAAATAATAAATTGACTTATTATAGAGATATATTGATTAATATGCTTCAATGCCTATTTCTTAAATATCTGATAAAAATGATTAAAAATAAACTGAAGTTTAAAATCCTTAAAGTGAATTACATATTATTGAGGAGACAAAATCTATCAAGGATACATAATAAATAATAGAATAATCTATTGAAACAGAGGATAAATCTAAATAAAATGTTGCATCATAAACACTAAATGAAAACTAATAGATTCATTAAAATGAATAATTAGAATAAAATTTAACTAATTAAATTTAAAACAATATAATAGATTAAAATATTAATTAAGATATAGTCAAATCTGATACAGATTCAAAAAACTAATAAGAAATTGTAAATGAAATTATTATTGTGAAAAAATTAATGATAGATTCCGAATCATAAACAAATCTAAAACTATATATAACCTAAGAAGCATAAACTACTTTTGAATTTCCAGCTAATCCATAATCTTAAGTAACAGCTTAAGCACAATAGGATTAACAACAGATTAACCCTATTCCTGTTTAACCCCCTAACCCACCTCCTATTACTGTTAAGGTAGCTCCACCTCCTCCACCTCCTCCACCACCTCCTAGCTTAAAAACTGGTGGCCCTCCTCCACCACCTCCTCCTCCTCTAAAAGGAGCTTAATAAGCATCTAAACCAACAGACTCTCTATTTCCTTTCAATAAAGTTGAACTTATTCCATCTCTTCCTACAAAACCTTTAAATTGGATTTTGATATAACCATAAAATATGAAAAATACTATTTACGAATAGATTTATCAAGAATCTTATGAAATAGATGCAAAATACTTAGAAACATATTTTTATAAAATTTAATCTGCATCATCGACTTAATAGCAAAATAGTGAAAATTAGATTGTTAAGAAAGTAATACAAACTAAGATACAATTAATTGCTACAGATAGATCCAAAAATATAGAATTAGTATTGGGAAAAATTAAAATACCAAATGCTTTGATCATGAAATCATTATTATCAATTGATTTAAATATACTGACAGATTCTGCAATAGATTCTTTAGATACAATAATTCCAACTGATGAAGAAATTAAAATTGTATTTATTTTGTAATTAAATTAAGATTAGTGAATTTTAAGGCCAAAGAGATTTACTTGGAGTTGTTGAAACTTTTATTGATAGCATAAGATAAGTTAATGGATTTTAATTTAGAATCAGATCATTAAAATTTAAATCAGTTTATGATGATTATAGATAAGACTTAATTGATAAAATAACTATTTTAACTTCAAGATTTTAAGAAATAAGAAATTTATAAGGACTATAGAAGATGTTATTAATAACTTTGAATATTGGAAATTTTTTAAATGGTAAAAATTTAAATTAAACATTTCAGCCAAGACTCCTCGTGGAAGAGCTTTGGGTTTTAAAATAGAGGCTCTTGACATATGTGCTGAAATCAAAACATCTGACAATCAAAATAATAATTTATTACTATATATTATAGAAAAAACTGAATAAATAATAGGAGGTGAAATCATTTCAGAAGAAAGTAATAATATAATTATATTTAGAAATGAAATCATTTGAAGTTCTTTAAAGAGTACCAGTTCATCAATTAGTAGTTGATTTAGGAGATATTAAAAAAGGTTGTAGTTTTATAAAAAAGGCTATGGAATCATAAACAGATGATCCATAAGATTTAGTAGAATAAAAGTTTAAGGATGGTTATGAATCCATCACAAAAGACATTGAAGAACTTGACAAGAAGATGAATCATTTAGAAGAAGAATATAAAAGGTGTGCATAATTTTATGGTGAAAATCCTAAAGATCCATCAGATAAATTTGGAGATAAGATATTAAAAATATTCAGACAAATTTTAAGATAAAAATTAGAGAAATTGTAAAGGGAAGAAAGAGCAAAGAGATAAGAAGCTTTAAAAAAAAGATAGATGTTGAAAAGTACACCCTTAACAGCAAGAAGGGCAGATGAAGGACCTAAACCACCTCCAAAAGAAGCATAAAGATAATCTGTCTTAAAACCGATTATTCCAAGATAATCTATCAAAGATAGCATAAAGCTTGAAGTACCTGGAAATAAAGGTCCAAAAAAGAGTTTTATAGCCAATGAAATTAGCTAGCTACGTCATATGAAATAGGTAAGAGCTAGTATATTAACTATTAACAAAAAATGAAATTAAAATGATCACTAGTTATCTGTGTGTTTTATTAGTAAATATTTTATATCCATTATCAAACAACACCAGTCTAAGATTAAAATAATAATCTTATCCCTCAAATGATTGTAGATCTCTTTTATAATTCATTTTCATATCAAGAATTAGGACTAATATAATTAAACTAAAAAAGGTTTTATTAAAGTTTAAAAATAGTTGATAAGAACATCTAAATTTTCCATAATTACAAAGAGAATTAGGCGATTCTTTAAATTCAAATTTAATATCAATTTATTAATAGGACTCAAGAGATGAAGCATAAACAATCATCATTTGCTTTTTTCTCTTTATTTACATTATAAATTTTCCAATTATCAACTATTTAAACATCAACAAGACCTTCTTTTGGATAGATCTCATCTCTGAAAGTTATTGAGAATTTTTTCTTTTCATTTATTTAATTGCTATGTTTATCTGTTCTAATTTTAGTTTCATGTCTTTTGGCACTAAATTCTGTTTAAAGTTGCTCAAAGCACCAATTAATTTCATAATTTTAATCAAAACTATGGTCACCCTGGCAAGATTATATTCTTATCATATCTAAAAATATAAATAAGTTTTAATGGAACTAAAATTTATGAAAAGAATATCTTAATCAATGAATAAATAAATAAAATTTCTTTGAAAAAGTTCTTATTTAATTTTTAGAATTACAATTTTATAATTAAAATATTTGTTTTCAAATGTGAAATTGATATATTTATTATAAGATTTGGATCACTTAGATTAATATATTGCAAAAGATTAACAAAACTTTGTATTTAGTAATTTCCTTTATAAAATAAATTAGCAATTGCAATAACTTAGATTCCTTTTTTAAGTATTTCAGTAGATAATTTTGTTAGTAAGAATTTTGAATTAGATAATTATTCTATAAAATAACCTTATTTCAGGGTTAAGAACTAATTGCTACTTTTGAAATAAAGTTCTAATATTTTTTAGCAAGAATATATTATTATATTTTGTCATCAAATTTAAAATGAACATTATAATGAATGTAATATATTTTGTATATATATCTATCAAACTCCTTACATTTAGAGTTTAGAGGCAACATCTAAATCTTTAACCATTTTTTTAAATTCTGCAAAGGATATTTTAGAATCAAAGTCTTCATCTGCTTTGATAATGGTTCTATCTACTAATTGTTGTAATTAAACATCAGTTAAATTATTTCCAACCATCATTTAAAGCACTTTGAATAACTCTCCATTTGTAATAAATCCATCTTGATCTATATCATAAATTTTAAACATGAATTTTAACTTCTCTTCTTCATCATTACCATACAAGCTAGACAATCCAGTAATAAATTCAGCAAAACTTATCTTACCATCATTATCCTTATCAAATATTTAAAACACTCTTTTCACTAATGGATTTTGAGAAAGCTCTGGAACATCAAACAATTCAGATGGTTCTAATTGGCCAGAGCCATCCTTATCTAAGAATTGAAATCTCTTGTAAAGTCTTTTAATTTCTTGAGGTTAGAATGTACCCATTTATTCTTCCATTCCTTGACCATTACCCATTTTTGATTATGTGATTAAAAATATTAATAATCCTTATAATTAAATTAGCTTGCTATAATCCTTAATTATATAAATATCTGAAAATACAATATATTTAATAAAAATAAAACTAATTACAACTTGAAATATGAAAATATTGAAGTCTTAATTCAAATACATGTAAATTATTTCATAATATTTTCAATTAGATTTATCTTAAAGTTTCTCTATCAAATATTTAAAGTGCTTTATAGGCACATATTAAGTTTTTTTTAATGATTTGTTAGATGTTTCAAATGTTTAGCTTTTAAAATAATCTTATTCAATTTTTTTATCATTTCTTCTTTCAATATATTTTTTTTATATTAATCTCCAAAATCATTTTCCTTTAAGTTATTAATAGTTTTTATTTTCGGCCTATATTTAATTATTCTTTTTCATCAATATGTATTTATTACATTTTCAAAATTTTAATTTTAATTTATTAGAATAGCATAAAATTCTAATTTTTCAATTAAAAAACTTTAATGTTATACATAAAGATGACCTTTATCTTATCTAAAGCCGTTTTAGCAATCTTCGTGTTCTTAAATCTCTACTAAAAAATAACATAAAATGTAAATAATTTATTTTCTATATATAATATTTAAACAATTTACTTTTTTCATTAATTTTTTTATATATGGATTGAACAAAGTTGCAAGTGATATAATTTGATCCTTAAAATTAATACAAACATATTATTATTTCTCTTTCTTTCTAATAACGGGTATCATTAAATTAGTGATTTCTTTGTTAGATAAATTATAATTATTTAAAATTCTTATAATTCTATCAATAGATTAAATATTATTTAATAAAAAATGAAAGGGTGGTATAATTAGTATATTATTTCATAAAGAGTACAAGGAAATGATGATAAGGTTAGAAAAATAAGATTATTTGAAAATAATGAATATTTAAAAACTTAGGAAATAAAAGATCATCTTGAATATGTATTTCCTTAATCTGAATGTTTCAGCTTGGCTTAATTAATAGAATCAATGGTAAATTGTATTATTATATTAAGCAATGCAATTTCATAAAAATTTATAAAGGATAGGTTTTAATAATTATTTTAGAAATATTAAAACATCTTTAATAATTACATTAATAGAAAATGTCACATGGAAGATTAAATCCTTAAAATATTGTTATTAAATTAAAAAATGATAAAGATAATAAATTAACAATCTAATAAAAAAAATTTACAATATAAAGAGTGCAGTTCATTAATTATAGAATTATTGATGATGTTAAATATGAAATTAATTAAATTTAAGATAATTATGATATTATTAATTGCTGTATTTCATTGATATCAACATATTAAAAATAAATGTGTGAATTATTCAACTTTATTATTACTAATTTAAAATTGTATTAAAACAGAGTGATTGAAATATCTTAATTAGTTGACTTTTTTAATTTATATATTCAAGAGTATTTAATATAATTATTTTAGATGTGTAGATTAATAAACTTAAAAAATCCAAAAAAATCAAATTTATCCTTCTACAATATTTTAATAAAATGTTTAAACTGTTCAATGTAAGGAAGGAGAAGAATATGGTATGTTATCAAAAAGATAGAGATGTTCAACTATTCTTTCAAAATTTTTGGAAACATTTAGTGGTCAATTAGTTAATAATAAATTAAAATATCAGAATAATTCTAATGAATATGATATTGATGAATAATAGGTTGAAATTATTGACATTGGAAATTATAATTAAGAAGAATTATAGATATTTTATGTTTTTGAATATATTTTAAAATAATAAATGATGAAAATAATTTGGAAACATTTCGGAAACTTTTTTGAATCTACCAAATAAAATATTGAACAAATTTATATTGAAGTTATTAAAATCATAAATTAAAATAATCAAAGAATTTTAAATGATCACTTCAAACCTATTTTAGAAGAATATTAAAATAGTAAAAAAATAAATGATGAAATCAATAAAGAAATTGATTAGAATTACAAATTTAATATTTAATATGATGAACAAAAAGCAAAAGATCATTTTTTTTTACAATTGAAGATTTAAGCATAAAATTATGATATTAATAATATTTAATCTTTCATTGACAACATCAAATCTTAAGTTAAATAATCATTATAAGAATACTATGATGAAATATTAGAATATGAAATAATATCCCTTAATTTTGATTTAATTTGAGATTGA